CTAACCTAACCTAACCTAACCTAACTAGGCCTAACCTAACCTAACCTAACCTAGCCTAACCTAACCTAGCCTAACCTAGCCTAACCTAACCTAACCTAACCCTAACTTCTTCTAACCCTAACCTAACCTAACCTAACCTAACCCTAACCTAACCAACCTAACCAACCTAAGCCAGCCTGGCCTAACCCTGGCTTCTAACCTAACTAACCTAACCAACCTAGCTTCTAACCCTAACCCACAACCTGGCATAACCTAACCTGGCCTAGCCTAACACAACCTAACCTAACCTAACCTAACCTAACCTAACCTAGCCTGGCCTAACCTAGCCTAACCTGTACTAACCTAGCCTAACCTAACCTAGCCTAACCTGGCCTAGCCTGGCTTCAGCAGCCTAACCTAACCTAACCTAACCTAACCTAACCTAGCCTAACCTAACCTAACCTAACCTAACCTAACCTAACCTAACCTAGCCTAACCTAACCTAACCTAACCTAACCTGGCCTAACTAACCTAACCACAACCAGCCTAACCTAACCTGGCCACAACCTAACCTAACCTAGCCTAGCCTAACCTAACCTAACCAGCCTAACCAGCCTAACCTAACCTAACCACAACCCTAACCTAACCTAGCCTAACCCTACAACCAGCCCAACCTAACCTGGCCACAACCTGGCACAACCACAACCTGGCAACACAACTAACTAACCTAACCTAACCTAACAACCTAACCTAACCTAACCTAACCTAACTAACCAGCCTAACCTAACCTAACCACAACCTAAGCATAGTGAGCAACAATCGACCATATCAACAAATCATCGAAGCAAAATAGCCGATCTTCAGTCAATGTTCTTTTTGATGAACAAAAATCATTTGAGCACAATCACCATTTGAACTCAACTTTGATAGTAACAGCAACAACATCAATATCAACCACCACCAAGAAATTAATCTGCTAGGACAAAGTATTGAAAAGTTGAAAAATTGCCATCATATATAAAGCAACAAAAAATCAGTATCGTTTGCGAGTCGAGACCCTAATGTTATGCTGTCAATTTTATGCACGACATTTTCCATCAATCACCATTATTATTGCCAAATACCACCATCATATAGTCTGGATGAGATATTATCAACACCACGCAACATATAATCCACACAACACTTTAACACACTGGACACAAATTCATTCTTCCGTACCTATTTATTCTTGTTGGTTTCATCATTATCCAATCTTTCATTCATTATCATTGCTTCAAATACATCTGCGGCAATCTCTTCCCGTCCAAGTTGTGATAGTGACCCAGTGCTGCGAGCCATCAGGTATTGATGGGTACCGCCAAAAAAACCATCAACCGAAAAACGATCAAAGCCAATCGCGACGCCAATACCGATGTTGATGACGACCGCTCCAGCATTCCATCTCCAGCCATGAGCCGTGTCTCCAACGAGGAAATCATAACCGACGATGCAGATCAACCAATGTCCCATGTAGAAATAGCGACAACATCAGCTCAACCACAAATCATGCAAAATCAGCAACCAACATCCAGCAATTCGGCTGCCACACAACAACAGCAAACAACAGTCGCCGGCTTCCATCCACCAGCATATCAGTCGGGTCCAAGTTTCAGTACCACTGCATCACAGTATCAGCCAACCAGCCCACCATCTTTTTCGGATTGCCGGCCACTATCACCAATTGAACCACAATACTTTGTTATGATATATTTATATCGTAACCACCAACATCAATCGATATCAATGATGAAAAAGTTATATGAAGGGTCAATCAATTTTCGTATGTCAACCATCAATTCATATATGGAGCGAGTAATTATTACCAGAATTATGTCCGTCATCAAAATTTTTATTAATGTTTCTCTTTTTATTCTTTTATTTTATTTACATGTTATTCTTTCTTTCTTTTTCTTTATCCATTACTGATTACTTGTCATTTATTATCCCATGTATGTATTGAATGCCGAGATTGGCCATTTGCCGATCTTTTATTAAGATGAATTGAAATAAATTATATTTTCTTTAAAAAAAAAAACCTAACCCAACCTAACCCAACCTAACCCAACCCAACCCAACCTAACCCAACCCAACCCAACCTAACCTAACCTAACCCAACCCAACCTAACCCAACCTAACCTAACCTAACCTAACCCAACCCAACCCAACCCAACCTAACCTGAACCTAACCCAACCTAACCCAACCCAACCTAACCCAACCCAACCTAACCCAACTAACCTAACCTAACCCAACCTAACCTAACCTAACCTAACCCAACCCAACCTAACCCAACCTAACCTAACCTAACCTAACCCAACCTAACCCAACCCAACTCCCAACCTAACCTAACCCAACCCAACCCAACCCAACCCAACCCAACCTAACCTAACCCAACCTAACCCAACCTAACCTAACCTAACCCAACCTAACCCAACCCAACCCCCAACCTAGATCCAACCTAACCCAACCTAACCCAACCTAACCTAACAACCCAACCTAACCCAACCAACCCAACCCAACCCCTAACCTAACCAACCTAACCTAACCCTAACCTAACCCAACCCAACCTTAAACTAACCCAACCCAACCTAACCTAACCTAACCTAACCCAACCTAACCCAACCCAACCTAACCCAACCCAACCTAACCCAACCCAACCAACCCAACCCAACCCAACCAACCCAACCCAATCCCAACCTAACCCAACCCAACAACCCAACCTAACCTAACCCAACCTAACCCAACCTAACCCAACCAACCTAACCCTAACCCAACCCAACCCAACCAACCCAACCTTAACCTAACCCAACCCAACCCAACCAACCCAACCTAACCTAACCCAACCTAACCCAACCAACCCAACCCAACCCAACCCAACCCAACCAACCTAACCCAACCTAACCCAACCTAACAACCCAACCCAACCTAACCCAACCCAACCCAACCCAACCTTCCCAACCCAACAACCTAACCCAACCCAACCCAACCTAACAACCCAACCTAACCTAACCCAACCAACAACCAACCCAACCCAACCCAACCAACCTAACCTAACCTAACCAACCTAACCTAACCCAACCTAACCTAACCTAACCTAACCTAACCTAACCTAACCTAACCAACCTAACCTAACCTAACCTAACCTAACCTAACCTAACCTAACCTAACCTAACCTAACCTAACCACCTGGCTAAAAAGTGGCTGGAAAAAAACAAAAACAATAACAATGTGCCAGCTGTCTCGCTACTAGAACTGAATAATGTCGTTCATAAATTCCGTGACGGGAAAGCACCAGGCTTCGATGGTATATCGCCGCGAATTTTAAAAAATCTTTGGCTTTCTTTTCCTGACCTGCTGCTCGCTATATATAATGCATGTCTCCGATTAAAATATGTGCCGTACCTATGGAAAAGCTCGATTATTCGTATCTTACCGAAACCAGGACGGGATGATTATAGCAAAACCAACGCCTATCGACCTATTGGTCTGATCTCCGTCTTGGGTAAAGTATTGGAACGAATAATGTCGGTGCGAATCACAAGCCATCTGATAAGCAATGGCCACATGTCAGATTATCAATATGGTTTTATAGCTGGCAAATCTACTGATCATGCATTACTGAATCTACACAACGACCTCGAATCAGCCATCACCAGATTTAAGCACGTCTGTCTAATTTCGCTCGATATCAGAGGAGCTTTTGATCACACGTGGCATCCATTCATCATAAATCAACTGGTGAATTACCGAACACCGAAATACTTAATCCACCTGATCAATGCCTACCAGAATGACAGACGAATCACAGCCAGCTTCGGTGGCGTTACATGTAATAAAACAACCAACAGAGGTACAGTACAAGGATCAATTCTTGGGCCATTGATGTGGAATCTGGTGGTGAACGATCTCCTGTGCAAAAATTTCGGTCCTGATGTCAAGATTCAAGCTTATGCCGATGACGTCACCATGGTTGTTGCCTGTGACTGCTTTAAATATATGTCGATAAAAATAAATAAAATACTAGAGAAGGCGGCGAACTGGGGACGTAAATGCAAATTAACGTTTTCAGAATCAAAAACAAAAATAATGTACGTGTCGAAAAAGATCCGCCGCCCAATTTACCCACCAGTAAGAATGAATGGTTCAACTATCATCCCGGTAGATGATATAAAAATTCTGGGAATTATTTTTGACCGAAAACTGGACTATCGACCACATACCAAACACGCCATCGCCAAAGCCATAAGGATCAACAAAGCTGTCACTGGTATTGCCCGTAAATCACACGGTCTAAGTCCTCAGGTGTTGAGAATGATTTACCACAGCATCACCGAACCGATAATGTCCTATGGTGCTTTAATTACCGGCAGAGCTGTTAAATATCAACATATCCAAAAGCTGCTCAGACAAATGATAACACCGATGGCACAACAAGCTGTAAAAGGCTACAGATCATCTTCATACATTTCAGTCACAGCACTGGCAGATTTTCCACCTGTTGAATTATTCATTGCATTCAGAGCAGCAGTAGCCACAGCCAGAACAACAGGTCTGTATAAATTCAATGATTTACCAATTGTGGTAGATATAAATGATAATCTAAATAACAACATTACGAACAAAATCACCACCATCATCAAAGAGCCATCAGCATCACCTCCGACCAGAATTATAATCAAATCAATCAAAACAATAAATGGCGTCGGTACGGCCTTCATGATTTTCAACAACGAGAATATTATCGGCATCAAACATCATCGTCTGCCACCATATTGCATGATACAACAAGCTGATCTCTTTGCCATGTTAAAAGCAACAGATTGGATAAACGAAAACTGCAGACATTGTATCGTATATATCATCACCAACAACATAAGCACAGTTCAACACATCAATCGAATTGACAAGAAAAACCGACAAAGAATGGCAAATGAATTAATCAACAAGTGCGTAGATAATATCGTGATCGCATGGAATAAAGTGGATAAAACGGAATCATGGTATCACAAGCTTAAAAAATACGCAAAAACAACAGCCAACAACCGTCTACGTGATTATGATTATACCAAAATGCCCATCAATTTCATCAAAAAACACGAACACAACAACATGATGATAAATTGGAATGCCAAGTATCTAAGGGACCGTTTTGGCACGAATATCAAAAAATTATGTCCAAATCTACATGATGCACGTAAGTATGTTCCGTTCATCAACAAATACGTCACCCAGACGCTAACTGGTCACGGACAATTTGGGGCATATCTGTCAAAGTTTGGTACATCGCACGATAAAAGATGCTGCTGTGGATTCCACTTCCAATCAGTTCAACATCTCATCAATGATTGTCAATTGCTGAACCGCCTAAGATCGGATTATCGAAATTCAATCAACAATACCGATGATCCAAAAGAAAAAACCAGATTAACGGCGATCTTCTACGAGAATATTGCTATGTTTGCAGATGAACAAAGAAGATCAGTTCATCGCTTACATCCACCGTAATAGCATTAATCCCGTTTTGCGGTACCGTATCATGGCTACCAGAATTGCTCAGCTGAATTGATTACATTGCTCAGCATCCGCCCACCGTCTTCCGTGAATACGCCAAACCGTCACGAGCGAAGCTCGTGAGGTTTGGCTTGAAATTCACTCCTCCCGGGACACCGCCAAACCGTCACGAGCTTCGCTCGTGAGGTTTGGCTTGAGGTGTACCACCTAACCTAACCTACCTTTATTAGGGAAGGAAAGGGTACTGGTATTGATATCTGCCTGAATACACAAACACAATTGCTTACACACACCAGATTTTAATTGTATTTTAGACACACCCACAAGACACAACAATTATAACAGACTTTTTACACACACACAAGAATACATTGCAGCAGTATCAAATTGACATTTCCGGATGGCTCCCGTAAATCGCCATGTCAATTAACCAGCGGAGGACTAGGACGTGAAGCTCGACCACCACAACAGCGTGACCACACATACACAACAATTATTACAAGAATTAACCCACAGTAATTTAATTTAATGTCTTACACAAACACTAGACACAACAAATGTAAACAGACTTTACATCCATACACAGAACACAACATAGGGCCACTTGTGGTCACGTGCGCCTACAGTTCCAGGGTGGCTCCCGTAAAAAGCCACTGTTGTGTGCAGTTGTCCCGTGGTCAAAATTTTAGCAATTCAAGCTGGAGATAATTGAAATTAGCATCAAGAATTTTATATCGTTTCTAGCCATACCAATCAACAAGCATCATCAACTTCATGAAATGCACAAACAGCAAAAACAACAACATCGATCAAATAACAACACAACTGCCATCTGTTCCAACGTAGCGACGTTAATAAACAACAAGAATGTACCGAAATTTTTGCAAAGAATCAACAAGAAACAACAACCCATGTAGTAGTAGCATCTCACGACAAGAAAATGAAAAGGAAAATACAACAACATGCGAAATAGTGCAATTCACATACAACCCCATCCATAAAGTACGTTCCAAAATTTTAAAATGCCTATGGTCCATCCAATGGTAAATTTTCCCGCCAAACAAACGCAACAATTCAAATGGCCTAAAATGGTACAAATCAAGTCAACGCATAAAAAAGAATACAATGGTCATCATAAAGATTAAAAATAATATATAAATAATAGTTGTCATGGTCCATCCAATCGCCACCAAATCCACGATATTCCCATGCTTATAAACAACATCAACTGTAATGGCAAATGATTTACCAACTCGATCCAAAATTTTTGCTTTGAATAGTAAATTGACCACAACATCCGCACGATCTATAAATAATAACAAGTATCAACAAATTTATAATTATAGCAAAAAAAAAAAAAAAAATAACAAATAATCACCGGCATTGTTGGAACGATAAAACCGACATTCCAAAAACGTAAAAACAAAGTATCAGCATTCTAAAACCAATAAATCAACAAGAATTAATAACAAGTAACAATATCACAGCAATAACAAAATCAACAAATATCATGCAATAAAAACAACAACAACAGCTATTTACAATATTTACAAGCAACAACAACACTCACCGATAACAACATAACCAACAGGAAATAAAAATATCTACAATAGTTACTAATTAACAAGAATTAACAATATGCAAAATTATAGACAAACTCAACAATATATACAACAAGAATCAACAACCAACAGTATTAACAATCACCGACATTCAAAAGACAACAACTTCAACGAATAATGACCATGATTTAAAACCGACAAATAAAAACAAATATCTACGCTATTTACATATAAATTAAATTACCAAAAATCCAACAACAACAAAATCAACTAGTAACGAATAATAATCAACAAAACAATAACAACGAACCAACAGTATTAACAATTCATGACAAAATAACAAGAAAAATTTGACGATAAAACCAACGAATTCAAATCACCACATCTAAAATAAATCAACAAGAATTAACAGAATCAACAATATCACAATAATACTTACCAGAATTATCACAGTCATCAACCCCATCGATCATGTTGCCACAACAGAAATTAACGATAATTGAACCAGCCTGGATGGAAAAACAACATGGTCAATGTAATATAATGAATAAAAATTTTAAAATAATATCACCGGGTAAAAACGAAGAATAAAAACGATACTTCAATCCAACGTGTCCATGGCCAAACAATCCTGAAATAAATAAAAATAATTGTAAACAAATGAAAAACAATCATCACAGTCGATATATCACAGTCGGATCATCATAGCTGAAACGTCGTAGCTGAATCCTGGCCCATCCTGGAGAATCACCCATAATCGAATCCTGTAATCATGCATGGCCGGCAAAATCATAATAGAATTTCAATCGACAAAAACAACAACAACAACATGGCATCTGAGCAGCAATGACGAGTGACTTCTTTTCTTCTAGTGGTCGCAACAACAACCATCCAGTCATCACTAGACACCATCAACAAACTCGACTAACCATTCATCAATACCAAAACAAATTGGCAAACACATCATCATCATCATCATCAAAACAATGTAAGTCATCAAAACATGTTTCATTCACAACAACAAATGTACACGCATGCACACGATCAATGTAAACATTCACTTTTTGCCGCCAAATTGAAACAACAAAATAGATCATGTAACGAAACATAATAGGAAAATCGCAGTTAATGTATGAGATTTGAACATTATCTTACGACATTCACACTATTTCACATACCACTATTGATATGAAAAAATCGCTAGGACACCGTAACCAAATACAAAATTTTTCATATAAATACTTTCGAAAACCAGAAAAATTTCGCGATCTGAACAACCTACTGTCATGCTGAAAGACACTTTGTTCATTTCTGATTTGTTTCTTCTCATACCAAATCATATCGCCTGTCATATTGTCGAACTTTGTATGTTCGTTGTTTTCTTTAAAAAACCTAACCTAACCAACCTAACCTACAAAACCTAACCTCCGGGACATCGCAAAACCGTCACTCGCTTCGCTCGTGAGGTTTTGCTCGAAAGGCACTCCTCCAGGACATCGCAAAACCGTCACGAGCTTCGCTCGTGAGGTTTTGCTCGATTGTCCTCCCGGGAATTTGGCCACCGATAATCATTGTGTAAATATCCGAGCAGTTCATTGCATTAATATCAAAAACAAATAAATATTCACAAAACAGTCGATTCCGGCAATAACTGATAGTTATACCGCAAAACTGGATATTATAGTGAGGTTTAAATAAACCTTAGATTTAGGAAGACAGTTGGTAAGGTTTAAATGAACCTCAAATGTAGCAAAAAACAGTAGCAAAAATGATACAGTAGCAAAAAAAATTTGATACAGTAGCAATTTGAAATTGATACAGTAGCAAAAAAAAAAATGATACTGTAGCAACTTAAAATGTAACAAAAAAAATTGAAACCTTAGCAATTTAAAATGCAGCAAAAAATTGATACTGTAGCAAAAAAAAAAAATTAATACTGTATCAATTTAAAATGTATCAGCCTATTATTATACATTTGTAAAGTAACATATAAGTAAAAAACATAACCATTAATGATAACGATGACATATCAAAACAAAATAAAAAAGATACACTACAAATATCAGAAATGCAGAAGAAAAACCAATCAAATCATCAACAGGTGAATATATACTTCAATAATAGAACAAGTGAAAAATGACAACGAAGAACAGTGAACATAAAAGCTTGCCAAAATAATTTCAAATAAGTAAAGTTTCTTCACATAGAAATATGCGCACGAGTTTTCAAAATTTATAAATCGTAAACAATCCATTATCATTAACAAGTCACATTTTAAAAAATCAAAGACACTGTTGAATTGTTGAAACCAATTAATTCAATTATAAATATGCCACGTCACCATTATTGATATAAATATGAGTTTAGAAGTGATTGATTTATAATTATTAAAAATTTATGAAATTGTTCTTTATTTTATTCATTTTTGCTTGTTAAAATTCTAAAAGACACAGATCATAATTCGATACAGATCGCAGCAAATGGCCAACCAACAAAACATACAATACAAAACAATGGCATTAAGTTCATCACAAAATATTTTGGATTCACAAAAACAATAAAGTAAACAATAAACAATATGTGTGTTATTACTATTGTGACACAAGTGTACATAGTAAAAATAGTGACAACATGTAATAATATAAACAATTTACTTATCATCTGACATTTACATCCATTGCAACTCTCAATCACCTTTGAATCTCACTTGTAATTGAAACTGAAATATCTCCCATTTAAAAATCGCGCAAATAAAATTGACACCTACTATGCAGTTGTCCGGGAACGTCGAGTCGATCAAGTTGATTTCAAGTTGATTACAGATAACAATGTTAAATGTTGAGCCGATAGTTGAGTGAATTGACGATGAATTCTAGATGAACACATAACACAACACAAAACACAAATAAAATAATCACAATATAATCAACACACAGAAATCAATTTGACACTTGTTGATACATTGTATGATGAATATCAAGTTGATAGCAAACCACGTGTTGAATTAGCGACTAGTTGAGAATACAAAAAAACACTTCACATACACAAACAAATCACTGCACAGCACTAAGCACAACACGAAATTCTGTTGAAAAGAAAAAGAAATTGATTCATATCTTGAACAATACACTAATGAATAAAGATGGCCAATTGAATAACAATGAACCAATTCGCAAACACCAATAAATCACTGCACAACACGAAATTGTGTTTGAAAAAATAAATTAATCAGCATTTATCCTAAATAAAATAAAAAACAGATCAATTTGTAAAAAAAACACGTGGTTTTAAATCAATCAAACCATCAACCACGAATGAGAATCTACTCATGCACAAATTACTTCATGAACAAAATGTTGACAACAAACATATCCATTTTCAGTGATGCCATCTATTGAATTTTGATAAATTAATCTACGATTCAAATGATCAAAATTGCTTGCTTTAGCTAATCGATGACCAAGTGGTTATACAAATCCAAACATGATGACAATAATGGTCAAAATCTGTTTGTTAAAAGTTTAGTCATCGACATATTAATCATAAACATTGTTTGTGACTATTGTCTTTGACAAACGTCTTTCTTTTTTTCAATGCAGTAGATTAGTGTTAAAATAAATAAACAACAGAATCAAATGAGTTGAGTGGATGTAAATTTAATTTTCAACAACTAATTTGATTCAATCAACAACAATTCATGTGTTAGAATTTTTAAAGCGGATCAATTCTACGTCCAATTCTAATAACAAATTCATCATGGGTGCAGTATTCAGTTCAATATTTCGTGTTCCGATGCGAATCTTTCGACGCCTTAGCATAATGTATGATTTGAGAAACCTAAAGATCATCAAAATGGCCAAAGCAAAAGAACGTTTACGACAACAATACGAGAAGCAGCAAGAGCAAGAGGAAGAGGAAAACCAAATGAACGACGTGTATCCCGATTTTGTGATGGAAAAGCCGCAAAAAATTGTGAAAAGCACCAAACCAGACGGCAATCGGATGGAAACTTTTGTCAACTTTTTGCGGCAGATATTCAACGTTAATCAAGTTTGTAGTTTTCTTTAGTTTCATGGTTCCATGATATTCAATGAATTTGATTGAAGGCATCCTTTTTTGATGACAACCTAGATACGATTTTTGTTTGTTCTCATGAAAAGCGACACCAAAGAGAATGACATATCGAGACGTTTTCTGCTATTCTGGATGGGAATCAGCTACACATTGCTCTACTTCTACATTCAGGTCTATGTGTTTGAGAAATTTCAAACATTGACACTGCTGCTGGTGACAGTGATGGCCATCACGACCATCATTCTGCCGCAATTCTCACGTTGGGCACAATCGTTTTCATTGATTCTCATGCCACGCAGCGTCATGATCGTATTGCGTGGTGCCATACTGAGCGTAATCGCTTTTCAGATACACACCGTCACCCGTTTCAATATTGAGAGAAACTATAAAATTCTGGTCACCAGCATACAATGCAACGTGAGGAAAACTGAACGATTCGCGTCACAATCCAAGTCATTTGGTTTTGGCGACACCAGAGGGCAGAAGAGTTTTCGTTTCAATTTCGTTAATCCGTTCAAACCGTTTGTGGAATCCGTCAAAAGTTATGCCTTGTCGATTTCTGAATTTTTCCAACGTAAGTTTGATCAAGTCAGGGGGGCGACACTGTGTAAATACTAGAAATCACACCAATTCATGCACACTCGCTAGGAACACAAGCATACCTGGACAAAGTGAATGCAGTAGGCAATTGGATCGCAGACAAATTCACTTGGCTTCCTTCAATAGATTTCGGCATCACCGGATTCCTGGTCGATAACATAGCAAGTATGTAGTCGTCATCACTGCACAAATCACTTCTCATTGCCAAACATAGAACCGCTAGGAAACCAGGTAAACCAGATTACCGACAACATTGGAAAACAAATTCTTAGTTGGTTCGAAATTAAATTTCACTCCAACTATCACTTTTATTGGAAGAGTTCACAACCCAATCAAACGATAGGATCGGTCATTGCGGATTCGCTCAATGAAGTGGTCGAAAGGCATTCGTACATTCAATATGTCATGAGCTTTGTCGAACAGCTGGTCCACTTTTACGTATTCACCGTGTTCATATTGATTTTCTTTCCGTAATTATCAACAACACTAATCAATCGACCACTAATAATTAATAACCAATAATAATCAAAACCATCATTATAGACCCCTGTTGTACATTTACAAATTCAGACGTCGTCCAAGTTTCGACAATTTCTACATAACCGATAAACTGATTGCCTACGACGAAGAAATGGTGGCCAGCGGCGGCACCGGAGTCGGCTTGGAATCGATATTTCCGTTACGATTCGTCGAACTATTCATGTATGTCCGACGTACCGACCCCATACTGACGATCCAAGAGCTGCAAAGTGCACTCATGTCCTTCATTGTCGATTTCCTTCTGCTGTCGTACGTGCTCACATTCATGTTGGTCGATTTCATAATGGTCCATGTGGTCGTACAATTTGCCAAAATCTACGAATTCGTCTATGAACTAGCGTTGCCGGAACAATTTCCCAAGTTTCTTCAGATTCTCAACACATCTTCGGATGCATCATCACCGATGAAGAATTTGATCGACGCCGATACATTCGTCCAAGACTATCAGGTGTTTCGCCAGGATATTCGTCAATGTCTGCCCATTGTATCGGACATTGATTGGGCACCATATCGTAAATGTCTAACGTATTTCGGTTTGCTAATGCTTTGGAAAACCATTCGGCCATACATTAATCGCACGAGAAGTGTCGTTTGCACCAACCTCTACCCGAAATTGGCTCAATCGCGTGTTGTCTATCTCTACAACCACATCTGGTTCCAACGAATGATAATGGATGTGTACGTATCTGTACTATACTGATCATGACTTGTTATCACTTACCACCACTCACTCACTCACTCACTCACTCACTCACTCAATGAAATTCAAAACAGAACAATGGCCGTCATGAGCCAAGATTATACGAAAGCAATCAGGATTGTGTGGCAATTCGTCAAACAAAATTACAACATTCGAAAGCTGGAGAGACAAAGATTGAAACGAGAAAAGCAAAAACAAGGAGCTGCCGGTCTTGTCGATACGTTATTAGGAGCGCCCAACATGTCTCCATTGAACAATTGTGCCATCTGTAATAAATCATTCGAACAAAACGAATTGATTCAGTGTCCAGGAAACAATTGCCAGTTGCTACTGTGTTGGCAATGCTACAAAACGGCTACAACGGAACCAAACTATCGCTGCAAACAATGCGACACGGCTTACGAACAATTCTTGGAAGATGTTTCCGAAGTCATAGATTCAAGTATGAACGATGAATTGGATTTCTAACCACACACATTGTGTTGTAATTAATAATTAATAATAAATTATGGCAATCGCCAATTTGATCAAATTTACAACCATCGTTTTCATTTTCATTTTCATTTTTATCAAACATCAATCGTATTAGACACATACCAAAGTTCGATTTCGGTTTAAAATATGGGTCAAGTTTAGTGCAATTTCAGCCACCAGTGGTAGTATAGTCGAGATGAGGTTAATCAATAAAAAGCAATCATCATTCAACATCAGTGGTTATGTGTGTAGCAGGGTAAGGCACGACATTAAATTGCCATTCCATTTATGACAGCACAATGTAGCCATAAATGGACATTTTACAACTCTGCCTCATTAAGTAATAAGTAATGGATAATAGATGATAGACGATAGATAATTGGCTAAAAATTAATTATCACATGGCTAGGTTTTGCATTATTGCACCACACCACTATAAAAACGTTAATAACTGGTGTTCATTAGATTCAAATCAATCAACAAACCAAACACTGAAAATGAACTTAAGCGATCCTTCCAAATTGTATCTATTCACCAATCTATGCGACGATGGATCACCAATCTGGGTAAGTTGTAAACACACACACACACACACACGAACGAACACGCACAACTAATCAAAAAAACGAAACATCATGTAGGATTATTCCAAATCGTGGGAAACGGAAACGCCAACTCTGACATCTTGTTTCATCGACATTGGACTGTGCTGGCCACCAACGCTTTTGCTGTGGATTACATGTCCATACATGTTCTATGAATACCTTGTGCGATCAAGATTTCGTTCGAGAATCGGCTGGAATTGCTACAATTTCACCAAATTTGTAGCTGCACTCACACTGGCCATCGTGGCACTTGTTCACGCAATTCATGTGTCAATCATTTCATCATCAGATCAGGTGACCAAGGCTCATTTATTATCAGTATGGCTTTCGTTTGCCACATGTGCATTGTTCATCACATTTCTTCATCTACAACGGACACGTGGTTTCATCAACTGCGGCTGTAATTGGTTCTATCTGTTATTGGTGGTCATTTTCAATGCTTTCGCCATTGCAACGGCCAAACCTTATAGACCGAATAATCTCATCATTTACTCGTACATTGAATATGCTCTCCAAGTGTTGCTATTTCTCATGTCATCATTTTCAGACAAAGTTGACAACATCGAAGAGATTATTCTATTTAGCGGCAAAAAACAAGAGAAACATTGCTCATCATTGACAATGGGAGTAAAAATCACAGCAACAAAAGAAGAAAAAAAAAATCCAAAACTTTGCCCCAAAGAATTGTCTTCGGTACCATCGAAATTGACATTCTGGTGGTTCAACGGTTTGGCCATCAAGGGCTGGCGTCGTCCATTGACCGTCCAAGATCTGTGGCGTCTGCCCGCCTGGAACAATTGCGAATATTTATTCAACAGTTTCAATACTCTCTGGCAACATCCAAAATTCACCGACCATAAACATTATCACCAAAGTAAAGACGATTCGAACCAACAGGCGACGGCGCCACGAGTCAACCTGTGGATAATGTTTGCCAAAATGTTTTGGCCATATTTCCTATTGCCATCGATTGCTCGTGTGTTTACCGATCTCTTACAGCTGTCAAATTCAGTGGTGCTCAAGTAAGACGCGATTATACTCTACTGAACAAACCAATTAATAACCATATATTTCCAATTACCAATTACCAATTACCAATTACCAAATCGCACATATAGGTACATGATCAATTTCACGACCGATCTCAAGGCACCAATGTGGCAGGGAATTTTCTTTTCGTTCGTATTCATGTTGACCAATATCGTGCAGAGCTTCAGTTCGGGCTACCAAACACATCGTATGGCTGTACTATCGATGCGTATGCGTGCCGTAATGGTATCGGTCATCTATCGAAAATCATTGGTATTGGCCAATCACGCCAAAAAGAATTATGCCACCGGCGAAATTGTCAATCTGATGGCAGTCGATTCTCAACGTTTCACTGAACTGGTTCCATATTTGTGTTTCCTGTGGACAGCACCAATACAAATATCCATCGGCCTCTATCTCTTGTTCAATGAACTTGGACCATCAGTCATTGGCGGAGTCATTCTCATGGTGGCAACCATTCCATTGAATTCGTTTGTGGCCAATCAGGTCAAAAAAATTCAACGTAACCAAATGAAACTGAAAGACGAACGTCTTAAATCGGTGAGCGAAATGTTGAACGGAATGAAAGTTTTGAAACTGTACGCTTGGGAACCGGCATTCTTTGAAAAGATTCGCAACATTCGTCTCAACGAATTGAAATCCATCAAACTGTCCGGCGTAGTGCAGACGATATTCATCTGTTTCGGAAGTTGTTCGCCGTTTCTCGTTTCGATGCTCACATTCAGCATCTACATTGCATTGGGCGGTGAATTGAACGCCGAGAAAGCATTTGTCTCGATATCGTTATTTAATCTGTTACGCATACCACTCATCATGATTCCCAATATGCTTTCCGGTCTCATTCTGACTATCGTCTCGATGAAACGTATCAACCGATTCCTCAACCAAGACGAAACACAAGACTATATCACACGTAAACCAATGGACAATGATGCCGTTTCGGTAAAGAATGCTTCATTCTCTTGGGAAGCAACAACAACAACAACAACAACAGTAAACGATAAACAACAATCAACAACAATCACTCTGTCTGACATAACAGTAACGATTGCGAAAAAGAAATTGGTAGCCATTGTCGGACCAGTTGGTTCGGGCAAAAGTTCACTGCTGCAATCATTGTTGGCCGAAATGTACAAACACTCGGGCACAGTCACCATTGACCAACAACAACGAATGGCTTACGTTTCTCAACAGGCATGGATTCAGAACCTCTCACTTCGTGATAACATTCTGTTTGGCCTACCATATGATCAACGAAAATATGACCAGGTCATCAGTGCCTGTGCATTGAAACCAGATTTCGAAATGCTAAGCGGTGGCGATCAGACCGAAATCGGTGAGAAAGGCATCAACTTGTCCGGTGGCCAAAAACAACGTGTCAGCATTGCACGAGCTTGCTATTCCAATTCGAACCTATTCCTTTTCGATGATCCGTTATCGGCCGTAGACAGTCATGTTGGTAAACACATTTTCGATCAAGTTATAAGTTCTCAAAGCGGCATTCTCCGTGATCATACTCGTGTTCTGGTCACCAATGCTCTCTACGTGCTGCCATTCGTCGATCAAGTGATCATGATCAAAAACGGCAGAATCGAAGATGTCGGCACATATCAAACACTGATGACAAGCAACGAAAGCTTCCAAGAACTGATTCACAACTATGCAAAAGCAAATCAAGATGATGACGATGAAATGGTGTCTGCATCAGCCGAACTTTTAGTTGATAATGAACTTGGCATCAATGTCAATCCAGATGACGATAACCAATACGGACACTTGGAACAGCAACAGCACCTAAATGGTGGTGGTGGTGGTGTTGGTGGTGGTGGTATCGTTCGATCAGTTAGTCAATATGTGGAAACGGCGACAGACAAACGACGACAACAATTTTCACGACAAAACACTCAATTGTCCATCAAGTCACGACATTCAACAACCATCAAACAATCAGGCGACGACAACAGTAAAAAAGATCAAACAAAATTGGTGCAAGCGGAAACAATTGAAACCGGTCACATTTCCTTGTCAGTGTTTAAGAAATTTGTGGCAGCACTATCACCACTATGGTCATTGTTGATAATGATCAATTACATTGGCAGTTGCACATCGAGTGCAGGCTCAAATTTCTGGCTTTCCATATGGACCGAACGTGTGGAGAAAGATCCAGAACAATCAAGAAACATGACCAATCTGATCATCTATTTCGTCATTGGATTCTGTCAAGTGTTTTTCGTCATATTCGGCTGGCTGTCCATCATCTACGGAACATTGAACGCATCGCGCACATTACATCAGAAATTGTTATCCAGCATTGTAAGAGCGCCGATGCATTTTTTCGACACTACTCCGTTGGGCAGAATCATGAACCGATTCAGCAAAGATATCGATGCGCTCGACAATTACATTCAATTCATATTGAGGCTAGTGTTGAACAATACGTTACAAGTGGTGGCCACACTGGTCATCATATCGATCAAGACGCCCATATTTCTGGTTTTTGTCATCCCGTTCATAATTCTTTACTTTTTCATTCAACGTTTCTATGTGGCAACCAGTCGACAGCTTAAACGTATCGAATCGGTATCTCGATCACCCATCTTCACACATTTCGCCGAAACAATTCAAGGCGTCAACACAATCAAAGCGTACGGCGCTTCACACCGCTTCATTCGTGAATCCAATCGTCGCGTGGATCACAATCTTCGTTGCTTCTATCCCAGTCAGGTGGCCAATTGTTGGCTTCAGATTAGGCTGGAATTTTTGGCCAATTTGCTCGTATTTTTTGCTTCGTTTTTGGCCACAATTACCAAAGAAGGTCTCACCGGAAGCAGTATAGGTCTCTCTTTATCGTATGCATTGAATGTGACGCTGGCGTTGAATTGGTGTGTACGAATGTTTGCCGAAATGGAAAACAATGTCGTCGCTGTGGAACGAATTTCCGAATATACCGATGTGCCTCCTGAAGCCGAGTGGAAACACGAATCATTCGACAATTCTCTGTCCAAAGATTGGCCCAAACATGGATCCATTCATTTCAAGGATTATGCGACAAAATATCGACCGAATCTGGACCTCGTCCTCAAAGGCATTGAATTACGAGTGCAAAAAGGTGAAAAAGTGGGCATCGTTGGCCGTACTGGAGCCGGCAAATCCTCGCTCACATTGGCATTGTTCCGCATAATCGAATCAAGTCAAGGATCCATCACCATTGATGATGTGCAGATTTCCAAGCTAGGCTTACACGTAAGTTAGGCTTTCATTCCACTACTATACTACGACTCTTTTCTCATTTTGTTAACAACAGAAACTGCGATCGCGAATCACAATCATACCACAAGATCCAGTTCTGTTTTGCGGTAGCCTTCGATTCAACCTGGATCCATTCGACGAATACAGCGACGAGCAACTGTGGAGAGTGTTGCAACTGTCGCATCTGAAAGCATTCATTCAGACATTGGAGCAAGGACTGAATCATCAAGTGACCGAAGGTGGCGAGAATCTTTCCATCGGTCAACGACAGTTGGTCTGTCTGGCGCGTGCATTATTGCGTCGTACAAATGTCCTGGTTCTGGACGAAGCCACAGCTGCCGTGGATCTTGAAACCGATGCATTGATACAGGCCACCATTCGACAGGAATTTCAACATTGCACTGTGCTCACAATTGCACATCGTCTGCATACCATTCTGGATTCTGACCGTGTGCTCGTACTGGATGCAGGAAAAGTGGCCGAATTTGATTCGCCAAAAACATTGCTGGCAAACAATCAATCCATATTCTACTCACTGGCCAAGGATGCTGGCATAGTTTCCTAAATCTCACTGTTGATCACTAATCAATTTCAATATACAATTATTATTATTATTATCATATCATCATATATATTATATTATATTTCCATGCACAACTCGTTTATCAACACTTGATTCATTTGTGTCCGATCAGAGTCTGTCTTGCTATATACTCTCTTCGGACATCTGAGTATCTGTGTGAGTGTTTCCTGAAACTCTACATATTTTACAACCGAAAGAGAAAGAGGAAATGTGAAAATACACGACACATGCACACACAGTCACACAGTTCTCTATAAGATGCAATGATGCATTCAATATAGCGAAACTGTAGCAGTGGTCGTAGATCTGTTATTACAACAATATGACCAACATTAGTATGTATGACTCAGACTCTGTTTATTTTGGACCACCACATCATTATTCGGATGATGAAATATTCAAATGTTGTTGACAATTTGAGAGAAAACTATGCTTCAATGATCCGATTTGGTGTTTGCTTGGGCGTCACTTGAATCATAACATTCAATCATCATCATCATTACTTTTATATGCGAAAAAGATTAAAAATAGCCCTTGCTTAGTTGTTGTTGGTTGGTCAGTCGGTCGTTCATTCATTCAATCATTCGTTCATTCGTTCATTCATTCAATCATTGAATCATTCGTTCATCTACACTAGTTTGTTGTTTTGTTCATTGGTTCATTATTCAATCGAATCATGGCCAACATTACATGTGATGATTGAATGAATGAATGAGATGCGAATAGAATGTCATCACGTTTCAAGCTTAAAATATTTTACAATGTCATCCACATCAACAACGATGACAATGACAATTCTTAATTAGATAAATCATATTCTCAGTCTCGATCAATTCACATTCGTTCTGGAGAATTCATCAAAACTGGTGAACAAAACGTATGAACAACAACAAATCAATCACACGACAATCAAATGGAGCAATCATCATCATCATCATCATCTTTGCACGTTCGATTCAATGACGGCAATGATGACCAAGCCGTGTACAATGATACCACATTCTCGACCACGATCAACAATCAAGTGTCCTTTAATGCAAATGATAAAATAACCAACACCACCACCACCACCACGACCAGTCGATCAAACATTCTCAGTTCAATTGGACCGAAATTTTTCCAAAACAAACTCAACCAATGGATTCAATCGAATCCAGCAGCGGAAGCAAAAAAACTCAACCCTCCAAAACAAATGTTTGCTGCAACGGCAACTAATCTGATATTTGCCTATGGTCGAGGCAAGAAAGCGAGAAATGCCTTAAACGACATCACCATCAAAGTTCCCGTGGGAACAATGTAAGTACATTTACTGTATATATTACAATCACAGTGTGTTTAACCAACAGTTTCTCATAGATATGCAATCTTGGGGCCGAGTGGCTGCGGCAAAACAACGCTAGTACATTCGCTAGTGGGCCTGTTGAAACCGAAATCCGGTTATGTCAAAGTTTTCGGCGAAATTCCCGGATCTACTCGGTCACTGGTGCCTGGACCTGGCATCGGTTATATGCCACAGGAAATTGGATTGTTCGAAGAATTCACCATAAAGGAAACACTATTCTTTTTCGGCCGCCTATATCGGCTACCGAGCGACACAATCCGAGATCGGATAACATTCTTAATCTCATTCCTCGAATTGCCTGAACAGGATCGTTTCGTGGCAAAATTGAGCGGTGGCCAGAAACGTCGTGTATCATTAGCGGCAGCATTAGTGCACAAACCACCATTATTAGTATTGGATGAACCTACCGTTGGCATTGATCCAGTGCTTCGGCAATCCATTTGGAGTCATCTTCGTTCGTTATCATCGCAAGAAGGCATCACCGTTATAATCACCACACATTACATTGATGAAGCCCAGTATGCATCGACCGTAGCATTCATGCGACATGGGACATTGTTGGAAGAAGGCAATCCACAGAAACTTATTCAACGATTTCGTTTGGACAATCTGGAACAAGTGTTTCTCGCACTTTGCCATAACGTGAATGCCACACGTGGCGGAGGAAAAAATCACTATGTCGATAACGTGGCATCATTAGAGCGAAAACAGTATGGTAATAATCACTGCATCTCTGAAAAACCACTACTGTTAACTGTAAATCATCACAAGGTAAGCAGACAATTATTGACAGATAGCTCCATCTTTGTGATTGACAACAACATTTTGCACTTCATACAGCAATTTGACGAAGAATCGAAAACAGGAACTGAAGAACTGGACGATGAAGGCCAAGGATCGTCGTCACTATCACCCTTTTCAACAATTACGAACAAATCTCAGCGACAATCAAACGAACAAACTCAATCTCAATCAAACAAATGTGAGCCAGAAGATAATAGCAGACACACACCAGTACCACCACATGTAGTAGCTCAACCTCAACGTATGTTGATGAAACGGAATAAAATTCTCGATCACTTTGCTCGAAGTTCAGCATTGTTGACCAAAAACTTTATACGAATGTGGCGAAATCTTCCCGTCATGTTGTTTGCATCGTTGATTCCCGTCCTTCAATGTACCTTATTCTTTCTCTGTTTGGGCCGTGATCCATTCGACATTGCCGTAACGTACTACAATGGTGAATTGGATCCACTATTGAATCCGATGCCCAAAACAAATAGTCCGTATAGTTTGCAAGTGCTTCAATCGATCGACAATCATAGCATTCATCTGATGCCCGTGGCTTCCGTAGAACAAGGTTTCCAGTCGGTTCGTTCCGGCCAGGCGAAAGCTTTCCTTCGATTCGGACCAAATTTCACACGGGCGAGTTTCGAAAAAGCCATCGATTACATGTCGATGGACAATGAAACTGTGGCTGAATCGTTCGTAGATCTCTATCTGGACATGTCTTGTAAGTGATTACTAGTACTGGCAGTACTACTACTTTTATCTCTATTTCTTTTATCGCTTGAATAATAGCCCAATTTCATGCAATGAAAATCAAAGAGAAAATATTTGAAGCATATCATCTATTTTCCCGCAATTTACTGGCCGAGAATGGTTACAATCCAGATGTGGCTGATTCGCCAATTCGAGTAAGATGTGATTTGCCAGTGACAACTTTAATACAAAAATGTAATGTACTTGTTGTTCACCATAGATTCCACCACCCTTGATGGGCAATCAGGATCCAACTGTGACAGAATTCATGGCACCAGCATTCATAATGTCGTTGTCATTTTACGCTTCGATAGCTACGGCCTCACTAACACTGGTTCTGGAACGCAAAGATGGTCTACTACAACGAAGTTTAGTTTCGGGAGTGTATCCCAATGAATACATTCTTTCGCACGTCATCACACAAACCGTGGTAGTCATCTTTCAGATAATTCTCGTTCTCTTGATGGCATTCTTCATATTCCACATTCCCAATCGTGGACCAGTGTTTTGGATTTCCGTTCTCATTGTCATGCAAGGTGTGGCCGGAATGGCTTACGGTATTATGATATCGGCCATTGCCAAAGAAGAGAATTTTACATTGGCAGCTTGTATGGGCTCGATGTTTCCACAATTCCTACTAAGCGGTTCGTTCATCATTCACTGATTAATTGTGATTTTTGTTGCTTGATATATATCCAATATCACACAACACACACAGGTGTCGTATGGCCAGTGGATACAATGCCACAGTTCCTGATCTATGTCAGTACGATCGTATCGCAAGCCAAGGCAATCGATGCTGTTCGTCATATGCTATATCGTGGATGGGATCCATTCAACCATTGGGATGTTGCCATCGGTTTCATCGTTTCAGCCTCGTGGACAGTGGTCTTTCTTTTCATAGCGACAATTTTGTTTAATATTAATAAATAAATGAATAATGAATCAAATCAAATAAAACCAACAATTAGATATTGATAGATTCTTGTCGTACATTTTAATCAATTTTGTATGTAATCAATTCAGTCGTCATATTGAATCAATACTTTCATGACACCTTCGGTGCCTGCTTGAAGCAATCGGAAAGCATCCAAAGCCTTTTCGATTGGATATTTCTGTGTTATCAATGGTTTCACATTGATTCGACCAGTTTCAATCAACCGTATTGCTAGTGGATAACTAATTGATCAAATCAAAGATTAGTGATTAATAGGCAATCTAAAGTACATACTCATCTTTAATGCGGCAGACTCCAATCAAATCAATTTCTTTCATTGTCGCCGTCGATAGCGGAACACGATTGGCCGGTGCACCCAAGCCAACTATAGCAATACGTCCACCAGGACGTGTAGCATGAATGGCCATCGATTGTGACGATTCGAACCCTGAGCATTCGATGCAGATATCGGCTGTCTGGCCCATCATTTCGGCAATTTCGGTGGCCAATTGTTTATCACTCATTGTTTTGGTCGTATCGATGCAATAAACATGATCGGCGCCCATTTTTTTGGCCAAATCTAGCCGCGATCGTTTGATATCGGTAATGCAAACCTGATGACAACCGTATGCTTTTGCAGCCAACATGGCCATAACACCAACCGGTCCTGCACCACAAATGAGAACCGAATCACCAACATTAACTATGACACGACGACATGCGTGTATGACCACGGCCAATGCTTCGACTAGAGCTCCTTCTTCCAGCGAAATGCAGTCAGGTAATCTGTAATGATACAATGAAACAATGTCACAATTTCATTATCATTAATATATACACCACCAATACTGACTTGAAACAGAAATCTGCACGATGTGTGTAATAACGACGTAGTGAACCGTCAGAATTTGGCAGGCCATGTGATTGTCTATTCGATACCGGACAAAGATTGTAGCGACCTGAACGACAAAAATCACATTTCAAACATGGAATGGCCGGTTCAATGGCAACACGATCACCCGGTTTTAGATGATGTACTTGCTGACCACATTGCATGACCACAGCCGATGGTTCATGACCCAAACAGAACGGACGATTCAATTGGAAACTGGCCACCTGAGCGGAACGCCACAGATGAAGATCGGTGCCACAAATTCCAGTACTATGCGATTTCAACAACACTTCTGTTGACATTTACAAAGTCATCATGAATGAGTGAATGAAAGCAAAGCAAAACAAAACAAATCAAACTCACCATATGGACCAAGTTTATCTGGTAATGGCCATTCCTGTAATCGTAAATCATTTTTGCCATGCAATACGACCGCTAAATTTGGTTTGCTAAACAAATCCGATTGTAGCTGCATGGAAGACACTTTGTTCGATACTTCTTTACTCATAACTGCCGATTCAATATTGTAATCAACACTGCGAACGTTATTTGCGTTTAAATGGCAACAAAAGATTAATTGTAATTTAATCAAACTCATATTCGATAATGATCGTTTGTTGTTGACACTTTGGTTATTGCAATAATACAGACTTTCAAATAAGAAACAGAATACATAGTGTTTGAATAAGTGAATGAATGAGGAAGATGAAGATGAAGATGAAAATGAAAATAAAGATAAAAGCATGAGAATTTTGTTTGGTTTGAACAAATCAACAAATCACTGGTCAATGAATCAATAACGATGACGAATGGATGACCATTGCGGCATTTGAATAGCTGCTGCCGATGCTGCCGCCGTACCGTTTAATGATTGCAGCAATAATGGCGAAATCATGCCGATATTAGTCATGGGACTACTATCATTCGAAATGGCTGAATACCCGGATGATCGCTGAACCATTCGCAGAGCGGCCGGATCATTCAACGAAACGATGGTCTGGGCCTGAGCAGCTGCTGCAACCGCCAACCGTGATGCAACATCGATGGCCGGTTTTCGTATGACCAGTTTGAGTATGTAGGGATAACCGAATGAACCAATGTACAGGACACGTTCGTTTGGCGAATCAGATTCGCCTTCCAACGCTTCCGATATGAATGAATTGACACCGGCCACCGAATGCAATGAGCCAAGTATGTTGCCATTGGCATCCAATTCCAAAATCAAACCATAATTGTTACCCACGTTTTGCTGATAAAACTGTAGACTAGTTTTCATCTGGAAACCAAGACGTTCGAGCTGTTCATTCTGATATTCCTGGCCAAGTTGTTCGATACGACTGCCCATTTTGGCATAAATGTCCAACAGCTCTTTGCGTAGATATGGCTTGTCGGACATGAAATCCAACAGATTGGGTTTCGATTGATTGCGAGCATTCACGATTGGCATCCAATATGTTTCCTTTGTCTTGTCAGCCGAACGTATCAGGTGATCCGATTCGCCGGGAAGATTTTCAACCCAAATTTCCGATGCTCCTTTTTTCGTACCTGTTAATCGATTAATCGAAATAATGATGAAATGATAGAAATTTCTAGGCCATTCCATTTTTTCAAACATTTCGCGCTTCAATTGTTTATTTGATTGTTTCTCATGTGAAGAGAAATTCAATTTCAAACTTTGAAAAGAATTCGATCATTGTCAAACTAGATCACAATGCTAGAATTGAACAAAAAACATCTTTAATTTCGTTCGAGCCTTAAATGCAATTTTGTTTCATCCTCAATACACACACACACACACACACACAAAACACAATGAAAGGACAATTTGATGGGTTAGCTAAGATTCAATTGTCCTCAAAAGTCATTGTCACATTGGCGTATGATTTGAATTTTTTTTTCAATTTCTTGTGTTTAGTTCATCATCAAGTTTCTGTTCAATCCAAATGGATTTATTCACATTGCTATTCACTGCACATTAAATGCAAAACTGACACTAAACGAAAGCGGAACATTGATAAAATCATGATTGATCACCATAAGGAGCATTATCTTTTGTTTTCATCTTTCATCGTCGCTGTATAGACGACAAATTGATGGCGGAAATATTACAACAACACAACAATGGTAGTAGTTTATATCAACATCAACACGATCAACACGATTATTATTGTTATGAGCACCAAATTTTGATGGATCGTTTGCATTCACTAGTCTATAACGGATCAATAATGAATCATCATTAAACAAAATCTCAAAATATTTGATTGCAACAACAACAAACGCAGAAAAAAAAGAAAAGCAAAGAGACAATGGAAAAAGCACACACTTTTTCTTCAATTTAAATTTCCATCCATAAATGACAAACTCAATGAATGGCGCGCTATTATTAGAATCCACAATGACCAGATACTGAAAGAAAAGAAAGAAAAGATAATCCCTGGATTACATTCACCAAATAACAATGCACTGCATTGTCCACATCTGGCTACTGTTGTCATCATTCAACAGACAACAATTCGATTCAAATGAACGCGATTATCATCACCCCATCATCATCATCATCATCATCTTGTGTCATAATAAACTATAAAGTATCGACAATCAATGAATGAATGGATGAATCAACAATTTCTATTCTATTCAAATCCACTCAAATCTTTCTCTCCATCATCATTAATGAAATGAATCGCCAATGCACTGATGACCAAATTCAACTGAAACTGCATTGGCCTGGAATCCACCACCCTGTTCACTACTGTTGATAAAGTTTACATCACCAGTCAGTCAGACTTGCAAGTCATGAATCTACAGCATAACTTGATCATGATGGCCAGCCTGTGTGAGAAATGTATGGGCAATTATATGTTTTTCAAAACGAAAACGATTATCATTCTAATGTTGCTCTCATCTTCACCATCTTTTCCGGATATATCAATGTGTGTGTGTGTATGTATAATTGCATGAGTGAAACTCATCAATTGTTTTGGCCCTCTTCTTGCTTGGTCTGTTCATGTATTCATGTTCACTTCACTAATCTTGTGAAGAAAAATTTGAATTGCAGCTACAAATCTAAACGCTCAGTCAGTCATTTTAGGTTCTTGGCAAATCATTGGAATGAATGAAAAAACTCACCTTTGATGTAATATTTGAGCACTTTACGCGAACTAAATTCGGCAACCAACAAAGCGGTTCGATCATCGGTGATTTCAATCGAAGTTGGATACCATAATTTATCCCAAATGATCGAATATTGCCCATTGCCGGTATCATACTGAACGACGAATCCGGTCGTATCCGGTTCAATGACCATAGCTGTCCATTGTGTGAGATCACGTTTAGCCGATGCGATTGTAATATAGACCATATGGCCGCCATTGGTGCCTGCACCTTCGTCCAACACTAAATGGCCCATGTATTTGCCACCAACTTGTTCCACCGACAATAATGGTGTCAGTTGTACACGATCATCCTGATCAAAGTGAATGGAATGAAGACCCAGATAGGCATCGACAAAATACAGGACACCATTGCCATCAACACGAACGCCTAATGGTCGTCCACATAATGATGAATCCCACGATTTCTTCTCACACATGTCATTATTAATCTTGGCGATACGAGTTGCGTTTCCTGTGCGGAGATTTCCTCGCCAAACGGCACCACCAGCCGTTCCAGCATAGATGAAATCCTTGTGAATAGCCAACGATGTTGGACCGATAATTTGTCCTTCAAACATACGTGTAGCACCGGCCAACAAGTTGTTTGGTTCAAGCGCACCGCTAAATGAATCGGGCAGATCAAATCTACAAACAACAACAACAACAAATCAATCAATCAATCAATAAATCAATCAATTTTCAACATTTGTGCACTCACTTGTATGTGACAGGAATATCGGCAACATTGGAATTGGCCGTCAATGCAGCGGCCATCAATGTGGCTGGTGCTGCCTGTTGTGAAAGACTTTTGAATGCAGTCATTATGGGCAATGCTGTTAACGATGCAGCAGCTGTCGATGTTGCATCCAACATTGAATGACTTGGTTTCGGTGCAGGTACATAATTATATAACTGTTCGGTGGGTGCCACATTCGTGCCCACAATCGATGATGCAGGTGTTAGGCTATACTTCTGAAATACAATCGGTGATATCGGTCCAGAATTGGCGCCGAATGGCCGTTGTACACCGATGAAAGGAGATGTCGCCGATGATAATGGTGATGATGTCAACAGATGCTGAGATCTTCCTGTACATTGGCCAGTGCTTATCATCATGTTCATTATGATCAAAACGACCATCAATGACCAACAACAATAATAAGGACGATGACGATTCATTTTTGCAATAATACAATGTGATGTGATGACAGTCAGAACACTTGTTGCATTTGTTGTTGTTGTTGGCACAATTCACGATTGCACACCATCTATTTGTGAGATACCTTGTTGCCAGAACGTTCCTCTTTTATAGATGAAGATCGTTCAACATTGTTTTCTCTCATCTTGTCATCATTCGTTTCTCTTTTTTTGTGTTTGTGTGTGTGATGTCCATACAACCAGCTTGAATAGCCAAACACCACCTTATGTTATGATCCAAGTTTAATTCATTTTTTTCGAAAAAAAACGGGCGGAAGAATGGATCAACCATTCAATAATAATTTGAATTTAAATGAAAAAAATTAGAGTGAATCATTATCACTTACAATGCATGATTGATGATTATCGAATGACTTGATTTGATTCCATTGTATGGTTCGAGTTCAGACAACAACATTTTTCCTTTCCATTACAATCATCATCATCATCAATGTGACCATTATGACTGCCATACAAGTTCAACAGAATATTTGTGGATCATTTGGATTGTCATCAGCAATCAGCAACCAAGCAAGAAATTTGAAAATGATATCATCAACAGGAAGAATACATTTCGGAGGAAAAGGAAACAAACAACAACACGGGCATGCGCAGCTGACAAAATCAACATGTATATTTTTGATGTAAACAATAAACAAATTGGAGGAAAAAAGAAGAAATATATGGTTTGTTTACTCGCCTTGTGAGCCCATTTTTATTGGAGCATCTTGGAATTTATTCCAAAAATTCAAATCCATTCAATTATTATTCAAATTAGACATGCGAAAAATTTCAATTCATCCTCCAACCTTTTCTTTTTTGCTCCATCCTCATTATTATTATGATGATGATGATCATTATCTTGACTACACAAAATGTCATCTTATCTGATGCAGTGGGATCATAATCAGATTAATTAATCAAACATTGTATTCAGGTGATAATGGGCAAAAAGCCTAGATTACCAGTGAGTGAATTTAATTTAAAAATAGAAATAGAAATAGATTATGATGCACCAGATTCAGCGCAAACATCCAAGTGTGTGAATCAATCTATCCATAATCATGTTTGGTTGACATGTCAAAGCATTCATTCACTTTTTCCTGAATACGCCCGAATACATCCGAATACGTCTGGTCTTTCTTCAATCAACAACGGCTATGGCTATTGTTGTATATAGTAGTAGTTGTGGCACGTTTTTCTTCCATCGATCGATCAATTGATTGATTGATTGATTGATTTATGGCATGGCATGGCATGGCATGGCCTAAGCGTTGGTGGTGTTTTGATCAAACACACACACACGGACAATGCAAATAAAACAACAAAACAACTTTCGGGATGGCTACAATCCAAATTAGCCATACTCACACACATATATATAGATCAATTAATCAACAGCAAGTCTCGTTATTCAAATGTGAGACACGTTGCTGTTCAAGTACAAATTAATCTTGACAATTGCGATTGTGAAATGACACAAAATTTAAACTCAAGTGTCAAATTGGAAAAATCAAGGTTTCACCACACAACACACAATATCCTGTCATCAATAAATGTATCATCGCGCAAATCTGACAGTCGAGATTTATGTTTCAAACGTTGAACCTGTCACTTGATGGATGAATCAAACAATTTATCCAATCATAATTCGATGCTCCATTTTTAGAAAATCAACCAGTCACATTCACAATACTACAAGGGCCATTTGAAGATTAAATTCAATTTCACAAATAACCATTGCTTGTTGTCAATCATGCATCCATCAAACCGAATACACACACAACATTCTTTGAGCAGAGGAGAAAGTAAATCTCGAGAACAATCGGATGGCACATGATAATGCTACATCATGTTCATCCAATCAATAACGAATTCACACGGATAAAAGACACATTGGGTCATTACATTATCTATTTCTATATATGATTGCGCGATACAATACAATACAACAACAACAACAGACAAAAATCGAATCAATCATAATTCAGATTCAGATATATATTGAAAATGCCAAGAAAAAGTTTGTCTTCAAATTGTATCCCATCTATTTTGGACAAGGGAAAATTTTTCCATTTTCGGGATTGAATATATCACACACAACAATAACATGTAATTTATTGTGGATCATGAAAATCGATTTCTTGTCCATTCGACTTCCGGTCTTTTATTTCCACAACCAAGAAATATTCATTCTCACTAATAATCATCATCATCATCATCATCGTCGTCATCAACATGGATTTTCCGAATAAAAAACGACACTTTCAGATCACGTAAATAACTCATCATTGGCTGAGAATACATATCATATGATTAATCATTCGTTTTTCTGCAACAATGATGATTTGCATTACATTCACATCTTCAATCAAGTTGTAATCAGATCAATTTCCTTTTTCTCTTCAATTCAAATGATTGATCCCTCGCACAGTGACACCTGTTGAATAGATATGGATTCAAAATGACACGATTAGCTTGGCAACAAGTTACGTAATCTTATCATTTTTGCTACTTACAATTGATTTCTTACGATTGATTTGATTGATTGATTGATTGATTGATGATGATGATGACATTGAAATGGCATAAATCTGGAGAGACATCAATCTGTCATGTTTAAAGTCATCAATTAATTCATTATTATAAGCACTGCATTGACAAGCAGCCACAATGCTTCAAGGAACAAATATCATCCAAACATTTCAGATTGAAATATTCGTCTTTATCTTTACGTTGGCCAGTACCATCGAAGATGTGACCGTACAATTGGCTGCCCAGGATAAATTCTGCATGCACCGTCTCAACTCGACGAGAATCTGTTCACAACTATCGTCTATCGATCAACAATGGCATTCAAGTGACGTGCTTCTCATCATCAAAGATGAGGTGTTGGTTCAGGTGACCATGTTCAATTTCTACCAGACCATAATAGCAACCATTCCGTTATTATTCACATCCTTATTCATCAGTTCATGGGCAGATCGTCATCGGAAATCGGCTAAAATTCTACTTAGCATCACAACATTCATGTGCACTATGGAGTCATTATTCCTATTGATCAATGTCATCAATTTCCATTGGAACGTATACATCATGTTGATATCATTCACATTGCTACCAATGGTCGGCGGCACACAGGTAGTTGCCATGACTGTTATAGCCTACCTGACCATCGTAAGCGACAGTCAACAACGAATCAAACGTTTTGCCATTATCGAATTGATAGCCATTGTGGCAGGACCATTAGGAGTATTGATAGGCGGTCTATTGATCCGAGAAGATTTGTTGCCACCATCAGCATGGGCTCATCGCAATGGTCAATTGCACAATTATCACTACGTCATACTGGTTGCATTATTCTGCAAAGCATTCACATTGATCTATGTGCTACTAACCAAATTTCGTAAACGTCCCAAATGCAACAGAAATGTGGCCCACGAATCCGATCCATTGATTGTGACAAACAAACCAAACAATAAGGAAAAGAAGAAAATGAAGAAAAAGAAAAGCACAACACATAGAGCACGCAAATATGTCCAAAGTGTTGGCGATATCTTTGTCATCAGAAACATTAGCGAATCATTCCAGGTTTGTTACCGTCGTCGACGCAATCAACGCCACGTGTTCATATGGATGCTGATGATCGCCATGACATTGGTGACAATGACTAGAGTCAGTCTGGGAACGATTCTCTTTCAATTCGTACAGAAAGTATACTATTGGGATGCCAGTCTCTATTCAACATTCAATGCCATACTATACATCACCACACACGTGTTTGGATTGATGGTGGCCACACCGACACTGACCAATTTACTTCATTTATCAGATTCATCCATTCTCGTCATTGGACTGTTATCAATTATGGCGCAGAATTTCATAAGAGGAACAATCATCAATGTGACTGCATTCTGTCTTTCATATTTATTCGGTTCACTTACCAGTCTGGTATCGGTTTCAATCAGGGCCAAATTGTCTAAACTAATCGCATCGGACGAACAATATCGGCTATTCGGAATGTTGACCATGATGGAAGCCATATCACCATTGCTCGGTGTTTCAATCTACACACAAATATTCAACCAAACCATTTCCATTTATCCGGGTTTCGTTTTCCAATTTTCTTGCTTCATTCTATTGCTGCCCATTGTTATCACCACGTTTATCACTTTCTATCTTCCAACTCATCATCAAAATGATGATGATGATGATGATGATAACAATGTTGTCAGCCAAACAACCATGAACAATGTGGTGAATGAGCACTGCGTTGATGATAATGAAAGCGATGATGATAAACAACCAATGTGCTAACATTCAAGTGCCAATGAAACAATGACAAAATCAAACACAAACCAACAAACCAACAAACCAACAACGATGACGAGGACCTCTTTCGTTCGAAATCGGTACTACCGTATTATTTTATTATTATTTCAATTTCAATTTCAATCGTTAAAATAAATTCCGTTCATTCAAATTCATTGATAATCTTGACCAATGAGATTGGAAGCCTTTTCACCCAACATGATTGTCGCGGCAATAATATGACCATTTGGCACTTCTGGAACGACCGAAGCATCAACAACACGTAGATTATCGAAGCCAATGACACGAAATTGTGGATCAACAACGGCTGCCGTATCATTAGCCAAACCCATGCGTGCAGTGCCCGCAAAATTATAATAACTTCTGGCCAATTGTCGAATATGACAACGCAGATACATTTCACATAAAGTCTCTGTTAAACATCCAACAATCGGACAACCAGGAATGGGAGGAAATTGCATCACACCGGGCAATGGATAACGTTGAAGTGCACGTACGACAAACATTGTAACATCTAGCAATGCCTCAAAATCTGTTTGGTTACTCAGATAATTTGGATCAATCAAAGGTGCTGAACGTGGATCCGTAGCATTCAATCGTACGGTTCCACGACTGGTCGGCCGAGCGAGAACAGGATCAATGGCCAAATAGTAACCATCATTTGCATATGGTGTCCAATATCGTCTCCATTGTTCGCTGTCGTTGTAGTGAACATGGCATTAATCACAATCAATTAACCAAAGAACTAATGCAATGGACTTACGTATTTGATGCGTACTGTGAAACGGTTGCATTCAGATTGTTGAAAAATTCCACCACCGAAATAATCATTGTATCTGGCCAGCTAGTTGCATTGGAATTTTGTGACGACGAATAATAAGTCACACCATCAGCATGATGTGCAAGTGGACCAGATGCATTATGGAAATATCCATACAAATTGGCCACATCGAATCGTGGATATGGATCCACCTGTCTCAAAGTTTCATTATTGACACGATAATATAGTGGTACGAAAACCTGGTCATGAAGATTATTGCCCACCGGTAAATTACGGACCAACGGTATGTTTAGTTCTTGCAAATGAATTCTTGGTCCGATTCCGGATAACATCAACACTTGTGGTGTATTGATGGGACCAGCTGTCAATATGACTTCATTATTGGCAAACATGTGATATTCTGTCCCGTTCCTGGTGAATACAACACCGGATGCATGTGTGTTATTGGTGAACAAAATACGTTCAACAAATGCCCTAGTTGTGATTGTAATTCTAGCCGTCTGATTGATTGATTCAATATAGGAATTGGCCGTCGTAGACTTGATACCAGTATCGGCATTATAAAACATTTGTGCTATTGCCGTGCCGTTTTGTGTACCACCATTCAGATCGATTGTTGAAAAACCGAGAGTATTCATTAGTGTGCGGAAATTCAACAACACAGGATCGGGTTCAGTTTCTGTGGAAACTGAAACCAAACCACCAGAACGATGATAACCATTGAATCGTAACGAACTATCAGTATTGTTTTCATATGCCAAAAAGAATGGCAAAACCATATCCCAAGTCATGTTTGTCAAACCATAACGCTGTGACCAATTATCATAATCATTTGGATTGCCACGATTATAGATGCCCCATTGAGTTGTTGACGTACCACCAAGAACTTTGCCTGCAAAATAAAACAAAAAACATTACAACGATATCCAATATTCAATTCACAGACACAATAGGACAAACCTCTGGAAATGGTGAAATTCGGATATGCTAAACCAGCATAATGTTGTTGTTGAACATGATAATTCCAATCAAATTCGCCGCCAATCAAGTATTGTGTATTGCCAATCATATCGGTAATTACAGATTGTGGACCACCAGCTTCCAACATCAGAATCGATGCATTGAGTCTTGTGGACAAACGATGGGCCAGAATACAACCGGCTGTTCCGCCACCGACAATTATGAAATCAAAATATGATCCATTTACTGGAATAGGGACATTTACAAAATAATTATGGTCAGTTTGACGACGTAGTGCATAATAGGCAACCGTCAATAACATGACAGTCATCGAAGCTGTCGCCGGCAACATCATCATCTTTATATTCTTTCTATATTCGAAATGAACTGACCGAACTCAATGACAGTGGTTCATATATAACTACGCCATTGCCATGAGGGTCATTGCCAATTCACAGAGCTACACCATTCTGCAGGTCTTTCTTGACATTGATAGTGGTGTGCATTGAATGTGATAACTGATTGACTGATTTATTTCCAATTTACTGATTACTGATATATGTAATAATAAATATAAATATATAATAATATAATTCTCTTTTGCCTCTCACAAACAATGATCTGTATTATTCAAAATTCACTAATCATGATGGAGATAGTTACTTTATAATTTTGTCTGTTTATGCTGGTCTTGATTTCGGCGATATTCAACCATTTCTTCGTGTTTAGCATTGGCAATCAATTTGGATTTCAATTCACGTGTTTCATAGCTATTATCTTTACCGGCCAAACCAATCACACCACAAGCGGCAATTTTATTCGGTGTCAAAGCCAAGTTAAGCGATGGTAAGGCAAGCGATGGTGCGCCACTATAGCCAGTTGACAATGAAGCGGTGGAATATCCGGCCGCATTACGTCGGTAAGAGGATGCAGGATAAGCTGTTGGTATAGCTGCAACTGGAACTGGAATTGCTAATGCTGCTGGCATGGCGATTTCGACCAGGCCGACTGCACGACCCAATATTGAATCTTTATATCCATATTTATCACATGTAACGCCAATCGATGCATGTTTCAATTTGTTTACGAATGCCACACCATGATAATCACTTTTGATTACACCCAATTCAATGGCAGCAGCGGCTGCATAACGATAACCAAGCGAACCATGGTCAAGTGCATTACAACCAGCTGTTATGTCACCAGATGGATATAAATTCATCATGAATTTCGAATTTTTAGGCAAACCTAAAAAGAATCACGACCCAAAATTCATTACATAAATAATCATCAATCAATATGAATGCACTTACCAGAACAAACACCGGAGATGAGCATGTTGTATGAATTGATTTCAGTCAAATATATGGTACATGAACACGGGTATTTTGAATCTGAACAGAAAACATTGACAACGGCAACCGGCATTGTGTAATCATATTGGGTGGAATAATTTGCTAGATATGCACTAGATTGGGCAGGGTAATAACCCAGTACTTTGCTAAGAACTTTGGTATAGCTCAAAGCAGGTGCAGCAGCATTCGATGGTGGTGGTGGTAAATAAGCTGGGGCTGGATATGCTGCTGGAGCAGGAACTGCATATGCAGAAGATGAATAAGCAGCCGGTGGTGGTGGTGGTGGATAAACAGCCGGTGGTGGTGGTCGTGGATAAGCAGCCGAAGGTGGTGGTGGTTGATAAACAGCCGGTGGTGGGGGATAAGCATATGCCGAATAACCATAATCAGGACTCAAATTATAAACATGGCCACCATATGGATCGGAATATGAATTCAGATTGAGTGATGCATGTGTAACACCGCCAGAGTTTACATTGTATTTATTACGGTCATCTACATTCGTAGCATTCAATGTTGAATTATTTCTTAGATTCAGATGACTTGTCACTTCTTGTGCTAAATATCCGGGAATCACCTGGCTTCCATACGATGGTGCAGCACGTATTCCAGTCATTGTGGCTGTGATGACATGACAACAAATTATTTTTTTAAATCCATGATTCTCGATCAATGAACACACATTACCTCTAGACTCAACAACGGTAGAATTTAGACTGGAATCATCAAAAGTTTGTCCATCACGAGAGGTTGAATTATCCACATTGGCCGTAAAATCTTGTCGAAAATGTGGTACTGTTTTGAATGGAATTAATTTCATTAATCAAATGATGATTGAAAATTGCTTCACTTGTAACTTACTGAATTTGCCTTTTGGTTGTGAATCGATTCGATAATGACCAGGATATGCAACTGGTGGTGGAGCGGGAGCATAACCGGAATTCAATAATGGTTTTACTGGTGCTGCTCCACCATAGCTACCGGATAATGGAACTGGTGGGGCCAACACTGTAGCTACCGGTAATGCGGCTGGTGCTGGTGCCGCATATTCCTCCACGACCACTGGCTGTACTTTGGGCTTTTTAATTTTCAACTTTTTAACCGGTTTAACTTGGACAACGGGCTCTTCATATTCCGGTTCTTTGATTGGTAGGGCCAAAACTTTTTTTCCTTCACCTAAATCCAATATGTTTAAATTGATTGATTGTTAAAATTTCAATCATCAATTTCGAACCTTTTTTACCGCCCAATTTTCCCAAAAGTTTTTTCGGTGGTTTTTCCTCTTCATATTCGTCCTCATATTCTTCTTCTTTTGCCAGTAAATGTTTACCTTTACCAGCACTACCGAAAAATGAACCAAAATCACCGAAAAATGATCGATGTGATCCATCACTACCATCATCGTCGTTGCTAATTTCTCCATCAGCAGTTTCATTCGAATCATTCGACACTTTACGTTCAGCAATATCATCTGTGTTGGAATCTACAAGCGCATCAGTTGTTGTCGATTCAATGGATGGCTGAGTGGTTTGATTTAGTATTAATGGTGCCGGAATCGTTGTTGGTTGTCGATACAATGATGACGCCATACGCCAATGGCTTGGTACATGTGGTATTGGTATTGCTAGAATCGACAATTGAATCCTTTGAATTCAATTTGAAATTATTCGAAATGAAACTCACTGTGATTCAAGACCAATGGTGTTCCGTAATAAACGCTTGGTGCTCTCATCTGCGTTGCTAAAAATGATAACAATGATGATTTCATTCTTTATTGAATAAACACTTTATTACTTACTGGCATTCATTGGTGCACGAAACAATGCCGACGACGATGATGAAGAATGAACCAATGGTTGAGCAATTCGATGATGTGCTGCAGGTGTAACCAAACGACCCGAAACAACTAAATGTGGTCCCGTTGTTATTGTCGATGTATTCGCAGTTCCATTCAACATCAATGGTTGTGAGGTATTGTTGCTGTTGTCATCCACATCGGTCGTTGACGATCCAGCACTATTTGCATCGTGATCATCTGAATCACGCACAAATGGATTCTGTATGCCTCCCCATGCTTTCAATTGTTGTGGTTGTGTTTGAAGAGATGAGCAATTAGGTAAACGGAATATCGATATTAGAACAATGATCACTATGGATATCGATAGTAATCGATTGTGACCAAACAATAGAATCGACATCTCGATCTATAATAATAATAACAAAAGAACAAAAGAATTGCGTTTTTTTCTGTTGATCAACACGACTGAATTAGTGATTCATAAACATTGACTCAACAAATCAGAGGCAAAATGAATGGATTAACAAGTAACGAAAAAAAAAAATTTCTCTTGTATCACATTCTGTTTTTTTGAACATTAAGCAAAAAATCATCATCATCATCATTGATAATAAATCTGCTTCGATGGACACAAATGAACGAGGAAATTTTTGCAAACACCAGCATTTGCTGACACTGGATGGATAAAATTTATCAAACATTGCAGAAAATGAAAAATGAAAAATTTGGTTGCTGAACTAAGCGCAAAATTCATCACAAACTTTAATCACTAAATAGACAAAAATTCAAAATTACAATCGAATCATATCATCATTGATGAATGGACTTTTCAATTGCTCAATAAATTGCCATTTCGGCCGGAATTGCACTTGAATTATCAGTTTTATATGTTTCTTCCACCGCATAGTAGCTCATTTTTACATTTCCACCATCATGAGTTTCCGTTGTAGGCGTCGAATATGCTGCTGGATACGATGAGGAATATGAAGCGGCTGCTGCTTGTTGCGGCGGTACTCCATATCTCGTCGATGGTATCGATACAGTGGTCGGATATTGGGGCAATCGGCCAATCGCTTCATATGGATTCATCACTGCGGCAGCTCCAACAGTTGCATATTGTTGTGCATAGGAATTCAGTTGCGGTATCAAACTCTGATAGTATTGTACCATTTGTTTGAGATGTTCCAATTGCGATTGTACTGCCGATAATTTCGAATAACCATTGTACAGAGCTTCGGCTGATTCTTGAGAATCTTGACGAACATTGTAATTATGTGGTTTACCATTGCAAACTTCGATGTCTACAAACCAAACAATTACAACAGTTACAAGTTACAAATGTGAATTCCATCAATTCATCAATCATCAATAACATACTTACATCGATAGATAACTTTGGGTTGATTATTAGGATTCACATAGCTTGCCGATCCAGTTTGACTTAGGTATGATGCATAATCTGTTTTCGGTTTCAACAATGGTGGTAGATTTGTCGTATAAATTTTCGGTGTTGCCGGTTGTTTTTGAGTGTAGGATGATGATGTATTCAATTGAGCAGCCTGTGCATTTGTATATGAAGCCGGTGGTGGTGGTGGTGGTGGATTGTTGTTCGCTACAACATAAACATGTCCTCCAGCGTTGGGTTTTTGATTCACAATTTTCGAATGGGATGTATTCGAATGAACCGGTGGCAATGAACTGTAGATGGTGGTGGTGGTGGTGGTAGGTTTACTGTTCAATGATGATTGATCAGCTGAATAGTTTGCGGTAGGTAATGGAGCTAGATATGAATTGATTGGTGGAGATGGATAACTAGCATAACTAGCGTGAGCGTTTACCGAAGGTGGATATGCAGGCACTGGAGCCGGAACTGATGTGTAATTGGAAAAAGTCGCTGCTTTCGGACTGTTTGCCACCACATAGACATGTTCGACGGGGATTTTATTCGGTTTTTTCATATAAGTTTGCATGACAAATGGCTTCGCTGGTATCGGTAAAGGCATTTGATATTGGCCGTGTTGTCGTCGTACAATTGTCTGATCGGAAATGTTTGTATGAACCGTGCGATTCATCTGTATGCCGGGCATCTCTGTCAATTTGATTTCAATATAATTAATCGGTATAGATCATAAAGTCCATGCAAACCTAATGTAAAACTCATATTCTTATTTTTCAATTCGCCCAACGAAATTGGTCTCGATCCTAATTGCTCACGAATTTGTTCGACAACTTGCTCGCCAATCTGATCCGGTTGGTTGGGCACAATGAATTGAATATCTTCTGGATTTATCATCACTGAATTGATTAAATCTTCATCGGCCTGTTGTGGCGAATCAGCTGTTACAAAAGCGTTGGCCACCGATTGATTCTGTCCAATCAGATTTAATCGAATTGCCGGATGCATCGTATCGTTTGGTGATTGATTGGGCCATATTATCTGCGAGATTGATGCCATCGTTTGGCTGGAATTTCCAACCAAACCGAACCATATTAATATGATGAACCAAACAAAGTGCAAAGACTGGATTGGACTGTTGGTAGACATTTCTTTTCTTTTCTCTCTTGGTTGTGTTGTGATCGTTGGCTATGGTCGTCGCTATATGTCGTCTAGCTGAAAAAACTCCCGAGTAATGATGATTGATACCCTGATCATTGATTGATTGATATCAATGGCAAAAACATGCAGACATTTGCAAAAAAAAATTCAAACCACTGGATTCAGTGGATCCACTGAATCCACCAAGTTATATGCTTTCTGGATTTTTGTAGTCTGTCCTGAGTTGAAAATGAATGTAATGAAACAAAAACATGATATTTGAATTCTACATTCATTCATTCATCCATTCTACACATCTATGTCTTTCACACCAACATTGCCATCATATTTTGATTCGAATAAATATATAGATTAAAGATTAGAGATTTTAAGATTTTATTGAAATCATCATTGAAAAAATTTATTTTATAAATAGGGTTTTTGTATTTTTAGAAATTTTTGTTTCCAGATTTCAAATTATAGTCATTTCAAGTTTATTTGTATGCTGCTGGTGCTGCGTATGCCGGGGGTGGTGGTGGTGGTAGGGCTGGAGCGTATGCTGGTGCTGCTGGTGCTGCGTATGCCGGGGGTGGTGGTGGTGGTGGTGGGGCGTATGCTGGTGCTGCTGCTGGAGCATATGCTGGTGCTGGTGGTGGTGGCGGAGCGTATGCTGGTGGTGGTGGTGGTGGGGCGTATGCTGGTGGTGGTGGTGGTGGGGCGTATGCTGGTGCTGCTGCTGGAGCATATGCTGGTGCTGCTGGTGGTGGGGCGTATGCTGGCGGTGGTGGTGGTGGAGCGTATGCTGGTGGTGGTGGTGGGGCTGCGTAATCAGCTGGTGCCGGAGATGTACAGATGCAAATTCCAGGATCTAAAAATCGAATAATTCAGTTAGCAAAAAAAAGTATACATCATCATCATGGACATTAATTACCGTAAGCAGGTGCGGCCGGTGGGGCGTATGCCGGTGCTGCTGGTGGGGCGTATGCTGGTGCTGCTGGTGGGGCGTATGCTGGTGCTGCTACTGCTGGAGCATATGCTGGTGGTGGTGGTGGTGGGGCGTATGCTGCTGGTGGTGGTGGCGGGGCGTATGCTGGGGGTGGTGGTGGAGCATATGCTGGTGCAGCTGGTGCAGCATAAACTGGGGCCGGGGCATAAGCACCACCATAGTTTCTCATATCGGCATCTTTGCCATCGTTTGTTTCATTAGCTGCTCTCATGAAAACTCTACCTACAAATCGAAACGAATGAATGGAAATTCAAACCATCAGTCATGTGGCAAGGATTATACAAGTGATACATACTGGTCATTGTTTTGTTCGTGGCTGTTTTGTTTAGATCGGCGTGTCATGTGTTGAGAGAAGAAAAACAGACTTATAATCAATGAAATCGTAATAAAATTCAAAACTTACGTCCACCCATTTGGGCAGATGCTAAGCCAGCCACCATCAAAGTGGCGACAATAATTCGGAACATCATTGTGAGTTTAGGAATATATTGATTCCTGAATAACCGGAAAAGGCAATCGGATTTGGGTTTCAAACGTTTGCTGCTGTTGTCGGTTGTTGTAATTTAGTTTGTCTTTTGCAAAAATGCTTCGATGATTCGAATGATTTCCTACCATCGAATGGCTGAATATTTATATGAAAATTGATCATCATCGCCAATAACATTGCAAAAACATTGGTCAAATAGATGCATAATGCTTGCATCAGCATTGCCAAAGTGTTCATTTGATAATGACTTGCTGATTCTTGGATTTATTTCAAAAATTATCGGTGATTTTCCTTGAATTGATGAACAATTTGATTGAATTCGAATCTTTTTTGATATCGATAGTTTGCGATTCTCATATGCCGATAGTATCATTTATTCGTCCTTCACTATCACATGTATCGATTCTGTGCTTTGTATTCATTGAATTTCAATATAATAATTTAATGAAAATGATATAAATATAACAACATAAAGAGATAATAATAATGGCTACATTTCAAACTGGCCGAGATCGTCGCCGTTTATTGAGCTATTTGGCCAATAATAAATCAACGAAAAGTTTATCAACAAAGAATGATGATGATGATGATGATGATGATAGTAATAAAAGGAAAAAGCGTCGTCAGCAATGTGCACAATTGGTGAACAAAATTGATCGCAAAGATAATGAACGAAAGAGCAAAACTCATGATCATTGCAAGAATAGAATGAAAAAATTTAATCGTATATCTGTGGCTACAACTAAAAATGACGATGAGCAACTGGAATTGCGTAAAGATGTTGAATGTTTTCTACGACAACACCAAAACATGGAAAAAATCAATCATTCTGACTGTGATGAGGATTTTGAATTGGCTCATACGAAAAAATTCAAACACGATGATGATGATGATGATGTGGAACAATTCGAACAACGAAGTCAAATTCTAGCACAACGTGCTCACCAGACATTATCAGCATCAATGTTTCGTTATTTGAATGAATTCCTCTACACACATTCATCGTTTGAAGCGAGAAAATGTTTCGATTCGACCAAATTCCAGAAATACCATCAAGCCTATGAACACATCATGCAACAATGGCCATTGAAACCGATAGACTACATTATCGATCAATTGAAACAACGAATTCGACCCACCCTTATGAATCGATTGGTTATGGCCGATATTGGCTGTGGCAGTAAACCACGAATCGCTCAAGCTTTTCCCAATTGTACTGTCTATTCATATGACCTTTACTCTGGCGACGATTCTTCAATAATATCAGCCGATATGTGCCGTTTACCATTAGATAGTGACCACTGTGATTATCTAATTTATTCATTATCATTGATGCCACAAAATCTTGCCGACGTTTTTCGCGAATGTAATCGTATTTTAAAATCATCAAATGGTTATGCTGTGATTGTCGAAGTTGCATCTCGTTTTGCTGATTTTGGTAAAAATAACAACACAAACCACACAACATCTGGCAAATCTTTGATGGAAAACCAAAAGCAAAAATTTGCTGCTGATTTTGAGAATTTTGCCAAACATCTGCGTCAACATTATGGCTTTCAGTTGATTGAATATTATCTATTGCCGCCCAATGATTACTTTGTTTATTTTATTCTGAGAAAAATTGAAACCATCAATCTTACCGGATCTCGAGGACCTATGATGATACAACTGAAACCTTGTGTTTATCGTCATCGAGAACCACCGAAACAAAAAAACGATTGAAAGTAAATAATTTCTTTTCTTTTCTTTTTTTTTTGCAAAAAAATGTTGACCATAAATGCAATATTTTTGTATTTGAATATTTTTTTCCTTGCAAATTCAATAAACTCGATACAGATTTTTACATCAAAACATAGAGTGCCAACGATTGTCATCTATATCAACGATCATCATGATGGTACGGAAACCATTTCTCATAATGTTCGAAATACATCGAACCAAAGATACGGCAGAAATTGGCATTCAAAACAAATTTTTGTCCGTTTACATCATCATGTTTCCATTCGACATGATGATGATGAAAATTATCAGCTGAGATTGGTAAATGGTACCAATCGACATCGTACCATTCATGTACGGAGATTCAATTTGTCCAATTCAATTTTACATTTCCCATCATCAACATTCCAAACCATTGAATCGAAATTGGCCACCAATCAATCGATTCGAATGATTCGTTTTCAGGATACGAACGTGACAACGAATCAAACCAGTCAAATCTATACAAGTCGTGATTATTCTACATTTTTGTTGGTCACCATCGATAATGGACAAAATGTAAATAATGGCAATGACAGTGAATGCATGATCCGCATGTACGGTCTGATCGATAGTCAAATGATGATAATGCCATTACAAAATCAATCGTCGACAAGTAATTTTCATCGCATCACCAATGGCGAACAGTTTGGATCTTTGTTTGAAAAATCAATAGTAACGAGTAGCAATAATCTATTGTGGCAATCATTGGCAATTCTAAAACAACCACAACCCATTCACCACATTTATCCGGAGATAACATTGCTGATCGATTATCGGATTCATCGAATGGCACATGAAAAAAACGTCCAATTCACATGGCGTTATGGGGTCATGTTTGTGCAAATGTTGCAATCGCTCTTTTTTCGGACAATCATCAATCAGAATTTTCAAATTCATTTACATTTGAAACAGATTCTGGTGGCCGAACAACCATGGCCATTCGAATCGATACGACCACAGTTAAAAGGATCATTGGCCAGTAATAATAAAACCGCAAATCGTCCATATCTAAATGCCTTACATGCTTTACGAGCATTCGGCCATTGGATCTACAATCATACGGCAGATGTACAAAGTGATTTGATTCTAATTCTAACCGGTCATGATCTCTGCCTCGACGATGACCATGATGATCATTCATGTTCATATTCATCGGTAAAAGGTCAGGCGATAGTTGGTGGTGCATGTCGTCATCATCATCATCATGAACGTCGTCGTGCACTCAATCTGGCCATTGTTGAAGATAATGACCTCAAAATGGTGGATGGTCTACATGCAATGGCACATGAAGTGGCTCATCTCTTTGGAGCCGTACATGATGGAGAATGGCCATTGACAACGATTGGCGGTCCAGGCGGTACAAATTGTCGTGATGATGACTCATTCGTAATGAGTATGGATCATGGATCGATTGTCGATCCGACAACAAATCAATTACGCACTGAATGGTCGAAATGTACATTGGAACAATTTCAACATTTTTTCTCAAAACCACACTCTATCTGTCTTTTCAATGAACCGACAATAAATAAATGATAAATGATATTGATAAACCAGTTTATTTATTTAATTGATTCAATTAATCATTAATTGATTGATTATAGAAATTGTTCTCAATCTAGTCAAGTACTAGGGACAACAATTGATTTTGTTTGAAAATATCTTTGGTTTTGTTTTCAGTCCAGTTCAGTTCAGTGACGATTGCAACTAATCAATTCAATCGTCGTTGTATTGTATCAATACTTTCACAACACTTTGGTCGTTACCGGCTGAACCAAGTAAATGAAACGCTTCTAATGATTGTTCAATGGGAAAACGTTGTGTAATCAATGGTTTTACATTGATTTTACCACTGTCAATCAGTTCGATTGCCAATGAATAGCTGCAATTAATCAAGAAATCAATTAACAAACAAAAAAACCAATTATTGGAAAAGAAAGATTGGGCTTACTCGTCTTTAATGCGACAAACACCAATCAAATCAATTTCTTTCATGGTCATTGTCGACAATGGGATACCGTTCGATGGTGGTCCTAGGCCCACGATAGCAATGCGACCACCGTGTTTAGTTGCGTGAATGGCCATCGATTGTGATGATGCAACGCCCGTACATTCTAGCGTAATATCTGGTGGTCGACCCATCATCTCGACAATGTGTGCAGCACGATCTTTTTCATTCAAATCTTTTTGTGACAAATCAATCCAATAACAATGATCGGCACCCATTTGTTGGGCCAAATCTAAACGAGTCTGTTTGATATCGGTCACACAGACACGATTCGAACCAAATGCTTTGGCAGCCAACATGGCCATTACACCAACTGGACCGGCACCACAGACTAGAACCGAATCACCGGGTTGAATCTTGACCCGACGACAAGCATGAATCACTACAGCCAATGCTTCAATCAATGCACCTTCTTCCAATGAGATGGAATCAGGTAATCTGTAAAAAAAATGAATGTCATTTCATTATCATTAATATATACACCACCACCAGTACTGACTTGAAACAGAAATCTGCACGATGTGTGTAATAACGACGTAATGAACCGTCGGAATTCGGTAGGCCATGTGATTGTTCATTGGATACCGGACAAAGATTGTAGCGACCTGAACGACATCGGTCACATTTCAAACACGGGATGGCCGGTTCAACAGCAACACGATCACCCGGTTTTAGATGATGAACATTGCAACCACATTTCATGACCACAGCCGATGGTTCATGACCCAAACAGAATGGACGTTGCAAACGGAAATCAGCTACTTGAGCTTGACGCCATAAATGAAGGTCAGTACCACAAATGCCGGTACTATGCGATCGTAGTAGAACTTCTATTCAATAAACAACAATCATTAGTGAATCATCAATTAATCAAACATCTTTTTCACCATCATTCTCAAGCTTATCGGGTAACGGCCACTGTTCAAGACGAATGTCGTTTTGGCCATACAGAACTACGGCAAGATTTTCCTTATGAAACAAGTCGTTTGATAATGGGGTTGCCATCTTGTCCCAGTTGATCTGTATCGAGAACAAGAACAAAAATGAACCAAAATTAGAATGACAACATATTGCAAAGCAAACTACATACTGACATTCTATTCTTGTCAGGTACTTTCCTCAGCAACAACTATACCAAGAATGACAACCAGACAAACACACACACACAAACAGGATTCTGAAAGAATCAGATCGAATGATTTGGTGTGAGTGTTGAAAGAAAAAGTACAAATTTCGCCGATCACAAGGGCAATTCGCCGCAATGGGATGAGAAAATGATGTAAATGAATCAGATTGTTGCATCACAAAACAACAGACAATTATATAGCCTATGGTGTATCCACTGGATACTGTACACAGAATCCTGCCAATAGTATTCACTTAGCCAATTCTCATCACCATATTCACTGAATGAACACATGCATGAAAAATGCAACTATCGACATATGGCGAAAAAGAACAAAACAAAACTACATGGACCAGAAAAAACTATGAATCCGTTTCATCATGATTGCAAATTGCAAATCTAAATAAAGATCATCTGCAACTATTCACTAGAATCACTTTCTTTCATTCGATCGAATTCAATTCAATCACAATCGATCGTTCGATACAATTAATCATTAAACATACCTTGCAATTGTATTTACTTTTTCATCCATTTTCAATAGAAATTGCCATTTTTTTCGAAATTTCATTTCCATTCGAATGTTTATGTGTAAACAACACAGATTTATGCCCAAATCATAGCTCACAAGTTGTTCAAATCGGATTAATTTACAAATCAATCATTTATCATTTTAACAAAAAAATGAGAAAACATTTCTTTGACGTCAATTTTTTTTTGTTAATAAAACAATGCCTTGTCTGCCGTATCTCTTGTTAGTACAACATTGTCGATGGAATGGGAAAATCAACAAACTTGTCGTTCGGCGTTATATTGTTATATGCCGAGTTAGTCGTTTCGAAGACAATGAATGTGAACATGTCGCCCACCTTTGCTTATTGGTTGCATTATTCATTCTATACGATTGTTATCATCACTATTCCCGTGTTTTACCTACCACTTTTATTGCAATTGAATCCGTTGGCAATAGCCTATCTAATATGGTATATCTATGATTTCCCCACTTGTGATCGTGGTTCTCGACCATGGCCATGGTTACGAAGCCTAGGGTTCTGGTCATATTTTACCGATTACTTTCCAATACGTTTGATTCGCACGACAGCATTGCCATTATCGGCCGATCGGAACTACATATTCGCCTGTCATCCACATGGAATATTCAGTATCGCCACCGTTCATTCACTCACTACTGATGGTCAACAATTTTCACGACTATTTCCCGGTCTCGATTCACATATGGTTACCGTATCTCAACAATTTTGGCTGCCATTCTATCGTGAAATTCTTCTCGCATTGGGCTATTGTTCGGCTAAAGCCCAAAGTATTGAATACATTTTAAAACGGAAAAAATCCAACGGACAAGTCGTAGCCATTATGATTGGCGGCACTCGTGAAGCTATGGAATGTTCGCCACAACAATTAGTGATGATCGTTAAGAAACGTCGTGGTTTTTTACGTTTAGCACTGAAAAACAGGTAAACATAAATTTATGCTATATATAGACGGACGTATAGTTGCATTCAATTGTGCTATAATCGAACAGAGCATCCATTGTACCCGTTATATCGTTTGGCGAGAATGATCTCTATCACAATGTAGATATGCCCAATTGGCCGTGGATAGAGTCGGTACAAGAAACAATAAAATCTCTACTTGGATTTCCATTCAAATTGTTCTATGGAAATTGCCTGTTATTTCCTCTTCGAAAACCAGTTTGGACTATTGGTAAACAATGATTAATCTGACACTTTTACTTGACAAATCAAATATTTACTTAGAAATTGCCTTTTCTTTTGTTTGACAAAAACAGTCGGTGAACCAATCTTGATCGATGAAGAAATATGTCAACCAACCGAACAAGACATTGATCATTTACAAAAACAGTACATTGAAGCCTTACGTAGATTATATGAACAATACAAACATCAATGTAATGGGGATTGCCACATTCAATTGGTGATCAAATAGGCTCAACTTGAACAGGAAACAATGTCAACCATCAATCCAGATTGAATCGTTGGCTTGCAATTACTTTTCTCTGCTTCATCTCTCGAATCTTTTTCTTCATTCGTCGTAATTTGGCACGTTGCATCATCATTTTCAATCGTGAATTTCTTGTCATTGCTTTCTGCATTTTACGTCTATTAAACGCTTTCAATTGAGCATCGGACATTAATTCATCGAGAATAGTTTGTTTCCTCTCGCGACGTGTTAATCGTCCGGAATAATAATCACTAGCCGTTTGCTGCACGGTACCAATCTGGAAATATTTGGACCTCTTGTCCATCTCATCATTGCCAGCCGAAATCTGACTTGATTTTTTATAAAATTGTTTCGGATTCCATACACGACGCATTTTCAATGCCATTAGATCTTTTTCCATTTCTTTGCTAATCTCTTCCACGCGTGGCATATTAAACCATTGTGGCAATGAACGTTTTCGCTGTTCGCAAAGAATTTTCTTTCGTTGTCGCCGCGATACCCGTAATGGTTTGATCATCAGTTGTTGTTCAATATCATCGGTTAGTGTAGTTTTCGATTGTAAATCTTTCGTTCGATGATTCATCACATTTTTATTCAATCGTTTACGTTGTTCAATTAAAGGTAAATCAAATTGAAGATAAGGTTCATCGTTTTCGTTTTGATGATGATCACCGATTGATGTACCGAATACATGTTTGAATTGTTGGGAAATATCTTTTACATTTTCATAGTCATCATCGACGTCGATGCCAAGTTTAAAGTCTTCTTCAGTCAGGCCAATATTTTCCCTGTTATACATCATCATCGACAGTTCATTGTTTGATGTATTTCTCGTTCGAATTTTCAATTGTTGAAGTTTGAAAAAAACTAAACATTCATTGATAGAGTACAATCATCAATCAATCAATCAATAATAATCAACTTACTGTCATCCATGTTGATGGTCTTTAGGCATTCTAAATTTGAGAATTGTGTATGCTTTGAGACAATCGATTCGAAACGATTTTCCAGTATACGATCATTTGGATTCAATAATAGGTAGCCACTTTTTACATACATTTTCGAAGAACGCAACGACGATAACGAACTTTCACTACAATTGGATTCAGTTTCCGAACATCGATCCATCATCATCATAACTCGATTCACGGCCAATGAAACAAAAAACACCATGTGCACGATTCGAGACTTGAGATTTTTTTGGCAAACTTTTTCTCATCAAATATTTCCGAAACATTTCCGAAGCCTTGATTGTGAATTGATATAAAATTTTTATTTTCATTTCGATTTCCATTTTCATTTCCATTTTTTTCATAACAAAAATAAATAAATGCAAAGAATCAAAACAGGTAATCATTTGTTCAACAAAGAAGGTTTTCAAGGTCAGTGAAATTAATTTAAACAAAATCACTGATTTACAATTCTGAACAATTAAAATCGCCTGCTTAGGATACAAAGTCCAAGCGTTGAAATGATGAAAAAAGTCATGGGCAATGTAGATAATCGTAGATATTCTACACGTTTCTGTTCTTTTTGTTCATTGATTCGAATCCATTTTCGTGATCGTCGTACGGCAGCACGCCAATTTTCGATTCGTTCTTGACGTTGATCTTCATCCAATTCCGGTCGAAATAGATCATATTGAAGTTTCATCGTTTCATTGATTGGTTCACATAATAATTGTGCCGTTGATTTGGGCGGTTGTGATGTTGATGATGATGATAATGTTGATGATGGTGATAGTGATGTTGTTGTTGTTGTTGTTGTTGATGATGATGATGATGATGATGATGATAGAAATGATGATAGTTGTCGTTTTATATGATCGAATGTTGAATCTTGTTGTGGTTGTAATTTATTGGAAATATTGCCATTGCATATTTTTCCATTATTCATGGCTGACTGATTATTATTATTAAAATTAGTTGCTAAAATGTCATCATTAATTTGGAGTTGTTGATGATTATGGTCAGCTTTCAATAAACGTTCCCATAGACCACAATGATGACTGGCAACTAATGCAGCACCAAATGCTGTTGATTCAGCCATTTTTGCACGTAGAATTAGATTGCCGGTAACATTGGATAGAATTTGACATAATAAATCATTGGAGCTCATACCACCATCAACACGGATACCATAATTGAGGCCATTACGCATGAGGCAAAGTATATCGTTTGTCTGATAGGCAACACCTTCCAATGTAGCTCGAACTAGATGAGATTTTCTCGTAAATTGTGATATGCCAATTATCAAACCGGATGCATATGCATCCCAATATGGGGCATATAAACCTTGGAATGCTGGAACAAAATATAGGCCACCTGAATTGGAATCCATTCGGGCTAGATCTTCAACCTGGCCATAATTATCAATCAGTTCAAGATTATCACGTAGCCATGTAATAGCTGCGCCAGCAATGGCAATCGATCCTTCCAACGCATACCAAGCCATTTCATCACCCAATTTGAATGCGACAGTAGTCAACAGTTTATGACGAGCTTCTTCCGGCACATTCTTGTATGCACCATGCAATGGTCCTGGTCCGATATTTTGCATAAGAAATGCTCCAGTACCATAGGTAACTTTAATCTGGCCAATGCTTAGGCATTTCTGGCCAACAAGAGCTGCATTTTGATCGCCAATCACACCGGTTATTGGTATCGACCTGAGTGGTCCATTTTGTATCTCGCCAAACATTGAACTGGATGGCTTTATTTCTGGTAGAATCGAGATTGGAATCTTGAAAAAATCACATAACCATGCATCCCATTCAAGTGTTTCTAGGTCCATCAATAATGTACGACTTGCATTGGTAACATCGGTCAAATGTTTGCCAGTTAGATTCCATAGCAACCACGAATCGATTGTACCGAACATTAATGTACCAGCCAGCATTGATCGACGAACTTCGGCAACGTTTTTGATAAGCCATTTTATTTTTAGCGCACTAAAATATGTCGATATCGGTAGGCCGGTTTTACTTTTGAGCCAATTCATATCACGTCCTGGCACTCGATCGATTACGGTCTCAACTAGATCACTAGTACGATTATCAAGCCATACAATCGAATTATACAATGCTTTTCCTAGGATTCAAATCATTAGTCATATCATTACTCAACAACACATACCTGTTGTACGTTCCCAGAGTATAGTGGATTCACGTTGATTCGTAACGCCAACACAACGGATATCGGATATTTGGAAACCCAATTCAGGAAGTTTTTTCGCAACAACATCTATACAACGTGTAACCGATGACAATATTTCGGCAGGATCTTGTTCCACCCATCCTTCATTTGGATAGATTTTTTTTATTTCAATCTGATGATATGTGACCAATTCACCGGTTTCAGTGGAAAAAACTAAAAACCTTGATGATGATGTTCCCTGATCGATTGCAGCCACAAGTCTATTCGATCGTATTATTGTGTCACCATTCTCATGATGATGATGATTGTGGTTTGTTTGATGTCGTCCATGATGATGATCATCCTCTGCTTCGAGTATGATGGATGATGAATATGACATGTTTTGACCGTTCAATGATGGTTGATTCGGTAATGATGAACTTTCTAAAAGCATAATATTATTATTATTATGTTATTTCAAATTCAATCAAACAATCAATTAATCACGCTAAACGCAGTGTAGATCTTTTCTGTGCTTTCATGTGATAACCCAATGATTTGGTTCGAATGCAATTCTATTTTATATGTGTGCAAGTGGTAGTGAATAAACGCACCGACATTGAAAATAACCAGAAAATAAAAACTTTGATTTCACGACCAACAAAAGGCAGTGGTCTTCAACCTTTTTTTCTAACAAGAAAAAAGTCCATGTGAAACACATCAGACGACAGTTGAAAATCACTGATGTTTATTTTTCAACATGATCAAATCATTGAACGCTTGTTACGTTGTTAATCATCACCACCATCGAGATAAATAATTGTTATCAGTCAACAAAATGGAAAAGAGAATCTTTTTTCTATCTTGAATCAAATTAGAATTGCCCAAAAAACAACGACAACATCGTGATAGTGTGTCAACGATGATGATGATCAGGATGATAATGTGAATGAATGGAAAACTTTTCTTGGCAAACAGCCCAATCGATTGATTAATGTCAAACGACAACAAAATGAGTGATTGAAATGTAGAAATCATCTAATGTCATAATATTTATCTCAATCAATGAGTGCGCGAGTGATGAAGAAAATACGACAAGGTCAACCTTGACATTGATAATGGAAAATACCGATCAACATCACCATTTACGTATACAAAATAGCCTATAGCATATATCCTGAATAAAGCTTGCTACATTCACAAGATTATCGACGTATTTCCGGTCATGATAAAAACACACACACACACACGCACATCACCATATCTGGCAGCATTTCCTTTGCACATCAAACTGGCCAATAAATGAATGAATCCGAAAAAGATTTAAACATTTCAATCAAAATCCTACCATAATCCAAAGGTCTATTTTAATGGTTATTAATGTTTTTTTTGAAATTTTCAAGTTCAAAGTCGCCGTATCCTGATTTGATTCGATTGACAACAACAACATCACAAAATAAAATAAAATAAAAATAAAAAAAAAAAAAAAAAAACAAAAATTACTACGGAAAATCGAATCGATAAAAACTTTTTGATACGGCTATGAAACTAGTGAACTCTTTTTTTTGCTTGTTTGTTTGATTGTAATTCGTATTTTGAATATGATTATCGAATCTAATCAAAAGGAAAAAATGCTCAAAACAGCAAACGAATCTCTAAAATTATCGGGAAATTTTTCTATTTTTCTACAAATTAATCTTAGCATTTGATACACACACACACAGAGAGAGAGAGAGAGAGAGAGAGAGAGAGAGAGAGACCTGTATATGCTTGTTTATCAAGTGGTTATTGACAATTTTTGTTTTTGTTTTCGTTTCTTTTTTCAATTTGAATCCAATTCGATTCTAGATATTTTCATTTCGATTCGACTTAATTAACCGATTCGTATCATGGGATTTTTTTACAAAATTAACTAATAAATTGAAAAAAAGGAGATTTTTCCAATCCAAATGACAACACCATTCATTCAATAAAACACAATCATGTGACTATCAAATGGTTGATTCATCACACACGAAATGAATGAATCAATTAGATTGTACCGGATATATTGGAGTAGGCAAGTGATTAGAAAGATAACCTTCAAGTTAATGTTTCATTCTTTGACAATCAATTTCTGGTTTTCTCTGCCAAAAATACTCCTCAATTGGAAAATTGCTTATTTATGAGTTTGTACATATCTCTTTTGTCGACTGAAATGAAAAACTTTGTTGTTAACTAAAATTAACAACACACACACTCGTAGAGTGGAGAAAAGATATTATCTGGTCGATATTAAAATTCTCTGGAAAATGTGAGTCGTGAAAAGAACAAAATGATGGATCGACCACGCTAGAAATGATCTTATATAATCCTTGGATCATCATTACGAAATTGTGAAACGAAAATTCAATTATTCATTTTACTCTTACGGATCAATTATTACAATCAATCAATGAGAATGAATGGAAAACTAATTAAACTTTTGCTTTGTTTTTTTTTGTTGAGACAAAAAAATATACAACACATTGGGATTAACGGTGCTTACATGGATTCATATATCTAATGAAATAGACAGATTCTTCTTGCTAACTCGTCATTTGGAATTTTGATGTATTTGTTGATCATACGTTTTTCTTCAAAAGATTTATTTCTCTTGATTACACACACATACAAAGACAAGCACACTTATTTGAATGTCGTTCTCATATCTAATCATGACAAATGAATCAATCAAATAGTGAGAAAAATCGATAAACAAGATAACATGTCCAATATCCAATAATTCTATATGGACTATTTTTGTTTCTGGTATTTCTCATCATCAATAATCAACAATGAACAATGAGACAAGATAGAAAATCACATGACACTTACTTGTGATGAATGATGAATGATGATGATGATGATTATTTCCAATGAATATCTTGTCAGTGACTATAAACTTGTATATATCACGACAGACTTGTGTTGATGATATGTGAGCTCACAAATGACAAATTGGTCGTAATTTTGACAATTATTGGTGAAATTTGGTCAATTCAATGAATATAAATGCAAATTTTCTTTTCGGCGGGCCAATCAATCAATAGATCTATGCTTGTTTTATTTTCATCCAACCACGTTTCTTCGTCTCCGTTGTATTTGGCTTTGGTTGATGATTCGATGCGGCAGGCGAATCTGGAGTGGTTGTTTTCGATGATCATATGTCCAATATAACCATCATCATCATCATGGTGATGAATGAAGCTCGTCTGTTCGTTGGATGAATGAATTTTGTTTTTTTTCTGGATTTATATGCTTCTTCTTCTTCTTCAATTTTACCGACAAAAAGTAAGCAACCAGAAAAAGCAGAAACCTGGATGTGTATTATGTTGTAGATAGATTCATTGATTCACAGAGAGAAAATGACTAGAATGTTTGTTGGGTACAACAAACGAGAGCAATGCGATATATATTTCCAATATATTCTTCAGCGCAGGCGACAAAATCTATATAATCACAAGAATGGTCGATTTTGATGATATTGTAGTCGTGCATGATACTGCAGATACTGCTGAATGAATGGTGATCACATTTCATATGTATGTGATCACCATTCATTTTTTAGTTTTCAATTATACAACAATACATGCTTTTATATGGATTATATGGATTCCACACTTGTGTAAAGAAGTTTGAAAGGCACACTGGTATTTTCCCAAAAAAAACAACACGCGAAAAATTGAGAGAAAGAAAAAGACTACATCATCATAGGTTATATAGCATAAAAAAGATGATGATCATATTTGGATGATGACGAAATTCGACACTCGAGACGTCTATCTTTCTTTACTTTTTGGCTAATTTTTCTTTCTTCCAAAACATCATATGACTCGAACGATGATGCATGATGATGAAGATGTAAATTGCAATGAAAAAGGCTGAAAATACGATTAATTTGTCCGATAAGGAAGAAATAATGTACTGAACGTTGATGAGGATGACCATCGATGATGTGATTGAAAATGATGATAAAATGGTCAAAAAAAAAGAAAAGGAAAGAAATGAATTGAAATGTTTGCCTCTCACTTTTCAAGGTTACAATGTTTTCTTTTTTGTCTTTGATGGAATTCGGTTCATTTCCAATGTCAATTTTATCAAATCAATGGCATTTTCCATTCTTCTTATGTTTGTTTTTTCTTCTGATTGTAACAAATAAAATAAATATTATCGAATCGAATGACAAACAACGTAAATACCTGTTTTTTCTGAGTAAATTACATCTTTTTCGTAAATGGCCATAAAAATATAATCTGATAAAAGAGATGCTAGATTGAAACTTTCAAATTGAAATGTTCACTTGAAATGTGCGATGCAATTTCATAATTATAAAATTCCAAAGTTGAAGATGGTAATAACAACAAATGTTCAGTGACCCTTTCACTTTTGCAATTGATTGATGAAAATTGTCTGAATTTCATTAATTATTAATAATTAACAATTAACAATAATAAGTGATGATCAACATGATCATGATCATCATTTCATTTGTTCGAATGATCAATAGAATTGAAAAGTGATCACTAGATGGCAAATTGGTAGCCAAAATTTAAATTACACACCGACAACAATACCATCTACGTACCATTGATGTAATTAATAACAATACAAATGATGATGATGATGATGATGATTGATGATTAAATTTCAATTACATTACATCATACAAATACTAATCTAATTCGGGGAAAAATGACAATGGAAAAAAATTCATCAAGTTTATTAGTTTATTAGTTTTTTGTGAGGATTTTCCAAAACATAGTGGGAGTACTGATAAACTACCAGATACATCGATGACAAAACAAAGATGGTAACTCCCAAGAGAAAGAAATTGTCAATGCTAAACGATGAATCATTTGATTAAGCAAACAGATTGAGGGCGCTAGATTCTTAAATGAATATATGAAGACGATGGAAAATTAGATTTCATTATCAACCGGTTTTAAGGTTATTGATGATGAATGATGATGATGATGAGAATCAGACACAATGCAGAACACATGATGCCTATTCCACCATCCATTCGATCAACATTGGATTTTCCCGATGCCCAATCATTTGACAGCAACAAAAACATTGCATTCGATTACAAATGTATAGTGCAAATAATTCATTCATTTACATTTGTCATTTGTCATCGAATCGATAAATGATTGATAAATGGCAATCAATTGCAAACTGACCAACTAGATAATCATGGCCGGTCAGTAACACATGTACTCAATATGATCATCATATGACGTCTATTTCATCATATTGATTACAAATTCAGAAAAAACCGTCTTGATCCATTCATACGAGAATGATATTTTTCATTTAATTTCACTAATCAACAAGAATGAATGACCGAATCATGTGAATTGGTAGGAAATTCTCGATTCGGACTAACACCCATCATAGTTCACTCAACACAATCAAATTGAAAAGGGGAGAAATACAAAAATGAGATCAACAATCAACAATCAACAATTTAAAGAGAACAACAAACAAGCAAACAAGCAAACCAAAGTTTGATCAAGGAAACGGATGAATGGAATGGGAAACATATCGTTCAATTTGAGGAGAAAATTCATCCTTCAAAATTGTGTGTTGATTGCAATGGATATATCATCATATCCTGGTTTGTCTTCATCCGAACAATGGCTATTCATGCGAATGTGAGTCTTATCTGAATAATTGTTTGGAAATTGACAATCATATCATTGTCACAGTGGCGCTACTCACTACAGACAATTTACAATTTTATATTCTTTCAGTCCATCCATCTATTCTTATTGACTTTGTTCAGCAGTCAATTTGTTCACCGAAAATGTCATGTATCTTCATTATGAAAATTGCAATCAATTTTCTCTCATTCGAAGCTTAGTTTTGGTGTATGCATTGGTTTGATGTAATAATTCTAATGTGTTACAGAGTTAGAAGTTTAGCAAAATGGTCGCTTTATATTGGTGGCTGTGAGATGAAAACGGAATCCTATAAAATGTAAACGAAACATACGATTCACATCCATTCCATTTGTTCAATTCGTTCATGTTGATGTTCACTACACACACGCACACATAGAAAGGAAAATGTCGCCAACAATTAAATTATCACTTACCATTGTGGTCACCTGTTATCTTCATCTAATCATCAATAATTATCCATTGATCAATGCATCCGATATGATGAGCGGGGCAAATTATTATCCCTATGAATCAAATCAATGGCATCTTGATTATTATCCATACGGTGGTCGTGAATCGAATGGAAGATTACTCACCGAATCCGAACAGAATGATAATTTCATCGATTATAACGCTGGTTTCAATGCTGGTGGTGGTGGCCGAAATAAACGTGGTGATGAAACATTCAGCACCGATGGTGGTGGTAAAAGTATTTCCAACATTCGAAAACCGCTTCTTTTCAAACGAGCCACAACCAATGTACGAAAACCACTTTTATTCAAACGATTCATTGCTGATTTCAATAAAATTGATTACTCCAACAATCATAAACTATTCGATAAGATCACTGGTGATAATGATAAGGATGATGTTGATGTCCATGATGAGCAATTTTTTCAGCATTTATTCTCCAATACCAACAATCGTCTCGCTTATTGAAATTGATCATTCATTTTTTTTATGTAAATTTGTTTCGTTCGTTTTCGTCTTTTTTTCCAAAATTCATTTTATTTTATTTTTTATTTATTATCACTGATCACTGAAACTTTAATTGATCGCGATTGATTCTTTTTTGAGTTGAATTAAAAAATCATCATTATATCCATTTAAACATTAAATTAATTGAATAAAGTATACTGAATCTGGTAAAACGGAAGAGATTTATATTATGATTTATATCAGACTTGACGTCGTTTACGATTCAAACACACAAGTACAATTTTCGAACACAAGAACAAACCTCACACTATTGAAACACAAACGAGGCTATTGTGTTAAAATAGTGGTCACTATTTTGTTCTGTCACTGAATTTTGCAAGTCACACAATTTGCCAGTGTTGAACAGTTTGATAATCTCTATTTTGCTAAATTTTCAGTTTGGATTCTTTAAAAATCTGAAAAAATGCATGCTTTACGTAACAATGCTCCAATTCAGGATTATTTAACGCCGAAACAAAACCAATTCTCTCCATATACTGACAATGGAGGGTAAGTTGAATGATTCAAATGATTGATATTGGTGTTTTTTTTGATCAAAAATTCTAATGAATTTACAGTACCTGTGTGGCCATTGCTGGTAAAGATTTTGCCATCATTGCTTCGGATACACGTTTGTCTGAAGGATACACCATCTATACCCGTGATCAACCGAAAATTTTTCGATTGTAAGTTGTTGTTTTTGATGGAATTGAATTTTTATATTGTAATCATATAATAATTGATGAAATGCTCATCTATTAGAACTGATCAGACAGTACTTGGCTCCACTGGTTGTTGGTGTGATGTTTTAACATTTGTCCGAGTTCTTCAAACTCGTATCAAGGTAATCTCATTATATTTGATTGATGATGATGAATTGAATCATATTTGAAATGCATTAACATTTGTATTTGTAACAGTTGTATTACAATGATCATGGTAAATCGATGAGCACTCAATCGATCGCTCAATTGGTATCGAACATGTTGTACAGCAAACGGTTTTTTCCTTATTATGTATCGAATATGGTTGTCGGTTTGGATGAAAATGGTGCCGGTGCCATCTATGGCTATGATCCAGTTGGAAGTTTTGATCGTACCCGATTTTTGGCCTGTGGAAGTTCCTCACCATTGATACAACCATTATTGGATAACCGAATTGGTCATTCAAATCAAACAATCTTGGATCAGAATTCGGAATTAACATTGGACACGGCTACCCGACTCATAAAGGATAGTTTCATATCGGCTGCTGAACGTGACATTTATTGTGGTGATGCTGCATCCATTCAAACAATCACCAAATCGAAAATGGACAAAGGTTTCGACGAGGAACATTTTTCACTTCGAAAAGATTGAAAACATTTCTTTTTTTTTTAAATTATCAAAATTGAATAAATAAATTTTTATTGCAACTTTATTTGTAATCCATCTATCATCCATAGAAATTGATACCGGTATTTTTTGCTATCCAGTCAATATATTTAGAGACACGAGTGAAAACATCCGGATATCCGGGTACAGCACATGGAATCGAAAATGACACGATGCCGATCTGGATGGCACGATTTCCATCCTTCAGGATCAATGGTCCACCAGAATCACCCTTTTTAGAGAGATAAAGAGAGAGAGAGAGAAGAAATGAAAAATGTCTTGGTTACAAAATTCAATTCAATAGGAACAAGAATTACCATGCAATTTCCACGATGAGATCGTCCAGCACAAACTTGATTAGTTGTAACCTGTATGACTCTGCTGAATGCCTGATGACAGGTGTTGTGATCGACAATCATAAGATCAACACGTCTCATCAGTTCCGGTGTGATACGATTATCTTTGGCAACGAAACCCCAACCAGATGAGCTGACCATTCCTTCATATTCATGTTGTGTTTGCCGTGATAGGCAAATATTGTTAATGTAGATTTTATCCTTTTGGACATAGCTTATTGGTCGTGATAGATGTAATAGGGCTATATCATTCTGACCAGTACGTTGTCGCCATCCTTCATGTACAATGATTCGGTCCACGGCTATTGTAACAGCGTGTTCTGTGTCCGGTGATCGCCAATTTGTTGAACCGGCCATTATTTGTATCATACCCGGTGAATAAATGCTTTTCATGCTTCTCATGCAACAATCAACCAATTGATTAATGAAACAAATCAAATTCAAATCAATCAATTCATCTTACCTTTCAACACAATGAGCAGCAGTCATGATCCATTGATTATCGATAATTGATCCGCCGCAAAAATGTTGCCATTTCCATTGCCAATCTTGATTGGTAATCGGCGGTCTAGGTTGACGAGTAGGAGGCATTGGTGATGGTTGAGGTCTTGGTCGTGGTGCTGACGTGGGAATCGGTAGGATTATGGGTGGCATTCTTCTTGGTGGTTGTGATGTTGATGGTGGTGACCATGTTGGCAATCTAGATATGGTTGGAATCGGTGGTGGCATTGTTGGTTTACTTGCCGTCGACCATGTCCAATGTTTTGGCGTTGTAATTATCATGGGTGGTCTGGGCGATGTCATTATTGTTGGAAATGATGATTTCATCGACGATGATGATGTTATCCATGGAGGCAACGATGATGGAAAAGGAGGAAATGATACTGCTGGTGGTGGTTTAGACGTTGAAATTGAATTTGTAGGAAATGGATGAACGGTTGTCGTTGTTGTGGACATTGTTCTCGTAGTCGTCGTCGATGTAGTTAAACGTGTTGGCCAAGAACTTGTTTGAATTGGCGGTGGCCGTGATGGTGGATATTTTGGTGAATCAATATGGCCAGATTGTGGTGGTGGTGGTGGTGGTGGTGGTGGAAATACATGATCAGGCGGGAATGTAGGTAAAGGTGGATAAAGTGTTACTTTCGATAATTGACCTTCAATAATAACCACGTTGATTGGTGTGGATGAGGAACTATTGGCGCTTGGTGGATAAACACTGATGATGGGAACATTGGATGAATTGGAGGAATTCTCCAGCCATTTTTGTATCTGTTCATCGCTATAATTGGCACCACGTAATAAATCTTCAATCAATATATTCATAGGACTTTTTTGCCAATAAAGTTCATTACTAAATGGTTCTTCATCATCATCATCGACAATCGTTTCCGAAGAAGACGGTGGCAACAATGATGATGGTGATGCTGAAACATTACCCATATTGGTCATTCGAACTCGAACTCGTCGTTGTATGGATACCTGCCAGGGAAATTCACCAATAGTGGCTATCTCTCCGTTCACGATACGTGTTTCAAGAATATTGTTCGGTAAAGTAAATTCTCCACATTCTAATGAAACTGAAAAAAGGAAATTGAAACAACAATCAATGAAAAAAAATCAATCAAATTCTTACAGCAATGGTCGAATAGTGAGCAATAGGAATAAAGTGCAATTATCAATAGAATGCCAAAATAGCGATCCATTGTCCTGAATGTTGGACGTTGAATGAAAGGAACAAACGGAAATGGGAAGCTCGATTATTTTTTGTTGAAGAAAATTCTTTCCCTGTCTTGATTTCTTTAGATGGATATTTCAACAAATCGATCAAAGTATCACATGAAGAGATCAATCAACATAACATGACTATTATGCATGACTGGTTGGTGTATGAGCGTGAAACCTGTATAAAATGTTGGGTTTCGGTTTTTATACGACCAAAACGAAAGCCGATAACCCAACCACATTCCTCGAGATGATGACCACCACGACAATTTTAGCTCCATTTCAGTATCGACTTGTTTTGATTCGAGCATCAAATCGTTTTCGGAGCATTAATCATTTGATCAAGATGGAAAAAAGAAAAATATTTTTCTTTTTTTTTATCTACAAACATTATACCACAGTTGACCTGTTGAACATTAACCAAAGTTCTGAAAAAAGAAAAAAAAGATTTGCTTATTTAATTTAACCCAACATTATTATTCACATTACCCCCTTGTGCCCTTTTTCGATTTTTTTCTCTTTCTTCCAAACATCGTTCTGGTCGAGTCCAGTTTTTCAAATCTGGTTGATGATAACAAAAAATTCCTTCACATCGAAATCATGAATAGATTGATGACCAGAACCAGACATTTGGTATTTGAGAATTTCAATGTTGGTTGATTGTTGAATCAATGTTTGTTTCGTTCATCATTTTCTTCTTGTTTGCATGGCCAATTCATAATTTAATGAATTAATGGCAGACATATAACAAAACAGGTTTTCTAATTAAAAATATTTGAAAATCAAAATAAAAAAACATTGCATTTATTTTCTCTCTCTCTCTCTCTCTCTCTTTCCGATTGAAATCCAACAACTTACATGAACTTGTTAGTTATTCCTCCCACCATTGGGAATGAATGGATTTCAATTTCATTACATTCCAGGAACAACAAGTAATAGCAGCAGTTTCTCATTAATCAACAGCAAACACGTTCTATGACATTCACTAGATGTATGTATATTGCTGCAGTAGTACGTTCAAAATGATCAATTTTGATTGTGTCGATAATCTTGATATTTGGCCTCATTCATTTTGGCTTGCATTATTCATTTGAAGGTGAATATATTTCACTTTCCATCAATGTTGAAACAATGTTTGACCATTTTATGCCATTATCATACATCTGAATGTATATAGAGATCCAACAGTCATCGATTCTTTAAAAAATAATTCTGATCGATGATCATTATAAATCACCATCATCATTGTCACATTCGATATGACCAGTATGTGTGTCTGTATGAGTTAGTTTGCTTTGTATTTACAATAATAATAATCATAAACTATTTGTCATGTCATTTCATTTACTTGTCATTTTGACAGAAATTTTGTCCATCATAACATCACAATCGACGGTGGTGGTGGTGGTGGTGGTGGTGGTGACAATATTCATGTTCATCCATCCAAGCGATGCTGGTACAATGTTTGGCAACAATAATAATCATAATCATACAAATGATGACGATACATCATTATCAACATTATGCTCGCAATCAATCATAAATCATCCATGCCGTTGTGAGAATGGAAAAATCATCTGTGATGGCGAATATGAATTCAATTTGAATGGCCAATTCGAACGTTTAAACAGAAATGTTAATCATCATCATCATCATCATGATCATGGTGATGGCATCGTTTTCGATGAATTCATCCTAAACAACACGGAAATTTCCCAACTAACCGATGATTTATTTGGTGATCGAATCAAATTCAAAAGTATCAAACTAATCGACTGTCTGAGCCTGAGACGTATAGCGGCCAATACATTCCGAAAGAGTGGTTCATTTATTGAACAATTTATTGTTCAAGGAGAAAGTTCACTCGGTGAAGATCAATATGCCAGTGATTTATTCGATTCACTCAATTCAATGGTTAACGTGGAAAAGATATGGCTGAATCGTAATCGATTACGGTCCATACCTACGGTGGCATTTGGCAAAAAATCCGGTTTCGTCAAATTGAAAGAATTGAATTTCAACAAATTTAGTTCGAAAAATGGCTACATTAAAAGTGTTGGAAATTTCGCCTTTTACTACCTGAACCAATTGCAATATGTTTACCTTTCACATCAACGTATCAATTATTTACCGGCCAATGCATTCGATTTTGAACAGACATCCAATCAAACCCTGTACATTTATTTGGGCAATAATAAATTGAACAACACAAGTTTTGAAAAGGGCATTTTTCTCAACTCTAAACGTCCCATTCATCTGGAACTGTACTGGAATCCGGAATTAACCTATCTGGATGAAGATGTTTTCGCACCATTTCTTCAGCTCAGTCCATTGAATCGTATCAGTCTACAGGATAATCCATTGGTCTGTGATTGTAATTCTTATTGGATCATAAGAGATCGGCATAAATTCGTCAATCAAATATTGAACGTTATGTGCAAAATTGGCCCCAAACAAACGTTCAATATCGATCTGATTTCATTCGATAAATGTATCAAAAATGGCCGTAAACGTAATAAACTTATCGTCGTCAACTAAACATGGACATAGACATCAATCAATTCCTTCTGACATCAAAAAAAAAAACAAAAAAAATTTGTTCTTTTCTCTTTTGTTTTGTTGTTGTTGTTTTCTGTTGAAAAATTCTGGAAAATTAAAATAAATGAATGAACCAAACGACAAATGAAGGAGAAAAAACCATTTGAACATCTAGCTCATGTTTTTGGCTGAAAAAAACCTGACTTTTCCCAAAGCTTGGTCGATAATGGAGATATATCATGCGCGTCCTACGATGCTATCACACACACACACCAAAACTGAATCGGTCGGTTACTACGACCAATTCTCTATAATCGCAATCTGGCAATTTATACACATTCATCCACCATCGTTCCATTGGGACCCATTCGGTACGCCCACCTACCATATAAACTTCTGGGGTTGCCAGATTCATTTTTTTCAAAGCCATTCGATATTGAATTTGGAAAGAAAAAACCAATTCTATTCACAGTCGATGCATGCGCCGTCATTGATGATGATGATGATGAAGATATAGAAAAATTGATGGGGCCTTTCTCAAATTCGTTGATGAATCAAGCTCAAAATCTATACAGACACACACACACACACACTGGCTCTCGATCTATATAATATAATTTTGTTCCATTTGGAACCCAGTTTGTCCATGTCCCCTTTTTTCTCTCAAAATAATATGAGTCGGGTTCTTTGTCACATTATTAAATTTTTCGTTTTTTTCTGCTTGTTTGCATCTGAATTTCAGTTTTCAGTTTTTTCTCTTTTTTTTTCTTCATTTTCTCATGGTCAATCCATACAACGAAACAAACTCTTCCGATGTATGCCACACCACAATCAAACAACAAACAACTGATTGTGGGGAAATATTGCAAAGACACTAACACCACCGCCACCGCCACCACCACGAAGAAAAGAAAAAATTCACTTTCTCATTCTTCATTCTGAAAAACATGAATGAGAAATGAATTTTCGACGTTTCTTCTCATCATGATGATGCTCATCAATTTTGATTATTTCAATCAATTTGAATTTGATGAATTTGATTTTCGTGTGTAGGTGTGTGTTCATTGTTCAAATCGAGATTGGCAAAGAAAACAATTGCATCAATTGTTGATTGACTGTAAATAGCTCTGCCACTTTGAAACCCTTTTTTTGTTTCATCAAATAATCTTGCTAAATGATTCGAATAAAATTATCATCAACAAATACAACTCTGATTACATGGTCAATGATTATCATTATTAGCAAAATTGACTTTGGTTTCCAATCAAAATGTCAGTCAATCAAATGAGGATCGTTATGACAGTGATAGCACTGACCGGCATTCACGTTGGTGCATCATCATCATCATCATCCTCATCCTCATCATCATCATCATCACTGCTCATTATTGGCCGATTGCCTTATCACCGATTGTCATTGGATTATAGTTCAATGTTGACTAAATGCCTCCCTTTGTAAAGGTGTGCGTGCTCGGAAGTACTGGTGTTGGAAAAACAAAGTTAATACAGCAATTTGTTTACAATTATTATGACGATCAATACGAAGCAACCACTGCCGTCAACAACAAAGATAATATCTATCATTGTTCCACAATGTTCAATGGTAATCTTTATCAATTGAAAATTATTGATATGCCTGCAATCAAAGAATTTCCAACCGATGCTACAACCGAATGGTCACAATATCAACAATGCCAATTACGTAATGCTAATGCATACATCTTTTGTTTTGATCTCAATTCACCCGCCACATTCAATTATGTCAAATGTAAGTCACTCATAAACATTCCAATTCAATTCAATTCAATTCATTTTCATATTTTCATACTAGTATTACGTGATCAATTGTTTGAAAGTCGTAATATGCAAAACGTACCCGTTTGGATCGTTGGAACAAAAGCTGATCTTTGTCTGAATGTTTTGGCACAAATGCGTTCACATCACCATCACCACCACCACCACCACCACCACCATCATCATCATCACCATCATCAACAACATGACCATCAACAACATCATCGTCATCGAAATGTGCATCATCATCATCGTTCGCTATTACATCCTACATCATCCAGTCAGATTCATTCCCCATATGAAGATATACAGCCAGCATGTAAAGAATTCTCCAATCTAATACGTAAACAATGGAAATGTAATTATCTGGAATGTTCGGCCAAATATAATTGGCGTGTTGTGGCCATATTTCGAGAATTGTTCAAAACTATCGACCCAATCATGGTGGCAGCTGCCTCAGCCGAATCATCACAACAACAACAACAACAACCAACGTCCATGCCAATAACAAGTGCTCCAAGTATGGCTAGTAAAGATCAATCCGTTTCAATCATTAAAATCAATAATGCAACATCGGTAAATGTGCCACCCCGAACCATGTCACCCGGTGGTGGAGATTTATTTCAAACCACAACAACAACATCAACAACAACGACCAGTCGCCATTTGGCTGCAAATCATAATAGCAATAGAAGAATATGTCATATTTCTTAACAAAGTGAAATGAAATGATGATCACTAATTGATTCTTGGTATTTATGAAACAATGAAACTCTCTCTCACAATTTCCATCACCCATCTCTTTCAACGTGCCATTTTTCAAATTGAAATATAATAAAGATTTATCTCTCATTCATACACAGACACCCATTATTGCTCCAATCTATATATCTTGATGATGATCTTTCCTCGTAGGATATTCGTTAATCGTTATTGAAATTCATTGAACAAACACACTAACATTCATTCACATACATTCCCTTTCATCATTTTACATAGAAATTCATTTGCTCCAAAAAATTATTCTTCTTCGAGGGATAAACAACACACAAACATACATACGACGGAAATAATAACTAAGTCTTTCATCGACCAGTGGCATTATTATATTAAATTCAACTATTATTATAATATAACCTATATATATATAAAATATAAAATATAACGAAAACAATGTGAAATAATTACCTTTTTCCATCTTTCTTTCTTTTGGATACCAACTTTATTAATGATGATGATTTTTATTAGTCGAAATTAAAATATTAAAATATAAATGAATGATGATGATCAATCAATTGTCAAATCTATATCGCTATCTACTAGTCTATAGACTAGTCTACTAGTTTTTAATTTTTTCAAAAAAAATCAGTCACGTATTATATGTACAGTTATAATTCCATGCCTGTTTTTTTTTGTTGATTCTTGATTTTGATTGAATATATTCATGTTCATGTTGAATTTTGAATTTATGTTTGAAATCATGGAATCGTTATTGTCAAAAATTCATAACCAAACCCTATCCAGTGAATCAGATTTATTCACATTGTTTGAAATATCGGCCAGTAATAATAATCTGACCCAATGGCATCAATGTTATTTTCTCATTCAGAAACAAAACATGCCACCTTTAAATCGCGAGCACAAATTTGTATTTGGGGAAAAATTTGAGAAAATTTATCGAATCAAAACGTTTGAATTACATCCAACACATGTGTTGGAGATATGGCAATTATTTTTGGCAAATTTTGACACCAAAAATCGTTGTACAATGCGATTATTTTTCCTATTCATATCACACATTCGAATAGTAGACAATAGAAAAGATTCGTCGATTCAACGATTTCTCGTTCTGATCGATTCGACTGTCGAACGGTTGGAAAATGAAACATCACCATTAAAATGTAAATGTGAATGTCTATTTCAAATCTATTATTCACTAGCCTCTATTGTTGTCAATTTCATTCATTATCAACAAACATCACCAATCGAATTAAAATCTGATGCATTCAACTTATATGATCTGACCACTATATTTCCGAAAACGACGGTGAAATATTGGCGAAAATGTTATGATAATTTTGACAATCTATCCGATGATCGGGATGAGAAAATTTACTTGATTCGATTATTATTGCTCAACTATCGACTAATTAAACAACGTGATAACAATGTTGATCATCATGAATTATTCAACAAATTATTGAATCAGGTGTTGATAAGTAAAACATTATTGGTGGGTGATGTTTTCAATTTTCTTCTCTCCGAGTTGAATAGCAATCAAGATCTTGTGTCAATTTTGGAATTTTTATTCGACACTTTTATCAATAATAATGATGATGATGGTGATGAAAGCAATGAAACCATCAAAGCAATTTTCCATCATCAACAACATTGGGAAAGTAAATGTTTTCAAAATGTATTGATAACATTATTTTTGAAAAAAATTCACTACCTTATTCCACAAATATTCAATGATGATTCATTGATGACGCAGCAACCACATTGGCTCAAATATGGCTGTGATATACCCGATTCGACCATTGACAAACATATGAAAATGATCCAATCGCTTCAAACATTTTCCGATCAAATCATTCAAACCGATCGATCATTATTGGATGATGAGATGTTGATGGAAAATAATCGTTACGTTGTGGATAAATGTACCCAGAATCATGTACGAAAACTATTTGAAATATTTTTGCAATGTGTTCCACTTGAATATATCGCTCCATTCAATCAGATTCGTTTGATTCTCATCTCATGGGCCATTCAATTGGAATTCATCAAAAATGATGCGGCCAATCAATTTTCGCCAATTTTTGTGCCGCTCAATCTTCGTCTTTGGTGTTCGGTACGAAAAATTTGGTTTTTTGATTTCATCTCACCAAGCAAATACATTTATACATTGTTAGCAAATGTTTGCGATTATTTCATCAACGAGTGTCCCACATTATTCGATCGATTGATAGCAACAATGTTCAGAATGAACGATAAGGAACGTTTACTGCAATCACTGGAGCATTTGATCAATTTGCTTAAATGTCATGATAATGTTAATGAAAAGGGAATCGGTTATGTTTTCATGCTTGAAACTATTCTATTGCGAAACTTTCGACAATTCAAGAGAAGAATGGAAAAATCCAATCATCATCTTGAATCTGAATTCAAATGCCAATTATCCGCCAACCACAAACAACTGATTCGTTTGATGTATAAAATGGTGAATGAATTTTTCCAACAACAAAAACTATCCAATAAGCACAAAGATTTTGTTTTTGTCATCGAAGCTTCCACTGAATTGTTTGAGGAGAAATTAATTGACCGTGGCGATGCTTCTTCTCTAATCAATTGCAAGGGCAAATGGCGAAAATTATTCCACAAATTTCTCTCTTTATTTGACGATGAAAATCTTTCGATTACCAATCATGGTAATGATAATGAATGTTTGATTCATTTCATAAGATTTATTGCTCATAATCGACAAAAGTTGGCACATTTATTACCAGATGATTTGCTCATGAATCGATGGAATGAAATTGTTGTCGGTGTCAAATTGACCGCAACTATTGATTCGACAGGATTTTGTCATCAGATCAATTCAAAATCTGACTGGAAAAAAATATTTCAATCTGAGGAAAACTTGCACAATTTCAAAACAGTTTCCGATGAAATGTTTCAGTTCAAAGATATGGCAAAAAGATTCGATGAATGTGACAAATGTATCGATACAATTGATCCGTTATTGGGCCCGATTCTTGAATCAATCATCGATGTAAACGAAATGGAAAATTCCCTACGACAATGTCTCGATCATCTCCACGTACATTGTCTAGATTTAGCACAGGCTAAATTCTATGTTCATATTCTGGCGAAAATGGCCACCGAAACCACAATGAATTCGAAAGAGAAAACTCAAGTGTTGAACAATCATTTCAGTGAGATAATCGAAACAATGATGATGATATCATTTTTGAGCAATAATAAATTTACCGACAACAACAATTGTTCGCAAGCAATGTATCAAATAAAAGTGAAAATTTTACAATTCTGCCATGATTCACTGGACCGATTCATCCAATTCGATCTCATAACGAATGAACATTTATTTCTGATCTACAATCTATGTTTCGAAGTAAACATCTTTGCATACGGCGGTCGTATCGGATTGTATTGCGAATTATTTGCCCGAATACAAGAAATCATTCATCTGACAATATCACGTCGGCCATATCTAGCCATTGCATCAATGTGTACCGGTCGTAACGTCATACGGGCAAATCTTGCTTCATTAATTCAGATGACCAATGAACAAACACTCGGTAATGCAACCGATACGGAGAAAATGCAATTGGAACAATGTTCGAATTCTTTGCAACAATCTATTGCTCATTTATCACAGTATGATCAATTCCATCCATATGCCCAACATTTGATTGCCGATTATTTGGAATTATCGTTGAACAACCCGACAACAACAACAACAGTAACAACAATGATCAAACAGAATTTACAACAATCCATGTACCATTTGATTGATTCTTTAATGAAGAAACAAACAAATGGCAATGTAGTGAAAAATCTTTATTCGCGACTGAATCAAAAATCACGACAATTATTTCGAAAACTGTTGGAATACCATGATCATTATTACCGATTTAAAGGCTATGTTTGAACAGTGCTTAATAAATAAAAATAAAAATTTTGTTTTTTTCGAAAAAAATGAATAAAACTCTAATTTCTTGATTACCAAAAAAAAGAGATTTTTCGTTGTTTCAACAATGGTAGCGCCATCTATTGTTCGATTTAGCCATTACAATGATATTAGGATTTCATTTTTTGCCAAACTGCAGACAAATATATTCCACTCTTGGCCATCTCATTCTCTTTCTAGCTTCGTATCTGTTGTGTCTGTGTGTGTGTGTGTTCCCGAATCGTTATTTTGCTACAAGTAGCAGATATTATTAAAATTTTTCGTATTTAATTATCAAAAATTTGATTTGACCATCACTGTGAACACACTCACACACACACACACACACACAAGAAAAATGATATATCACACAAAGCTAAGAAACCTAATCTCTGCTCATCAGGTATGATTTTCACTGAGATTTGTTAGCAAAACTTTTTTTTTAATTAATTTGTTTGGCGTTATAACACAGTCGGTGTATGGAAAATTATCACATGATAATCCAAGTGATTTACAGGTAAGATAATTGATTTTTTGTTGCTTTTCACAACCTAAAAATTCAAATTAAATTTTCCATAAAAATCGACACAACAAACCGATGTGTAGAAAAGTCATCTTCGAAAATTATTGAGTCAAATACAAAGAGAAATTGAAAAATTGGTCAGAGAGAAAAAAAAGAAAAATTCGCACACATTTCAAAGACAAAAATCGAGCTCATATCTAAAATTGAAAAATGAAAATGTTCGATCGAAAATTCATCGTCGATTACCATTATCGAATCGTGTTATAAAGAGCAAAAATTCAATTCGGTATTTTATCCGTAAAGATGGAACCAATAATCGAATCGATGCCGATAAATTGTTTGAACTACGACTATCAGCCAATCTAATCGATGATGGTGGTCATATTGATGAACGATTCCTGATGATTCGTAAGGAAAATGGTTCCCTACAACAAGATGATCCAAATGAAAATGAAAATGAATCAAAAGATTGCTGTAAAAATGATGACGTATTGGCCGATCAAGATTCTGATGATCATTCATCATCCTCTTCCACACAATGCAATAATCGTGATAAAAAACATTGCGATGGCCATGGTAAAAGTATGGATGACAAAGAGGATTTTATCCGAATGCTTGAACTTGTACATAAGAATGATCTGGAAAAGATGGCCAATTGTAAAAAGCCAAGAAAACGACGTACAACAGCCAATCCACAATTTTCACATGCAGCCATCGAAGCTAAACGTATTACGAAAATGGAAATTGCCAACGAACGTCGACATCGGCGAAAGATTGCCTTGGAAAAACATCATAACAAATCGGGTAAACCACACAGTAACCCTAACGATTATTTGAGATCGATGAATGTTTTCAAACAAACAAACGAAATGTTTCCAGGTAATTGTTTTATTATTATTTTTTTTTTGGTAATCAAAACATTTTTTTCTTTCACAATTGAACAGGCCTTTTCTGTATAATGACCGATTTGAATATGGAACAAAATGATCATTGCAAATTATGTTCGGAAATTTGCCATTTCGCTGACGATACAATTGTCATATGTCAGTCATGTTTATCAATGTTTCATGTCGTTTGTTTGGAACGACAACATTTGATGAGGAATGGTCACATGGATTCGGATCAAATTCGTTGTTGCACTTGTCATCCTTCATCATCATCATCATCATCATCGATTGCGATTAGCGATGAATTGCAAAAACAAGAGAATCTTATGATAAAATTGGCCAAGATGCGAAGACAGATTCTATTGTCATCGAATGCTAACCATTGTTTGGAACATATCCTCAAGGTAATTGTTAATATTTTTCATAGCCAACAATTGTTAATGAATATACTACATTTAGAAAAAACAAATGAAAAAGGAAAGACTTACCGCTGATCTGAATGAATTACGGCTGACCGAAGATCGTATGATTAAAATATGCAACCGGCTTAATGATATAATTTCCAGTATTGACAACATTGACCACGATAATAATAAGAATAAGAATGACGAAATTATAGCAATCGAGAATCATTCCATTGATGATGAACAAAGAGATTCGAATGTGGAAATGTCCAAGTCAAGTTGCGATAGTATCGATTCCATCGATAGAATCCATACAGATTCAATTCTTAGTAGTAATAATAGACAGACCGATAGTAATAATGAACAAACTGTTGAAGAATTTTCCATCCTATCTTTTTGTGCATAAAAATATTTCCTCTTTAACACAACAATTGCTTATTCTCTTTTTGTTTGTTTGTTTAATTTTTGAATTAAAAATTAACTAAAACACCAACAATGGATTGATCGGAATAGAAAAAATGGAATCAAATGCTCCATTCAATGTGTGTGTGTTTGCGTGTTGTGGATTGATTGTCAACATTCGATTTGATAATGGGTGTTAAATATTCGAAATTTGAACATTTGAAAACAATTGATTCACCATTGAATCAGGCACAGCTGATGAAAATGACCAGAAGTGGCCTACAAATCAATCAGGATGTAACCACGAAGCCGTTAAATCGAAGGACGATTGAAAAACTGAAACAAAATCAGAAAACAGCACCAGATGTATTGATTATACTGAGTCCTCCGTTTTGTGATGTTGATCGTATCACTGATCATCTTTACCTCACAGGAATGGGTGGCCTAACCGAAGAGAATCTTAGTACATTGAATATAACGTGCATCGTGAATGCAACCTATGAAATGCCATTGTTGCGAATGAAAGGTATCGAATCTTATCGTGTGCCAGTGGACGATGATGGCAGTGAAGAGATTATCCTTTATTTCGATGACATTGCCAATCTTATCGACATGACATCCAGACAAAATGGTCGTACCATTGTGCACTGTATGGCCGGTGCTAGTCGATCATCCACACTGGTCATAGCATATCTAATCAAATTTCGTGATTATAATCTGAGAACGGCATTCTGTTATGTCAAATCATTGCGATCATGTGCTCGGCCAAATATCGGTTTCTTCACACAATTAATCGCATATGAACGATATTATCGGAAGGATACTTCGGTCGAAATCATTGAAATCGTGAGGAAAGGCAAAAAAGTTCAGGTACCCGATTTCTACCCGACAATGTTTCCTGAACTATTCAAAGCCGAAGTGAATCGTCAATTGAATAAATCACACATGAGTAATATCAAATTACAGGATAGTCATGATCGTAATTACATTAACCCGCGAAGAAAATATCAAGATATGCAACGTGATATACAAGCCATGATCGTCAAGAATAATAACATGGATTCACAACAATAAATCATCGTCATGGTGTTTGAATTTAATAAAAATAAATAGAAATAGAAAATAGAAATTTTATCCACAAAAAAATCAATAACTATGTAGTTCTCATAGTCAGTGCGCATGATTGATTCATGGTCATGCTATATCTTATCAACAAACAAGTTTCAAAGTTTCAAACATTCCAATTCGAACCCGTTGGTACAATTTTAGTGTAAAAACAATGGCGACTGAATCAATCATCGTTAAGGATGATCAGATCTTCATTCTGAATCAACTTTTATTACCAACCAAAGTTTCATATGACCGTATTAATGGTGTTAATGATGCTTGGAATGCCATTCATCAGATGAAAATCCGTGGTGCTCCCGCTATTGCCATTATTGGTCTATTGGGCGTTTCCACTGAATTATCCAAACCAGACGTAGAGGCTCAATTTGACCAACAATCAGATCGATTATATGAATTTATCAAACAAAAAGCCGAATATCTTTGTACATCACGTACTACAGCCGTCAACATACGAAAAGAATTCAATGAACTGCTGAACTTTATTCAACAACAACGGCAAAACAATGTTTCATTCGCTTTATTGATCGATTCGATACGAAAATATTGCCATGGAATTATGGAAAAAGATCGCATGGTCAACAAGAAAATGGCGGAATATGGCTGCGAACATATTCGAAAGAATTGCCATGAGTCAAAATGTCGATTCAACATTCTGACTCATTGCAATACGGGTAGCTTGGCAACAGCTGGTTATGGCACAGCATTAGGTGTGATAAGAGAACTACATTCGAATGGATTATTAGAACAAGCATACTGTACGGAAACCAGACCATATAATCAAGGCTCTCGTCTGACAGCATGGGAATTATTGACCGATAATATTCCATCAACATTAATCTGCGATAATATGGTTGCATGGTTGATGGCATCCAAAACGATTGACGCCATTGTTGTTGGTGCTGATCGTGTAGTGGCTAATGGTGATACAGCCAATAAGATTGGTACATATCAGATGGCCATATTGGCCAAACATTTTTCCATACCATTCTATGTAGCATCACCATTGTCGACGATCGACCCGACCATCGATGATGGAACAAAAATTCCGATCGAAGAACGGTCTGATTTGGAAATGAAATCAATTGGTTCGATTCAAATTGCACCAGCCGATATGAAATGTTGGAATCCGGCATTCGATATAACACCGGCCAAATTGATAACTGGTGGCATTATCACTGAACGTGGTGTGATTAATCCGGATCAATTGATCCAATCGTATCCTGTTTAACACACAAATATTGTAGTTTTTTTGGCAAATTAAATTGATGAGGATTTAGATTTGAATTTTCGTTTTGTTTTCTAAAATGTCACGTTCTTTACGAATGGCCTGACTTTGGCATTGTTTTGTTTTTGCATGCATGTTTTTCGTATTGTTTGACAATTTTTTTCTGAATTAATTTCAAGTTTTTTTTTTATTAACGAGACCGAGATATGGATTCCATTCAAACGACTCCGGTTAGAAGTCGGCATCAACATATAGCCACTCCACATCGACCTGCTATTCGTGGACCACCAACAATAAAATCATCAACCCCAATACAACAACATCAAAAACAATCATCGTCATCATCATCTCAAGAACAACAACAACAACAAACAAACGATAATGACGGAGAAACAATGGTGTGGGATGAAAGTATTCCCAAACATACTCGTCATACATTAGTATTTCGTATGCTAAAACGAACACATGAAATGTTCATCAGCGATATGAATTTGTTGCCACCATTTGATCCAGAAATGCTAAATTTTCGTCATAATATTAAGGCACGTGACCAATATGGACCATTGTTATTGAATACGAATTCGACTGGAAAAGATGACAAGAAAATGAATGACAAACATAGCCAATCGAAAGCATTAGTATTAAAAAATGGAAATGAAAATCGTATCTCAAATCATGGCAATAGTCCAATTGAGGAATTGAAATCCAAATTACCGGCTCCAATCAATCGACAATCACAGGTTGCTGTGGTAACAACCAATGACAATAACGATAGTAATGATAAACACACGAAATCTGGTCAGGTGGTATTAGCTTCTGGTTTAACGATTGCACCTCGTAAACCAGTACAGATGCCTAAGCCTGAATGGCATGCACCATGGAAACTATATCGTGTTATATCAGGCCATACTGGTTGGATACGTTGTATAGCCGTTGAACCGGGCAACGAATGGTTTGCGACCGGATCAAATGATCGTATTATCAAGATTTGGGACCTAGCGTCAGGCACATTGAAACTTTCATTAACGGGTCATATATCACCTGTCCGTGGTCTGGAAGTTTCACCAAGACAGCCATATCTATTTTCATGTGGTGAAGATAAAATGGTCAAATGTTGGGATCTTGAATACAATAAAGTTGTTCGTCATTATCATGGCCATTTATCTGGCGTTTATTGTTTATCGTTACATCCAACATTGGACATTTTGGTTACTGGTGGCCGTGATTCGGTTGCACGTGTGTGGGATATGCGTACGAAAGCACAGATTCATTCACTTGGTGGCCATTCGAATACGGTTGCATCGGTTTTTTGTCAAGCCACCGATCCACAAGTGGTGACCGGATCTCATGATTCTACTATCCGATTGTGGGATATTGTGGCCGGAAAAACAATGGCAACATTAACGAATCACAAGAAAAGTGTACGAGCACTGGTTGCACATCCTCGTTTGAATACCTTTTGTTCTGGATCGATAAATTCATTGAAACAATGGACATTACCCGAAGGACGTTTTATACAGAATTTGAATGGCCATGATTCAATGATCAATGCATTAGCAGTGAATGATGATAATGTTCTCGTATCAGGTGGTGATAATGGTTCAATGTTTTTCTGGGATTGGCGTACTGGCTACAATTTTCAACGATTACAGTCCAAAGCACAACCAGGTTCAATCGATTCAGAATGTGGTATATTTGCTTTGCATTTCGATCAAAGTTCATCCCGTTTGATCACCGGCGAAGCGGATAAAACAATCAAAATCTACAAAGAAGATGAAATGGCAAACGAACAAACACATCCGATTAAATGGGAACCAGAACTATTGAAACGCAAACGTTTCTGATTAGACAAACATTGAGAAACACAGAAACATTTACGAAATGTATTGAAACATGCAAATATTGATTTGGATTTTGATTGCAATAAAAATCAATTTTTTTTTTTGCTAACACTTGATGTTTTCCAATTTAAATGTGCCTCTTCACTAATTGGCTATTTTGGTACATTTAATGGTGCAAAATAATGCAACAAGTACGGTTCTTTCTCGGATTCTCTTTGTTGTGCAATGTTTTTTTCTGTTTTCAAAAAACGATGTAACAAGTATGTCTAATTAGAAATTAGAAATTAAAAATTAAAAATTGAGAAACAGAAACCAATTAATTTGATAAGGTAGCAGTAAAATTATCATCATTATCAATAATCAATCATTGATCAGTGATCAGTGATCAGTGATCGATCATAGAAAAGAAAGAAAAAATGCCATTGTTGATGGTTGGATGTGCATTCGAAATAATGATCGCAAACCAATAACCACATGTCGCAGTAGTCAAGTTGATTTTTTATTTCATTTTACTAACAACAACAACAACAGGAGGATTATATTCTCTCTAGTTTTTCTGTTACTGACCAATCTGACGACAAATCACTAATCTGATCACTTTTCAGTGGTATGATCAATTAAATTGTGTAATATATCAATCAATCAATTAATCCATATTAATCGGTTGAACCTTCGGATTTTAAGATCAGTAAAAAACGTCATCATTTACAAAATTGATATCGAATCACGCTCACATATACAAAGACTTCCACCACATTCATATTTAGTCAATTGTTTTTCAACAAAACATCATCATCTGACATTCGATCATCATCATCATCAGACCACAATCATAATTACAAGTAAAAAAGAGGTTAGTACTCACAAAAGTGACAACAATCAATTTCATTTTCTATTTTCTGTTTTGTTTTGTCTTGTCATTCGATTTTCTCAGCACATATTCATCACACTTGCCAGTTGATCATGTCAACATTGAATAGAATGAAATTCATGTCGATTTTCATTCTAATTTTCCTATTGAATCAGGTAAAGTTTTTCCGACAAAAAAGACATATATTCATATTCATATTAATATTCATATTTTTTTAAGTTTTCCACAATCATTTGCGGATGTGTTCTACGCGGCCAATGTGATGAGATTAGAAATTCATTCGGATTACTTCTTCCCGTTCCTTGTAAATATGACGGTCCGCCAAAACCATTAAACACATCTGCCGATACATATCAAACAATACAAACTATTTTACCAGAATTGAGTCATGATAATTTATATTGTTGCGAAGATGGGCAAATTACTAGATTGGTGACGCAATTACAAACTGCACGTACATTGCTATTACGATGTCCATCTTGTTATTATAATTTCGCCCGTGTATTCGCATTGATGACATGTTCACCAAGCCAAAGTGATTTTATTCGACTAATCGATTACAATAGAACCAACAATGCAGTGAAAGCGATCACATATGATATATGGAAACCATTATCGGAATCAATATATCATTCGTGTGAAGGCGTACAAATGCCATCCGGTGGTGCAAAAGTTGTACCACAATTGATGTGTAATCTACAATCACCAAATGAAACGTGTACACCAGAAAAATTTTTCCGCTTTACCGGCAAAAAAGGTGTGTCACCATTTTCGATAAATTTTCAATTCAAAGAACAACTACCGAGTGGATCACTTGCCAAACATTATCGTTGTGATGAAGCACCCCCTCAATTTAATAGCCAACCATGTTCTTGTGCTGATTGTGATGCATCATGTCCGAAACCGAAACCAATCCCGGGCGAAAAGCAAGAATGGCTTCTATTCGGTGTGAACGGTATAGCTGTTGTCATGTCCATCATTTATGGTGTTTTGCTTGTCGCTTCGACCGTCTTGTTTATCGTTTATTACAAACATTTCAGCACCAAAAAAAATGACGTTGAGACCAGAGAAGCCACCAAAGAGAAAACCGAAACTCGTCAAGTAATGCTTAGATCGATGAATCAATCATATTTCCATGAAAAATTATGCACCATCTTTGGAAATTATGGCCGACTTTGTACACGAAAACCATACAATTTCATATTGCCAATCATAGGTTTGATCATCGGAATTATTCTAGCCACCGGCCTGACACAATTCGTGGCACTAACCAAACCAATTGAACTTTGGTCCACTCAAACAAGTCGTGCAAGGGTGGAGAAAAAATTTTTCGATGAAAATTTTAATCCATTTTTTCGTGTAGAAAACATTGTGCTCACCCCGAAATTCATGGAAACATTCCGAAAAGATGACATTGAATTCGGACCAATTTTCAATCAAACATTTCTGCTACGATTTTTCGATCTACAACAACAGATCATGAGTCTAACAATCGAAGATGACAATGGAACCATATTACGAGTGGAAGATATCTGCTATTCGCCAATGGAGAATACAGTCTGTATGGTACAATCGGCATTAGGATGGTTTCAAAACAAACGTTCAGCATTGGAAAATGACAATTATCTTGAAACATTTCGTACCTGTATATCGAATCCATTTCATTTGAGTGACACTGGTATTTCCTGTCTGGCTCCATATGGTGGACCAATATTCCCGCATATTGCATTAGCCGATTATCATGGTAATGGCTATTATCAGGCCAAAGCTTTAGCATTCACATTAACACTCAACAATGCAATCCAGGATGAGGATAACGTCAATGCATTGAAATGGGAAAAGAAATTCCTTGATTTATTGTTCGAATTTGATGATCCAATCATTGATATTGCTTTCTATTCAGAGGTAAATTCATTTCATTCGAAAAATTAAAAAGTTAATTAATTAATCATCTATTTTGATTCAAATGGCTTCTAGCGATCAATCGAAGACGAAATAGAACGACTAGGAAATTCGAATAAATTTACCATTGCCATTAGCTACATTGTCATGTTTTTCTATATAACCATATCGTTGGGCGATTTTACCAACATTCATCGATTATTGGTAACAAACAACCAACATTCATGATCACATTATCTCATTGAATTAATTGATTGATTGATTGATTGTTTAGATTGATTCGAAAATTGTTCTTGGACTGGTTGGTGTATTGATCGTATTGTTATCGGTTCTCTCATCAATTGGTCTACTCTGCTATTCGGGTGTTCATTCTACATTGATCATAATGGAAGTAATCCCATTCCTAGTATTAGCTGTTGGTGTGGATAATATTTTCCTATTGGTTCGTCATTCCGACCGAAGCTCGATTGAACAAGAAAGCAGTAATTTATCCTATCAAGAACGATTGGAACAACGAATGCAAAGTTTGATGTATAATGTTGCTCCATCCATTCTATTGGCTGCCGTTGCGGAATCTACATGTTTTTTTCTTGGCGCCCTTATACCGATGCCTGCGGTGCGAATATTTGCTATAAATGCTGGAATAGCATTGCTCATTGCATTCATCTTTCAAATGTTGATTTTTGTTCCAATATTGGTTTGGGATATCCGTCGTCATGATGATAATCGTTGGGAGATTTTATATTTCAAACAAGGAAAAAAATCACGCCAAAGATCTAGTAATGAATCACAATCAAATCAATCAGGCGATGAAAGTAATCATAAAAACGATGGTTTACTTTATTCATTTTTCAGCAACATTTTCGCTCCATTTCTAATGAAAAGTCAGAATCGTTTGACCGTAATGCTCTTATTTTTGGCCTGGTTATCGGTTTCCATATCCGTCATACATAAAATCGACATTGGTCTCGAACAACTTTATTCAATGCCATCCGATTCTTATGTATTGAAATTTTTCGATGCTCAAATCCACAAACTTAAAGTCGGTCCACCAGTATATTTTGTGGTCAAAAGTGATGCCGGTTTCAATTATTCGGCCAATCAGAATCTAATTTGTTCACAAAGTGGTTGTTCCAGTTATTCCATCGTTAATATGTTGGCACAGGCTGCAAATCAATCTGAAATTAGCTATTTAGTACCGGCTGCTGCCAATAGTTGGATCGATGATTACCTGTTATGGGCATCATCCGGACAATGTTGTCGAACATATCCAAACGGAACGTTTTGTCCATCCACAGGTATATGTGGTTCTATTATTCAGAGTTTTGAATCTAATCCAAAACTATTCATTATTCATTCTTTAGATAAATCAAACGATTGTCAAGCATGCGATATTGTTTGCAGTGAAGATCCAATAGAATATGATTCAGATGATTGGTGCTATAATTACACTAATCATCAACGTATAAGGCCGGATAAATTTTATCATCCGTATTTGGAATTTTTTGTCAGTGATATACCGAATGCAATTTGTGCTAAAGGGTAAGTGAATATGGTGATGAACCAATAGATTGATTTTCACCATTTCATTGTTTCAACATAGTGGACGGCCAAGTTATTTACATGCAATGAGCCTTACCGAAGGCGATGCAATTCATTCATCATATTTTATGACCTATCATATTCCATTACAACATTCCAAAGATTTTACTCGTGCACTACAGAATGCACGTGTTATATCGGAAAGTATTACCGAAGCACTTCGGGAATTGATTATGCAAACAAATGGTGATGAATCGGATGTTGAAGTATTTCCTTATAGTTTTTTCTACGTTTTCTACGAACAATATCTAACCATTTGGTCGGAATCATTGAAAAATATCATTTTCGCTTTGTTGGCCATATTTATTGTCACATTCGTATTTTTATCATTCGATTTTATTACATCGTTTACCATTGTTGTGACAATCCTGTGTATCATAGTGAACATGCTGGGTTTAATGTATTTCTGGGCAATTTCATTGAATGCTGTAGCATTAGTCAATCTTGTCATGGTATGTAATTCAACAAAAAACTATGATCGTTTCGTTACCACACACACCACTCATGTTCTATTTCGTCTGTAGAGTATTGGAATATCCGTAGAATTCTGTGCACATATTGCCCGTGCTACATCATTATCGAACGAATCGACAAGCGTATTACGCGCACAATATGGACTTGCCGAAATGGGTAGCTCAGTCATGTCTGGTATTACGATGACAAAATTTTTCGGCATCCTTATCCTTGCCTTTTCACCATCGGATATATTTCAAATTTTCTATTTTCGTATGTATTTGGGTATCGTCATCATTGGTGCATTGCATGGATTAGTGCTGCTACCGGTTTTGCTTAGTTTCTGGGGTAATTGTGGTCGATCAATGAATTGTTTAAAGTAACGCCAAATTGCATATATTATTACTGTACATTTAAGTCGTGATCACATTGCCTTTGATGTTTTTGAATAAAAGTTGAATAATAAAAATCAAAAATGAAAAATGATGATCGCCAATTGTTTTTTTTATTTAATTTTATTTTTCACTTTCCAATTCAAATGGTTTGATGGTTATATTAAATTTGTTTAGAAATTGTTCACAAAAATACAAAAAAAAGCCCGTAAGCCAATCTATTTGTCACCACCATCTTCTTTTTGATACATATCTCTTGCCTCTTGTAATTTCGTTTTTTGTCGTTCTTCACGGCGCTTTTGACGTTCTCTGGCTTTTTGTCGACGGATTTCAGCCATTTCACTGTTGGGAAGGAAAAATTATTTTACAATGATGATGATTGATAAATAATCATTTCTTACTTCAATTGTTTCTGTCGCAATTTCTCAACCTTCTTCTTGTGAATGTATTCCATGAGGACACGTTTGTTTTTGAAAACATTACCCTTAGATTTCATGTACAATTCATGATAAAGATGGCGATCGATTTTTTTGTTTTCCCGATATTTCTTCAATAATCGACGAAGCACACGCATTCGACGAATCCATAAAACTTTGACCGGCATTCGAGCATTAGCCGTACCTTTTCGTTTACCGGGGCCAGTGTGTCGGCCTTTGCGACGAGCTTCAGCATTACGGCGAACACGTGCTCGTGAATGTACAGCTACTGGTTTTCGAATGATCAAACCATCCTTGATCAATTTACGGATGTTTTGTCGAGAATTGGCATTGGAAATTTCACCATTTTCGTTTGGATCAAGCCAAACTTTGTTTCGGCCACATTTGAGCACAGCAGCGGCCAAACGTTTTTGTAGACCCAAAGAACTAGAATGGAATTGAATGAATATTTTTCATGTCAAATATATACTTGATTATTTTACGAATATGAATAAATTTACCTCATCGTGATAATCACAAAGTGGATCAAAAACGAAATGAAAATGAAAACACTAAATATGCACACAAACAAACAACACACACACACAGAGTGCGAGACCACCACACAAAAACGTAAAGCAAACGTAAAAGGAAACGACGGATATCAAATGTGTGTGTGGCAGAAACAGCGTGGATTCTTCACTGTCACTCGATGCGCATGACAAAATATATTGGCCCTTCATAGAAGATGTTTCGAAATTGTGATTTCAATATTTTCAAACCTATCTGATATCTCAATGGAATTTTTAACGCATAAAAGATTACAAGAAAACAGAATTCAGAATAATTTTTATGGCTTGCTAATTTTGCTTTTGAAATTTGCATTTGAATTTCCGAGCATTAGAAATTCTGTGGTTAGAAAACAGTTTTACATATTTTATGAATGACTCAAAGCATATGTTCGAGATTTATTTATTTGAATTGAATTGAATTGCATTTTCTAATCTCTAGAAAAAATGTTCCGGGTTATTCGTTCAGGTCCTGGATCCAATTATAGATGGATACATAGTTCCAGCAATCTGAGCAAACGACATTCACGTCCAGGTACATCAAGTGAAGTCGGTTTGGAAGAACTGATCATCGATAAGCCGCCAAATGAATATGCAACCATTCGACAAAAACTCGATAGAATCAACTATTATGATAATCCAATTAGAACAAAAAATATTGGCTTTGATGAGAGCACAAAACTCTATCAAAGTTTTCTAAATCAAGCCGGTAATATTGTTCTGCGACAACGAAGCGATACGAAAGCGACCAACGAAAAGGATGAAGAGTTTGATGAAGATGATGATGGCAAGGACATCAAATTAAGTCGTGAAGATTATGATAGACTATCATCATATTATCCATTCACTCAACAATACATTGAATCGACCATTCAACTTGCTCATCACTATGCTATATATCGTGATTTATTTTTCCAGGAACCATTTGTGAATGAAACCTGTGAGGAATTGATTGCAGCCAATGCTAAAGATCAAGTTAAATTTCATCGATTCGAACATAGAGAATTGTATGAATTCAGTCCACTAGTACCGATCACGGCCACATTCTCATCATCCACTGACCAAAGCAATGAAGGAGGAGAGGTAAGCTATCTGAAATCATTTCGTGGTAATCTTATACCAGCAGAATATGGTCGACTACCACCTCGAATTCAAATCAATACGTCGGGAATAAATGATGGTGATTTTGATGCCAACGAATTGTTGTCATCCGATCTGGTGACAATAAATAGCGGTGAAAAAATGGACCCAAATCTTTATACATTAGCTCTAGTCAATCTGGATTCACATTTTGCCGATGCCGGTGTTTGTCATTGGATGATAACGAATATTTCTCGTGATGGCAATAAAACCACTTATGATACGGTTATTGATTATCTGCCTGTTTATGCTATTCGTGGTCTTGGTTATCATCGTTATGCACTCGTTTTGTTTCAATCGGATCGTAGAATTGAAAAATTGGGACGAATAACAGATTTTGACCTTGGTCGAAGAAAATTCAATGGCTTAGCATTCATGTCCGAATGTTCGACCAGCAATCCGAATGTCCATATCAAACCCATTGGGTTATCCTGGTTTCAGACAACCTGGAGTGATTGTTGTAAATCCATTTTTCATAATGTTCTAAGTAATTACATAATTATATCCTGAATATATGATTGTTTTCATAGGGATTGTCACTTTTTTCATTTTTCTCAGATATGCGATGTCCAACTTATGAATACATTTTCCCGAAACAATCCACTCAATTCAATCAGCTTCAATATCCAGCAAGAGCTCCTTTTAACCTGTAAGTGTTTTTCACAAATTATTGTGCCATTCGATATTGATCCGTTTCTTTGACATTTCACCATAGATATTTGGATGCTTTCCGTCATCAAAAAGACCTGTCGAAAGAAGTCCTATTGGAACGATTAAAATCGATCAATCCAATGGAATCATATGATACGGATAAAATGTTTCCAACATGGGAAGGTCGGCCAAAATTTCCGCACATACATCCACATCCACCAAATACACCGGATTGGTTGAAATCAACACTCATCCGTAAACGATCGCAGGTTGGCCGCTTTCGTGGCCTAAGAGCATCATCGGCCATTTTGCCATACAATAATAATGCCGATCTTGATAGACCAAAATGGCCACGATTATCGGCCGATGTTCATCCATTAAATGTACCGAATCCATATCCGGATACGAAACGACGACCTAAACCACTTCGTGATACCCTTTGGTCAAAACCATTGCCTGAACATCATTCAATGCGTGTGGATTTCCCAGAAAATCTCCAAGAAACGGATAAAAGTAATCTAGAGAAAACAACATCATAAATAATTTCATTCTAATTAGACATTAATTCACTGCTTAATTGTTTTTTTGGAAAACAAAAACATGGTTTTTCGTTTTTGTTTGAATTTTAATTTTAAAAAACAATAAAAATCGTGCACATCATCATCATGATTATCATCAAGTTCAACAGCACGTGTTCTTAACTGCGATAGATGTTCGATAATGATAATGAAAGTTCATCATGACCATTGATGATGATTAGATGATTAGACAATTGTCTTTTCAATCGATGGTCCAAAATTCACAGACGTACGTAATTTTTTTGGATTCAAGTGTGAAATTTTAAAAAAAACCACTAGTAATTCACCATTGATGACATAATAAATGTTGAATAGTAGAGCGGCGTAGGCGATCCTTATGATCAATTGAAATGATAACTTTATTGTGTGTGAGCACAAATACATGAAGGTCATCAACATTTGTTTCGATTGTCGTCTGTCGATGATGATGATATAACTATAAGGATGATGATTATGATTATGATTTTCGATTATCATCAACAGCATATATTGGCCACATTCAAACAAAATACCTTGTTGGAAACAATGATGCACCTTTTTTCTCCATTCAATGGAATGGAATTGAATTGAATTGATGGTGATAATTATTTGTAGTTGTGAAATTCATTTCGAATAAAAATGATGATGATGATGATGATCAATATTTGAAGGAGGTTTTAGATTCGATTCCAATACAAACGACGATATTCTTGGCATTGTATTAGAATGATATTAATAAACGATGAAATTAAATTATGAATATTTGTTGTTGTTGTTGTTAAATTTTCTTCATTTCTTCCTCCTCGTATACGATACGAACTGATTTTTTCTATAAATGGAACACAATAAATTTGTGTTACTTTTCGATAGCAAATGAGTGGTTGTGTGGGAGAAGTGAATTGAATTTAAAAATGGGAAGCTAAATGCGACTAAAAAAACATTGAGCCGGACATAAAGTGAATTTGAATGATTCATTTCATTGTCGGAAATCCAAATTGAAATAATGGTCATTGAGGTGTGTGTAAGAATGGCACAATAATCACTTTTAATTTATCATTTTCCAATGTCAAATTGAATCATCATCATCAATGAAAGATATGACTGACTGAGTCATTCCATTCATTCAATTATGATGATGTGATCTGTTCTGAGAAAGATAAACGAAATAATGAATAATGATACTGATAATATGCAGAAGCAAATGACTTAGTTGATGATACTAAAAATGACATTACACAACCCATATATATACAAGGCCAATTAATTAATGTTGATGATGATGATTGATTGTGAGTTGATTAGTCGAGCAAAAAATTATGACATCAATATGTTGGCCATCTGATGCTAGAAATTACTTCCTGGACATTTGAATTGACTAATTTTTGATTGATTTATTTGATCTGACATATAATAGTATTGAATAGTAATGATATGAATTTTTTTTCTTCTTTACCCAGTAGCTTGTTACTGAAAATGTATGCTCATTCAATGATGATGATGATAGATTGTGACAATGATGGCCATGGATTGAGAAAATAAAAATAGAAGTAACAAGACGTGGGCAGTTTTTAATAGATGTTGAAACTGGAAACATACACAATTAGCATCCAAGAAAACTTTTGGAAATGATCAAATATTAGATGAAACGGTGTGTGTGTGTGTGTACATTTTATGGCCCCATTATGATTTTGATGTTGACACCTTTCGTTGTAAAAATGTACGAATGATTCAAACCCGGAAAATACAGGACCGAACGAATATGACAATGATGGTCCAATATATCTAGCAACTTGATCACTTACTGATAGATTTGGGTTTTATTTGGATTTTTCAACACCATCATCATCTGACCCATTTGTTTAGTTGCGAAAATAACCATAATAAAAACACCAGGATCGATCGATTTGGCCATTAAATTTTCATTCGATAATTCTATAATAAAATTCAAATGAAAAAAAACAAGTTTGAATTTTTCCAACTATAAAAATCTTTGTAAACAAACTTTGGATGATGATAACAATAAACAAAAACATATGTATTGAAAACATGTTGATGTTGTGGGCTATTGTTTTCATTTTCATCTCTCATCATCAAATCATAATATTCGATCCATATACATTGTAGATAGTTGTAGAAATCACAGATTTTACTAAAGGCAAAAATGTCATCAAATTTTTTCCAAATGGTTGAAGAATACATATTGATTTCAAAATCAAAATTGCGTAACCGAAAATTGATGACTGAAGATTCATGTGGATGAATTGCTTCGTTTTATTCGTTGTTTATTGTTGTTGTTGTTGTTCACAAGTAAAAATGGGAGAAATGGTGGTCACCCAAAATTGATAATTACATCGATAAATGCATGATCAAATAAGGCAGTGGATTTAAAAAACAAACATTTGTCAACACAAATTGACATGATAAATGATTCAATTCCATTCAATTTGTCACATGTCCATTGACGTTTTTATGGTTTTCTTGTTTTGCTTGTCCTTGTTCCTCACAAGATAACGAGCATTGAATTCTCGATTTGTTCATCTCTGTTCGACAGTTGAAGGTTAATTAAATGAAATGAAAATTATCAGAAAACAAACATTGTAATCTTAATTAAATTAGGTCAAATCCATGATCCATGATTGTGATTCAATGTTTTTAAAAAAAGATTCAATTCATCACAATGTTGTAATTTATTTACAATTGATTGACATATGTTGGCATTTGGCCTTTTGAACTATCAACTAGTGGAATTTTGATTTGCAATTTGTTTTGTTTTGTTTCATTTCAAATTTATGATTGGATAAAATGACAAATGAAACGATTGATTGACGTTTGGTTGGCGGTGAATTCAATCATTTTTAACAATTTGACATTGGTTGGTGAAATATGATGATGATTCAGCAGCAGCAGCAGCAACAGCATGATGAATAATAAATGTCCCTGAATAATGATGCTAATGATCATTTTAGTTAGTAGAAAAATGAATGAAAACAAAAATGATGATAATTGACAAGGAAATGAATTTTCAAAAAATTAAATGAAAAATCCAAAGAATTCGAAACGCGCTAAAAGATTGCTATTTCGACATACGTCCAAATTATTGACCGGATAGGTTGTATAAGATTCGAACGAACGTTTCAACGACAACAAAGAAAAATTCTGCTCCATATTTTTCAATCAATGCAAAAATATTCATTCCACTTGTTGTAAATTTCGTAATTTTTTTTTCGTTCATCCTCATCATCATCATGAAGGTAACAATTTCTGAAACAAATTCGAATAAATTCTCATAATACTACAGCCTTTATTATTCTCTCTCTCTGACTCTTTTAGAGCCCTTTTTTGCTATCATGGTGATTGTTGATGTTGATGATAATGAGAAGCATCATAATCATCATCAAATCATCATCAACATCAACATCAACATTCATGAGAGAAAGCCTCCGATGTTGTATATGTTTAGATCATACATAGAGACATACAAATGGTGGTGATGGTTTTTTATTGACGAAGACGACGACATTCAAGTGTTGAACATCGGCCATTAAACATGTAACATTTGGTTATCATCATATATGCTGTGTGTGTGAAATTCTAATAATTAATAATATTCTATTGTGGAGTTCTCACTTTAATTATATAGATCGTGACAATGATTCTAATGAAAATGATCAATTTCTTTCCTTCAATCAATCACCAATATGCCGGTGTATCGGAAATAACTCATTCAATGGGCCATGAAATCTGATTGAACAAAACCAAATCATCAGAATTGATTCTGAATCATTTGAGTTGAATTTTGTGTGTTTGTTTTCAGTGCAACTTAACCCACCAACATTTTTCACACGAGAAAATTCATCATCATTCATTGTGGATCACTTTAAAAAGGTGAGAGTTTATTATCAATGTTTTATTCTTACTTAGAGATTTATATTTATGATGATGATGATGATGAACAAAGAAAAAACATTAATGTTGAGTGAATTGTTTCAATGATTTCATTACACGCATAATGATGATGATAAACTGGCCATTTTGTTTAGCAAAAACGAAAAACAACAAAAAAAACATGACAAACCAACCGAGAACGACCAAATGTTTGTTATTGTTTGCGTTTTTTTTCTGGCTGTGTCTACTATTAATCTATGCAGCCACATACAAAATAATTCATGTGTGTTTGTGTCAGATTGTTTGACCACAATATGCAATAACCAAATGACGAAGAAAAAAAAAAAAATCATTCAGACAAAAAGTCACGTCCATTTACCGAATATCATGTTTTTTTGGATGAGAAAATTCTTTAGACCTTGACAATCTCTCTTTGTTTTCATTTGAACCGTACGACTTTTTGCTTCTTTTTTGCATCATCTTTTTTCCCTGATTTTCTTCCAGGGGAACATCCAGCTATAGATGATTGTTTCTGTACCGGCGGTGTGGTGAGTCGAAATACACTGTTAGGTTGATTGCAACATTTTCGATTCTTAGATGAATCATTGGATTTAGAAAATTTGTCATGAGTCAATATCATTCCTTGCATCAAGGATGATGATGGAACATTTGTTGATCGTGATGAAAATGATTCCGTTTGAATGGCTCTTTGTTCGTTTCCGTTCATTCGTTTGAATCGTTCTTGAATCATGGCCATTATTGCCATTCTTTTTGGTGCGCGATAACCATCTGGGCCAAATTGATCATTCAAATGTTGATTAACCTTTTTGAATAGATTATCTAGTGTTAATTTTTTTAGATCATTATTAGCTAGAATATCATCCATAATTTCTCCAATCATATCATCATCAATAGATAATGATGATTCGTCTTTTTGTTCGATAAATAATCGACATTTATTTTGCTCACTTTTCAACTCATAATGATCATCAGCATTATTATTATCTGCTTCAGACATTTTTTCATAAATCAATTGAACAATTGAACATTAGAATCTTTGATTGCATCATGACAAAATCATTTGGTAGTTTTTTTCCATCCAGATTCTATTCATAGATGATGTTTCAAATATTGATTCATTACTTAATGATCATCATGAATTCATAACACAGAAGAATTATCAAATTCAACAACTAAAAAAGTTTCTCCATCACAGTGAAGGTTGTTTTTCTCTTTTTTTTATGGCAAATCATCATCAACAAATTTAATACAGTATTCGGATGAATATTCGAGAATTTTATCCCCGTCTAGCTGAAGCTGAATTTTTTTCGGCCATTTGATAAGAGCAGCAGTAATCACATCAATATCGGAGATAAATATCGGTCATTTGTTATTTATGTATGACATGTGTGTGTTGGGTTTTTTTTTGGAAACGAATGCTTCCGTAATTTTTTGCTACATACCTGGCCTAATAATTTTTGACTTTTTGATTGGTTGATTTATTATTACCCTCCTTACTTGAATTATTGGATGATGATAAATGAATTTGATGATTACATTAATGATCAATTCATAGATTTGTTCTTTTGTAATCAGACTTATATTCGAATACAATACACATTTATTGATATATCATCCATTTTTGATTGAAAAAGTAATAAAAAATCTAATTGAGAGACATAATAAACCATTTGTGATTATTAGATCGATCGAACGATTAAATTAAATTCATTTCGGCCTAATGATGATGATGATGATTATGATTTCCAATCATTTTTTGAATCAACAAGAAAAATCCAAAATTCGTGACTCAAGTTTTCCATTTTTGTTTTCATTTAATGTTGTTGTGTCTATATTTATCGATAACCAGTTCGATTCGATTCAATGAATGAATGAATGAACGAATTTGAAAAATCCGAAATCGATTAATCGATTCACCGGTATGTTGTGACAAACTTTACATTCGATCGATTGATGATCACACGGTTTAATCGTGGCCATGATCTTTGATGGTTTCTCTTTTCTCTATTTTCATTGAATTAAAATCATTTTCTTTATAATAATAACATCAATTATGGCCATAAATAGTTTTACAAAAAAAAACAAGGTATGTGTTTACAAATAGATTCTGAAACTTTCTTATCTTATCGTTTCGATCATCGATTAATAATAATGATAATTCCTGATCAAACAAACAAACATTGAAACAAAACGAAACAGACGAAACAAAAACACCTTTTTCCATCTGACATAGTGTAATTATACATCATCGTTGCTGCTAAACCGGTGAGATTATCCTTTTATCCTCGTTTGTTACCTTTTTGGCTAATTTTGGTTCATAATCATCATCATCTGACGTCTTCGTTTGATGTGATGCTATTTTAGCCTCATCATCTTTCCCTTTTGACCTTGAATACAATTTTTTTTTGACTAAATTAAAATTGAATGAATGAATGAATAATTTTTTCCTGAGTATGAGGCAAACATTTTTGTTTCCAGTGTGTGTGATAAATTAAACATCATCTTTTAGCTTGTTTTTTCTTTGTTTATCACTAAATTATTGAAAGTGACTACTTTTTTATTTTTGACAAAACCAACCATAGTCCTACAATCAAGATTCAAGTCTGAGGGTTCGCAATAATAAAAGTTGGTTGTGTGGCTTTATAATTACTAATATATAAATTGGTGTCAACTTAATGCATGGAATGAGGATTATCAATTTTCGTACTATTATGGTACATCTGGATTATGCAATATTCCAGATGATTCGATTCGATTTCAATTCAGGATTAATGGCAGTGTGACAAGTGACAACTACGACAATAATAATTACCACCACCGCAAATAAAACCGGCATCGAAACCGTTTCTTTCCAATCATTTTTGATGGTCGGTAATTTTAGTTTGTCATCAACCAAACGAAAGAAAGAAAAAAATTAGTTGGGTGCTGTCACTGACACACACAGATACATTGGTCGAAAAGACGGGAATTTTTTTGCATTTCACATTTCCCGTTTTTTCCTTGGCGGTCATCGTTGAGGTCAGAATAGGAGAGAAAAATTAATTAAATAGTTGAAATTTCCCGAATTGGTCATGTGTATCATACACTCAATATACACATGCATGTTTGATTAACCACCTACCTACCTGCCTACCGTTGAACAACAATTTTTGTTTCAAGGTTAAATTGGGTAGTAATCGTTGGTCAAAAATTTTAATTTGATTAATGGGTGTCTACATTGCCTAACTATACAGTCATTATATAGAACTGTCCAATTGTTATTATCATCTGGTGTTTCTGTGTTGTTGTTTTTTCTGTCCATTCATCATTTCATCATTTGTTTCTCTATTTTTTGCAGGTGCTGATGACTTGACTCTGCGAAAAGCAACCCTTTTTCCACATTTGATTTGAATTGAATTTCCATACATCAATAACAATGAGGCTACATAATGAAACGATTGCAATGTCATCAACAGCTAAGAAAATGGTGACAAAAACAACCACCATCATCATCATCATCTGGAATACCGGTAAAATCAATCCGTTCAAACATGGCTGGTAGTAGTAACCGTGTTCATAATAATTCAAATAAAAAGACAATTGTTACGACAAAACCACCATTGGTTGTTATTCAACGTAATCAACGTTGTACATCGCCATCACGATCATCATCAACAACAACAACTATGACAAAAACGATGACATCAGCAAGGATCATTCGAAATTCTATGAACACAACATCCAAATCAAACACTACATCATTGAAATCCACACAACCACAACGGTCAACATCGACAGTTACAATAACAAAGACGAAATCAACAATACGTACGGCTATTGCACCGGATAAAAGTATGAAAACAAAAAATGTGTCAGCCATCAATAAATCGAAAATTGATACACAACGATTATTGCATTCAAAATCAAAACAAGCGAAAATGACTAATGAATCTCATGATGCTTTAATCAAATGTAAGTTCCCAAAACAATAAAAAAGAATCAATTCTATATATCATGGTAAATCTTATCGTTCCGCTCTTATTATACTTACATCAATAGATTTTTTCCGTAATGAAAATCTAGATCAAAAACATCGATTGATTATGGATCTTTGTAAACGGTGTCGAAATATTAAAATGATCGCCGACAACAAAAATGATGATGGCAATTTCGATGATTTTCTACATACTATGGATATTTTATTACAATTACAGGTTTGTTGTTTTTTCTCGTTATTGGATCAACACCTTACTTTCATCACCATCAGACACATGGATATTTTGAAACAATAATGCAAACAAATAGCTTCATATTCCATACGAAACCCAAAGATCCTAGTGTGTGTGTGTGTGGAAGAAAATCAAATTAATTGTCCTGTGTGCGTGTTTTTTGAATCAAAGATTAGAAATTAAAATCATATAAAACAGACAGATAGATGAATGGATAGACAGACAGGGCGCCGTTTTCATTTTCAATCATGGGAATGGGATCGGCTTTTTCATTTTCATCAAATAATAATACAAATATGATGTATCCATGTGGTCATCATAATCATCATCATTATGATGATGATGTTGATCGTTTCCATTGTTTTATTTTGTTGTTGAAATGGTTTTATACAACACACACACACACACATAGATTAATATTAACCCCATAGGGCATATATATGAATATATTGTACGTTACAAATAACAATCCATTCATTCAATAACAGATATCCAAATTACGATGCAAAAATGGCAAATCAACTTTACCATCATCATATATCGATATTTTGGTTGATGAATTCACTCAAATACCTGTGAATAATAACAACAACACCACCACCAAGTGGGATAATTATCGTGCAGCCATTCTTGAGCTAATCAATCATCTACAACGATTACAGCCAAATATCTCGAAATGGGTCAGATTTAGGCTACAAATCGATTCAAATTTAGATCGATGTGTTCAGCATTTATTGCAATCAACGTCAATGAATGATGGTAAACTTTATGATGAATGTCGATCATATCTAGAGCTTAGTCATTTCAATGAATTTTTAATGTCGTCATCTCTGGATGATGACAATGTCACAACATTATTCCTCATACGATCCATTATGTCAATGACCAATACTTCGGATTGGTTATTTAAAGTATTTCGAAAAATTTTTCTCACCAATTCATCTCATCAACAACAATCCTCATCGAATAATTTATCAAAAATTGTTCATTTAATTTATAAATTTGGTGATCAATTGCTCGAAATGATCAACGATGATGATCAACATAATGACAAACTATTCGATTGGTATACGTCACAATTGAACCAGATGGCTAAAAGAGCACAATCAAGATGTCACGTGGACCATCAATCCGATTCATCTTCACCCACCAATAGTGTTGATTCCTCTTTATCATCTCTATCAAGTCAGTCATTATCGTCATTAATAATGGATGATGATGATGATAGATATGGGGGCAATATCCAAACTCCACCTCCAACTTTGTCACCTATGCCTTTATCTTCGGTTCCGCCACCGCCGCCGCCCCCACCACCACCACCACCGCCACCGCCACCAGCCCCATCAGTTCCTTTTTTAAATAAAGCGAAATTGCAAATTCAACCGCCTACATCATCAATGATACAAGTAACCGATTTATTACCACAAAAACCTCGATTAAAGATGAAAACAATAAATTGGACGAAAATATCGAAAACATCGATCACATCGGACAACACGACTAATGTTTGGCAAATGATTGGTGAAAAGTTAGTAAATACGTCGGGAAAAAAAGAATCCGATGACCAAATATGCCCGATCTCATCTTCCAAATCTGTCGATGACGACCTGATTGTCGATTTTGATGAACTTGAAGAACTGTTCTGTCTGCCTTGTATCACCCACAATAATTCAACAGGTGCTCAACAATCATTGCCCAGTAATGGTGGACATTGTCTTCAGCCACAAAATTCTTGCACATCGAGTGCATCGAATTCTTGTCCAAATTCACCAAGATGTTCACGTCGGCACAGTGCTACAAGTCATCATTCAATGAATCTAGATACGGCATCATTGAGTGATCACTCAATGATGGATGATGGTAGTGAACAACAGCATTATTCGATTGATTCAACAACAATCAATTTAGATATGCCATTAGCACCTATACTTGATTCAAAACGATCATTGAGTGTTAACATTTTCCTAAAACAATATAAAGGTTCCGGTCTGGATCAAGTGATCAATCTTATAGCCACCAATGATCATCAACAAATTGGTCTCGAACGGCTTCGAAGTTTGAAACATTTATTACCCGATGAAACGGAAATGACTGCATTACGGCAGATTGATCCAATGGATCGTGATCGTCTACCATTGGCTGAACGTTTTCTAATCAAATTGATCGAAATCAATCATTATCGATTGAAGATTGATTTCATGTTATTACGGGAAGAATATGATGCCAATATACCGATGCTTGAACGATCAACACGATGCATTAGTGAAGCGGCCAAAGAACTAATGCAAAGTGATAAACTAAGACAAATGTTGACATTGGTACTTGTATCGGGCAATTTTCTTAACTTTGTAAGTGGAATGTTTTTTTTGTTCATTCTTATGTGTGTCGCGGGTCGTAAATTTTTTTCACATTCACATTCAATTCACTAATCCTTTATTGGTCTTGTTTGTTTGTTTGTTTGTTTGTTTGAATATTCAAGGGTGGTTATGCTGGTAATGCGATTGGCTTTAAAATGATGTCATTACTTAAATTGGCCGAAATTCGTTCAAATAAACCTGGATTGTATTTGATACATTATGTGGCTATGGTATGTAGATTTATATTAATCTTGCCTATTCTATCTATATACAATGATGATATGATAATTTTATCTCTTTCCCTTGTTTTTTATCGTTTATGGGTCACTTTTTTAGCAAGCAGAAAAAAAAGGTTTGAATTCATTTTATGATGAATTACCAACATTGATTGAAGCATCCAAGTAAGCTTTGTTTGCACCGTAATTCCAATGTTTGCTGAAATTATTTTTCCTTTTCTCACCATCTTTCTTGTTTCATGTAGAATATCCAATGATAACCTCAAAGCTGAAGTGAAATCTTTATCGGAAAAAATCGCGGCCATAAAATCAAAGCTTAGTTTAAACAAACCAAACGCTGATGGCGATCACCGTTTGTTTGAAAAAATTGGCCAATTCTTGACAATCTCAGAACATACAATCAATCGTCTCAAAACAGTCACCGAACTAGATATGGAAAAATTGCGAAAAAATGTTGCCGATTTTTTCTGTGACGATATCGCTCAATTCAAATTGGAACAATGTTTTCAGATATTCGTTGCATTCGTACAACGATTCAAAATGGCGATAGAAGAAAATCGTAAACGGAATGAAAATAGACAAAAAATTCGTGCAAGACAACAAAAACAACACTGTACGGACAATTCATTCACATCTTTGATTGAAACCATAGGAAATGGACAATCATTGTCATGTCAAAATGATAAGACAATGTTTCGATCACATGATCCTGCCAATTTGGTAGCTGGTTCAGATTCTACAAAATTCTGTTCGTCACTGAAGCGTCGCCATTCACGGCCATGTTCACAGGATATGTCGAATGTTGATTCGCCAGCCAAACAAGATCTTGTTGAATTTTTAAAATCAACTGCCCATAATGATCAATGTAATGGCACTAACATCGATGGTAATCTATTTGGGACACAATTTCGTCGTATTGGTTCCGGAAGACGTAGCTTGCGTGGAACGAGCAACAACAATGATTGTTCGGATAATGAACGAGAACGTGTGATTGTTCCATCACTACAATATAACCAAGATCCCGAACCATTAATCGATTCAACATCTACGACTATTTCGGCTTTTAATCGATTTTCTCCACTTCGTCGTACCATTAAGAATCAAAGTAAAGAAGATTCGGATTCATTATCAAACACTGATATGAGGCCACCAAAAATAACGATTGAAGAATGTAATACAAACTCGGAATCTATCAAATCGTCATCTTATTCGAAAGAATCTGCCAATTCAAAATCAAACCGAAATTTTTTATTCGAATTTAGAAAGAAACCATTATTGAATCAATATATTCAACAATTGACCGCAATCATATCGCCATCCAAATATATTGAAAATAATGATGCTTTACATAAAGTATTCGAAAATCAATCCAAAAATGGATCAGTATCGAATCAATCACCAACAACAGAATCTGCCAATATAATCATATCTACCGTGGCTAAAGAACGACCGTCATCACTGAAAGCATCTTCATCATCGTCTGGTATTTCATCCGAACAACGTCGTTCGTTTTCATTCAAATCCAAACCAACTAATAGAATGGACAAATCATTTGTTATTAAAGGAAACAATGCTAATAATAAATCAAATCATGCTATCGTAGTACCGGTACAAAAAATGGAGAAAAATATCAATGGATCTTCACTACCTCATCAGTCTAATACTTCTTCACCAAATCTGGATCACAAATCACCATCACCAAAGTTGAAAAGTTTGACAAAAGAAATCGGTATGTATCATGATGATTTTGTTGATTTAATTTAAATGAAAATTTTCATTTTCAGCAGTTGAACATCATCATATTGGCGATGGTAAACTAATAAATTTGAAAAAATCATCATCTCCATCTTTCATTCATTGAAACGCCAATTTCATCAAGTAGAAAATTTATATAAACAATCAAATATAGTTTTATATATTTATATATTTTTTATTTATTTTGAAAATCGTAAACAAAACAAAGAAATTCACGCCAATTTAAATTTTTTTCATCATTCATAATCATCATCATCATCATCATTAAATTTATTTTGGAAAAAACTTTTTATTGTCCAACATCATCATCACCGAGATGAATTTTTTTGCGTTTGGAAATCATCAATGTTTTTTGATGGCCACAACAACATAAACATCTATAGATATAGATATTTATTTCATCATAAAGACATTGGTGTGATTGCATTTGCTACTGTTGTTTATTGTGCCCAAATTTGTGCATTAAATCGAAATTTTATCCTTCCAATGTTCTCGAATGTCATATTCCATATTTGGCATGTGTTAACTGACTTTTGTGTGTGGTGGTTAGTCTTTTCTCCGATATTCAGAATGAAGGAAATGCAATTGGCGTATATTATTGACAGATTTATTTCAAATTTTCTTTTCCTTCCCCACATAAGGATTCATGGTCGAATTTTGAAACCAAAAAAAAAACTTGGAAATACTTGTCCTCCCTCAAATCATTGAACACAAACACAAAAAAAATGAATAAAAACACCTCCATTATGGCCTCGGTCATTTTTCTCATCTTCCGAAAGAAATGTGTTGATTCTTCTCTATCATGTTGAGGATTGTTTGTGTATGCATCCATAATCGGTTTGTGCACCTGCCCAAATCATCAAATCGATGTTTTTGTGTGTGCCTAAACAGCCTACCTGTTTATTTATTTGTTTATTTTTGGCTTGTTCATTCGAATTCACTGCATTCACTGGTGGACACAGCCATTCATTTTGTCATTTTATGTTCACACGAATAATGGTGGTTGTGGTTGAATAAAATAATTCTGAAAAAGATCATGTTTGTGGTTTGTGTGTGCTGAAAAACAATACAACGACATTGCATAATAAACATGTCAGCCAATAAATCAACATCGACCATTGTTATCAATGACCGTTCCATATCACCACGTGAACGTATCATTCCAATCAGGGTTGAAGATCAACGACAAAGTAATGACGATAGTGATGATAATATTCAACGTGAATCTTTCCATCGAAATCATGACGATGATCTAAAAAGAAAGAATGTTAAAGTGATAAAAGTATCACAAGGTACTCAACCAGATGACGATGAGGATCACAGAGATTATGCTGTACGAATAACTGATGATCGACGCCAAACTAAACCCATTGATCCAAATAGATCATCATCAATGAAAAAGACAAAATTACCCGATACTAGCTCAAGTTCAGACTCAAGTTCCGATTCGGACAATGATGATGACCATAAACGACGACAAAAATCAACAAAAGGCCCAGAAGGTTCAACAGGACAACAACAACCTGAAGCAAGTTTTAAGAAACAAAGTGGTCGTTCAAAAATTCGCGCCAGCGGTGATATCAACAACAATCTAGCCATTACAACACAACCAGGGAAATCAATACTTAAGGCATCATCACCACCACCGATCGCTTCATCGACACCGATACCGCCGGAAAGACCAATTTCTCCGTCGAATGTTATAAGAAAAAAGCCATCAACTGGTTCCCGTTGTAAATCATGGTTATGTTCACCATTTGCATTATGCTGTGCTTGTGCGCCATTCGAATGTGAATGCTGTAATTGTTGTTATTGGAAATGTTACCGTTGTCAACAATGTTTTTGTCAATGTTGTAATCAAAAATGTTGCTAAATTCCATATTGGTCAAGCAGGATTTTGAGATAAGATTTTTCATTCCATTTGATTTGATCTAATGTAATCAATCTTGAATGTTCGCGGTCACCTTGCAATACTCACACACACACACACACATATGATGTATTTTGTGTTTATACACACCGATCGATCAAAGAATAATAAAAAGAAATAAACAAAATTTGTCCATTCATTCATTCGATATATATTTATTCATTATTCAAACAATTTATACAATGGCACGTATCCATGATATTTGGCCATCTGATGATGTCATTCGCTTTTACACACACACACACACACACTCATGCAACGCACCAGAATTGTTATTGTCGAAGAAATTTTCTGCCAAATCATGTATATCTGGATATTTGAACCGATGATACCGATGATGATGATGATGATAACCGAAATGCCATCGTTATCATATAAAAACATGCATTCGTTTTCGATTCTGGTTTGATTCATGATTCGTAAAATGTTGTTGATTGTGCGTTTGAAACAATTTGTACAAAATGTGTTTTTGTATTGAAAAGTGAAACAAAAATGTCATCAACAAGATTTTGGTTTCTTTTCTCACTATTCTTGTTATTATTTTCATCACATCATCAACTGACGAATGCGGACAAAGATGAAAAGGCCATCGTTCATCATGAATCAAGTTCGATATTGGTACATTTTACATTGGATCATTTTCGTGGGCCATTATGGAAAATGTCCAATCTGGTATATATAAGCAATGGTGATGATGGTTCAAATCATCAACCACATTATCGACATTGGCCTATTCGAAATGGAATCGGTATAATAATCCATAATAATAATGTTGATTATATCATCATCATATTATAGTTATATTATATATTATATATTATTATCAACTTGTTTTACATCATAACTATAGGAAAATGGAAACGTCTATGGTATCTGAATCGATTAAGCAATGGTTTCATACGATTAGATGACAACGATTACATCAACAACAACAACAACGATGCAACAATCCATTCCGATAAGAATCGTTTACATTTTATTCTATCATGTGATATTAATAGTGATCAAACAAATGGCTTGTATCATTTCATACAAAATTGTTCCCTGTATCAGATTGAAACGATTGTCGTTCGAAAATTGATACGACCGAAATTTAATCTATTATTGAATCTCTTCCATAATTCCAGCTATCAATGGGAACGACCATATAATTATCCAATTACTCCGACTAAACTGGATGATCGAACATCATTACGATTAGTATCAGTATTGGAAGAGAATAAACGAATGATCCTGAGATGTGTGTTCAAAAAACGTTGCATCATCAAACACGAGAACCAAAGTGCTCATTATGACTTTGATGTTGTTTACCACAATGATGAGAATGATTCCGATGAATTGAATTCTCGATTTCAACGACAATTAATAAATGATGATTATGATTACTATGAATATGATGACTCTGATACTGATCATCATCATGAATCGAATGATAATTACATATCCAAATATACCGCCTATTTACTAGTGACAATCATTAGTTTATTCACAATCATATTGTTGGTATTGAAACAAATTCTGATCAATTATAATTATTTATAACAAAAAACATAAAAAATATTTCAAATCTACCCATTATAATAATACTAAATGGCGATTATTAATTTTTTCGTCTTGTCATTTATGAATGGTCACCGAATATAGAACTGTTGAATTTATTTATTTTTGTTTCGATTCTTTGTTGTTTTGTTTTTAATGTCAAACATTATTTATTTCAATTCTTTCCTATTTTATTTTATTGCCAAATCATCATCATCATCAAGTTTTGGTGGATCATGATTGATGAATAAATATTTCACATTTTAAGACTATATATGCGTGGATTCAGGAAACTTGAAAGTGCAACCAAAAGTGTTTTGTTGGCCAATCATTGCTTTCATTCATTTCATCAACAACATCAAAAAATTGCAAACAAATTTACCGTACATCATAGAGATGTGATTATATACACAGCTCACCTAAACGGTGATAAACACGAGACCAACAAACAACATTGGAGACCAAATCCCAGATAAGCCCATTATTTGGGAGAAACATTTTATCATTATCGTTACCAAGTGCAACCATTAAAAACTACAATTCAGTATTATCATTGGTTTTTTCATTCTCATTGATAATCTTATTCGATAAATTCTGAATGAAAAATGCAATCCAATACCACCGTAGAACAGTCATTGAATGATGATCATGAAACAAATACCCGTTCTCAACAATCGATTAGAAATGAAAAGCAAATGTTCATACAAAGGAATTCATCGACATGTTCATCTCCATTGGAATCACCGAAAATTCCCATCGATTCTCAATCACGATCATCATCATCATTATCGTATTCGTATACATTATTTCCATCGACCATTTCGGGCGTATTACATGCACAAAATTCCGGTGCTCTGGATTGGTCCTCGAATGGTCTTATAGCATATGGTTGCCAAAATCTTGTGGTCATTGTCGATACACGGCCCACTTTATCATTTCGTCAAAGTAAGTCAAATGTATACATTGATTGTTGATTGTATTCAGTGCATTTTTTTCGTTTACGATAGCTTTACATCGACACAAACATATTGTTTGCCTGGTTAAATGGTCACCATTAACCAATCATCTTTGTCTGTGTTCAATCGATACGATCGGTATGATTGTCGTATGGGATGTGATTGAATCTGCGCCGTTAACAGTCATTTTATCGACCACTGAAAATCGTTCCATTAGTTTTATTCATTGGATTCATTTGGATAAAAAATTATCAACACCGAATCGTAATTCTGTGACCGGAAAAATTAATTGTTGGGATTTGGTTGATTTTGACATGTCTAAACCCGATAATAATGACCAAGAAGATGAAAAATCGGATAATTGCAAAAACAATGATAATATTGCTGGATGTTTGGCTACAAATCTCTACCTATTATCATTCTATCCTCATAACAATACTATTATTGTTTATGATGCTGATCTTGGTGAACCAGTATGTCGTTGGCAAATCGATTGTCTTGTATCGCATATTCATTTCAATCCATTTTTCTATTTCAATCGTTGCTGTAATACAAGTATGCAGAATTTATTGTTCGAATTTCGATCAACAAATTCTGATCGTATCTATCTTGGTCTGGCTCGATTGGATGAACATCATCTTAAAGATAATGATCAAACGTCAAAAGAACCACAAAAAATACATCTACCCATCACAATGTATGTATTGAAGAAGATCAACAACAAATCCGGATACTTTGATCTGATACAACGACTAGATAAAAGTAAATTGACCAATGATCTGATCGCCATCAAAGACCATACACAATCATCAGCCGGTATTCGTAATAATTCAATCACACAAGGACTTACACCGCACACGATTAATAATGATTATCAATTATTACAGATTGAATTCCATAAAGCTGTGAGAAATCAGATTTTTCTCGTATTTTCACGTGATATCTATCTAATCGATTTGTCAATGGAAATGATCATCACAACGATACCGATCGAAAGAAATTTTTCACGTTTAAACAAAATTTTCTCTTGTGGTCTTCGAAATGCATTCTATGCGTTACACGAAAATGGCAACGTATCATTTCGATTGTATCAGAAAAAAATTATTCGTGACAATCTTTCCATCAATCATAATAATCAACATCGATCCGATGAATTAGGTAATCAGGCAAATTTCCTCAACATTGGCTATGTGAATCTTTGTTATTCCGAACCAATAAGGTTGACTAAACAGAACAAAATCTTTGGCTATTCTTTATCACCATTTGATGAGACGAAAGTAGCATTCCTATTGAGTACTGGACGTATCATTTTTAAATCATTATTATGTCAAAAATCATCATTCGTTCATAATTTGTCATTGCCATCGTTGAATGATTTGATCAAACCTCAAGAATATAAACTTGGTGCTTTTCTTATCAATGCTAATGAACATGATGATGATGATGATGATGATATCGGTCATGAAGATCAACGTAAACAATCGGTTTCTGATGCCATTCTATATAAAATTATTGTTACAAATTATTTAAGTGGTCTAAATTCATTGCCCACCGTCATAAGAATGGCACCACCATTAACCGTGCAAAATCTAAATGAACATAAACCATTATTGGCCGTCGGTGATAGTCTAGGAATTCTACAGATTTGGCTATTGAACAATAATACGGCAACATTACATCGTGAATTTTGTGCACATTCATATGCTATTGCTGGTGTGGAATGGGCCAATCTTACATCTTTGATTACTTTCTCATATCCAACGATAACATCGCCGGCACATTCTTACACCAGACACCCATTAAGTGCCTTACAAAATCTAACAACTGGTTCGGGAAGTAGTTCTGGAAGAGTGACAAATGAATTGATTCATATCGATATCGAAACCGGAAAGTTGAGTTCATTTCGTACGAATCATATGACTGATTCATCGCCAATCGAAACGATTCGTGTATCACATCTGAAACAATATCTTATCATTTTATTCAAACATGACGATCCATTTGAAATTTGGGATGTGCGAACCTTGACCATATTACGTACAATGTCCAAATCAATTGGTCTAGTGACGGCTGTAGAATGGAGTCCATTGTACAATCGAAAACAAATGGCCAAAAACAGTGCTGCTACTTCTGATCTTGGTAGTGATTCCGATACTGGATCAATAAGATCAACATCATCATTGATTCATCCATTACCGGTTAAAGAAAATTTCATTGTCATGTCACGTGAATTATATCATTTCTCTATCGAAGGCAATATCGTACGAGAATTGGCAAGGATACCATCTGATGTTGAAAGCGGCAATATTACCGTTACAAGTATCGCATGGAAAAGTGACCAGGTATTGTTTGGCGATGCATCCGGTACTCTTAATCTTTGGGATCTGAAACGGAAAAATTCACGAACCGAAGCTACATATCGTACTTGTATTAAAAAAGTTCGTTTCGGTCCTGGTCGCGGTAATATGAAGTGTCTGATCCTTTATGCTGATTTTGGTGTTGATATCTGGGATATTGAAGAATTTCGTCTATGTTCACAGTTGAAATTTCCCAGAGATATTAATTTCAAAATCATCGATTTCGATTGGGTTAGCTGTGATCTACCTGTATTTGCTACGGCAGAAGGATTTATCGTCATATCTGACCAAAAACTAAAAACCTATTCTTCACCATTGAATAGTTCACGTTTATCCAATTGGTCATTCGCTAGGTTGGATTTATCGCAATTTCGTTTTGAAGATTTAAATACAAATTTTCTAGACTTTGGCCACCGTAAAGAATTGATACGAAAATTTTTATTTGAAATCCCATTTACAAAGCGATCCATTTCAACAGATGATGGTTATGAAAATCATGATGATGATCAAGAGCAACATCGATCCAATAATGATGATGAATCACAAATGATTGTCGACATTCGACAATATATTGATAATCAAATTTTATTGGCAAAATTATTTTCCAATCAAAATGACTATGATTTTTGGCTATTACTTGGCTCCATATTGCTTGATGAAGAACTTGATTCACGTATGGATCTATTTCTTGATAATCAAAATTTTCGTCAATTATTACAGGAAAAACTTATGCTCTTGGAGCATAATCGGCGTACTTATTTCCATGCTAATCAAGTATATCGGATGAATTTGAATCTGAAAAATTTTCATCGTGCCGTACAGGTTCTATTGGAAAGTGAACATTTATTCAATCAATCGAATCGAATTGACGATTCAATGGATAAGCAAGCATTCTATGTGGATGCATTGAAAGCTTGTTTAATTGCCGCTTTACAGCAGACATCGAATAATGTTTCTTCCAAATGTAATCAATCGAAAGATAATAATCGATTTGTAAGCGGTGATGATTATTCAATCGAAAATTGTTCATTAACCGAAAATGATGATAGTAGTAATCATCAAACGCATGAAGAGGATAATAGTATTGAAAATGATGATTCCAATCATTCGATGATGCTGAATGAAACCAGAGTGGCACCGGTTGTGAAATTAGTTTCCACTAGTCTCATTGCTAATGGTCATATTACCGAAGGTATAGAATTATTGACAATCATATCGAAAACATCCGATGCATGTCGTTATCTTCAAAGCTCAGAACAATGGTTTGATTCCATTTGGTTGGCAAAGGTATGTTTGATTGATTGTTTATAAATGGTTTGTTTTTAATGAATAAATTTTTCCCATTCAACTTTAGTCAAGTCTGGATGGCAATGAATGTACGGAAATTATGCGTCGTTGGTGTGATTATTTGATCTCATCCAAACGATATTATGATCAACAGACAGCATTGAAAATCTATCTATCACGGCGACAATTTAGTCGTGTCCTGCGTGCATTAAATCAATTTGGTGATTGTAAATCATTTCCATTGGCTGTCATCTGTATTGGCGCACAATTAATCGATATGGATGCAAATATGGATTGTATTGAGAATATATTTCGAAATTTCGCCAATCATTTTTTTGATGATGAATCATTATTCGAAAAAATCAAAGATTCAAATTGTCTAAACATCGATATTGATGATTCGTTGAAAAAATGTTGGGCACTGTTTTTTCCGGCAAAAACATGATTGATTTTTTCTTCCAACACATTCTCATTGTTATTTGTTTTGTTTTATTTACTACTTTTTTGATCAGATATTATGATATGAATGAAAAAATGATATTTCAACCCCAAATTTGAAAATTTGTCTATTTCAACTCTAGTGACGAATAATAAAAAATTTCATTTCATCACATATCACATATATATGGTTTGGAAGTCCGGTTTTTTATTATGTTCCATCGAGGACAGAGCTTCTAATCATTGTGTGACAATCAATTTTTTACTACACACAACGGAAACCCAATTATGATTTGTGTTGTTTGTCTATCCAGACAAATGATCTGGTTACAATGTTCATTCGCCACTAAATTGTTTCAAGTTTTTTTTTGCCAACACTCTCAAATGCAGACCATATGTCTTGTGTATGACCAATAATAACGACTACCACCACCACCACCACAATTGTTTTATCACATGTCGAGTTCATCGAGTCGTATTCAGGCCTCTCATCATGGTATTGTTTATTCCTCAGTGTGTGTGTTTGGTGACCAATGATGACAATAATAGTTATCATGATTTAACGAAATGGTATATACTTTACTTGTTATTATTATTGTCAAACTGAAATTATGTTTTCGTCTAATTGATTGGTGGTGAGTCATTCATATCATGCAATCATAATAATACTAGAATAGAATTGTTGTTGTTTCCTTGGATTCGATGTAATATATTGGCGCGTCTGTGTTTACATAAATGTTCATTATAAAATTTTTCCTTTTGATTACAATGATTCTCATTACTTGAATCGGTGTCTGAGAGTTTGCTGTTCTATGTCAGCCAATTGGGTTGTCGAATTTTTTTTCTTTCCGATGCCGCTACAAATTCTCAAATTCTCAGTGATTTTAATGGGCATTAATAATAATAATGTGCTGCTCAATGGCTGTCATGAAGATTCTAGTAGAAGAAATAATCAAAACATTCAAAGTGATCGAATCAAAAATTGTTTAAATGGGGTAAAAATGTAAAATTGTCGAAATTGCGAAAATGATGCCATCATATTGGAAACCAGCTTATTATCTGATACGAAAAAATAAATATTTCTTCATCGGTTGCCTGCTTGGCATTCTATTATCATTATTATTTATGCCAATGTTGGAAGATTGTTCGAAACCAAATTCATTGAATGGTGATGAAAATGATACCGAATCAATCCAAGTGTTGAAAATGAATCGACGAGATTATCATCTATTTGTACGATTAGAAAAATGGTATCGTGAAATGTCTCGTTCAGATTATAATCCAATGATTCGTAATAAAACCGTCATGATCAATGAGGCAAATTCACATGCACTTCATATGATTAATCAGCCAAAATTAGCCATCAACAGTATGGTACGTGATAAGAAACTTAAATTTTTTCGTCCTCGTTTCCATTCAATTGAATTGAATATCAAAATGAAACTATTAGTTTGCGTATCGATTAGGCCACAATTGCTTATCCAATCATCATCACCCCAATCGGATCAATATGACCAATTGATTGTACAATACATGAATATGACCAATGAATTAATGTTGAACGATTTCAGCGATAATCTTCTTTACTTCTATCCAGACATATCAACAGGCAATATGATTGTCTCCTACAGTGGTAATCACCGACTTGATGTATGGCCACAAAATGATAATGATCTTCCATTTCATGTAATTATAATGGATTATTTAATAGCAAAGCGAAAATTGGATGAATATGCCATGATTTTGATGATTACCGAACGGACTTGTCTGCATTCATTCAATCTTCAGCAATATCTTCGAACGCTGTCCGTATCGGATTTGGTGCTTTCCACTTCGAATGATGATCAATCTTCAATGACTGAAGATTCGAAATTAAAATTTATCGCTACTAATTTGGGCCACAATGATCATATCTTAAATTACGGTCTTTTGGTCAGTTCAACTTTGATATCAATGTGTGATCATGATTGGCCATGTTATGTGAAGAGAATTTCCCGTAATAATAATAACCGACATATCGATGGAAATGTCCATTATTGGCATCGATCATTTTCCAATACTCATTCTTTTGAATCGATCTCATCCATTAGTTCGTTTCTACGGGATAATGAACAAACCATTCTAGACTCTATTTTCATCTATCCTATTCATTTTCTATCCACTACTTACCAACTTTTACAAACACTCATAACAGTCGATAGTATTAGTCGATTGAATTTGAAAATCGAAACAATCGAACAAAGATTGATTTCCATAACGAAATCCACTTTATTTAATGGCTCTTTTAGATCGCGTAAACCACGAAATCGTTATGAAGTAAATTGTTGGTTATATTCCAATGAAACGCACATGTTTTTGCCAAATGATGTCCAAATAATTCGTGCGTTGAACGCCGATGAATTGAAACAAATTCGTCAAATTAAAAGCCAATGTTTAGAATGGATCAATCATCATCGACCACAGTTTTGCATCAAGTTGCAAGATTTATCCATTGAAAATTTATATCAAAAATTTGATGCAGTTCGTGGTCTTGAATATATTGTCGACTTGCGAGTAAATAAATGCAATTCATTGCCATCAGAATCATATCGTTTTCAAATGCTAAAACCATTGAATCCAATTGAAATAGTGACCGATATACCACATGCAAGTGAAAATTTACGGCTTACAATGATATTACCTGTTCGCGGTCATGCCGAAGTTCCCGTAGCCATAGGTTTTCTCGATCATTATGCAAATGTGTGTCTGAAAAATTCCAATCATAATACCATGTTGATCATCGTGCTCATACGTACTCGTTATATCTCACTAAATGATTCAATCGATAGTGAATTTGAAAGAAAAGAATTTCAACGACTAAAAAAATTATCATTATATTTGCAAACAAAATTCCAGTCAAATTCGGTTCGAATCATATTTATGGATATCAATCCACCGGATGCAATTTATACGAACGATTCATCAAGTCCACCGCGAACAAGATTTCCATCCGAAATGGTCTATTTGGATCTTATCACACGTTCGTTGATGGCCACATCAGCCAACGAACCAATACTATTATTACATTGTCGAAGCAATATGCTTTTCACCACTCAACTATTGAATCGTGTACGTGTCAATACGATTCCTGATAGTCAGATATTTATTCCATTACCTTTTGTTGAATATCGATTACGTACGTATAAATCGAATCAAGATTTTGAACAAATTCTACGAAAACAATCCATATTTCAAGAAAAATTTAATCTATCCCTTCATCAATTGACCATGGATGAAAGGTCACCAGCTGGAATTACATCTTCAATGAAATTTTTCGATGTTCGCAAAGATAATGGTTATTTTGATGATACCAATCAACAGATCGTTTCTTTCTATCTCCATGATTATGTACGTGCACGAAAACAAACACAAACAATAATGCCCATCATACGAAATCGACAATCATTGGTTAAATATCAACACATTTATTATGATACCCAATGGGATTTATACCAAATGTTTGTACAATCTAATGATCGAATTGCCAAAGATGATAGTAGGTCATTGATAATGATGAAGACCACCGAACCTGATCTAAAATTATATCACACATCAATTCTAGATGATTGTGATCATTTTGAATCGAATATACCAAACTATCGATCCTGTTTTCATCGATCTTTGTATGGATTAGGATCGAAACAGAAACTTGCTGCCATCATTTATGAATACATTCGACGGACAAAAACATGATAAATCTTTTTTTATTTTTGTTTAAATTTTATTTGTGATATAAAAAATATGGTACAAAAAATAATCAAATAAATATAAAAAAATTCATTTTGGTCAATGTGGATTTTTTCTGGGCAAAAATATGGCAATTTTTGACGATACTCTTCGACAGCCATAAACGGAAAATTCATCGTCTTTGAATTCAATACTATTCATTACTTTTCGAATAAATTCTGAACCAGGATCAATAAATGGATCCGAGAATTTGTGTTGTCGACGAAGATTATCGACCACACATTGTCGAACGTGACGTTTTGCAAGCGGTAAAAACGGTACAAATAAATCGACTACACCACGTGTAATCAATTCCGAGTTCTTTAAGCCACCCATTTTAATCGCATTATTAGTGACAATATTTTCCAGATCTTCATAATCAATGTCTTCACGTGATTTACCAGAATGCATTAGCTGTACAACTTTGTTATTGATATTGCTTCCAGCGCTATTGCTGTAATTTACGAATGGGACGAAAGAAAAAATAAATTAGCGAATCGATTGATGGCAATAAATAGACTTACCCAAGGAATATGAATATTGATTTTTTATATGGTGATGCATGTTCTAAAAACGGTAACAATATGTCCAGATATTTTTCGGGTAATTTATCAATTTCATCGATTATCACCAATGAACGATCACAGTTGTCTAGTTTCTTGTGAATATCTTTCGCCAACATGCTTAAGTCATTTCCTTTGGCCAAATTTGTGGCCACATATTTATGAACGAAATTACTTGCACCAGTTGCATTGAATTGTCGATAGATTCTTTTCGCCAACATATCACTTAGATGATTTTTTCCAACGCCAGTGAAACCATGAAATGAAAGTACTAATGGTTTTGATGGATTTTCATTTTTCATATGAAAATGTACTAATTTACTAACAACATTGACGGCAATGTGTTGTCCGAAAATCTCTTCGGAAAGGTCGGACCATTCCATACGATTAGCGATCCATTTATCGCTCGTATGATCATGACAACATTCCTTCACCATACAGGTTAATTTATCTTTATAGTAATAGCCAACTCCACTGGCGATGATTGAACCAGTTATCGTAAATGGATCCAATGCTAATATTGTCGCCCATATGGAAATTAAGGCGATAATTTGAATTATATACATGAAGGAAATTTTCTTTTTTCGTCGTTGATTTCGTGTTGGATCATATACAACAAGCATTAATTGTTTATCATCTGGTGATGGCATATCGTTGAGGGTGGAAACCATGAATCACAATCACAATTTGTTTTATTGGATTTATTTTTATGCAATTTCGAATCATCCATCAAACACGTTACCAAAACAAATTACTATCGATTGTTCATCATCGATTATTATTATATCCATCCATGTGTTTGCCAAATTGTATTGTCAGTGTTCTGTATTATCATCATCATCATCAATTAATTTAAATCATAATTTGAAATAGAATAATCGAAATGTTGTTGAATACAATCAAGGGATTAACAGCGTTTGTTACCGGTGGTGGATCTGGTCTTGGTCTAGCCGTATGTCGACATTTAGCCGGACTTGGTATCCGTGTGGTGACAATCGATTTGAAACCGAGCGAAGAAAAAATCGATAATGTCACTGGAATAAAAGGTAAACAATAAAATTAACATGTCCATTCACAACTGATCCAATCATTCATTGTTCAAGGTGATATTAGAAAAGAAACTGACATAATGGAAGCATTGAAATTATGTCAAGATTCCAATGATGGTCAACAACGATTAAATATTCTTGTCAATTGTGCCGGTGTTGCCAATGCATTCAAATTGTATAATTTCAATTCGCAAAAACCACAGCGATTACGAGATTTTCTTGATCTAGTTGAAATTAATGTCTATGGTACATTCAATGTGATTCGATTATCGATACCATTGTTGGCTAACAATCCAATGAGTGAGAATGGAACGAAATCGGTCATCGTAAATACATCGAGTATATTGGCATGGGAAGGCCATGAAGGACAGACCGGTTATTCGGCTACACAGGGAGCATTGAATGCTATGACATTGCCATTATCCAGAGATCTAGCCAAAGAAGGCATTCGTGTCAATACGATTGCCACCGGCTTTTTCGAAACACCGTTAGTTATACGATCAAATGCACCAGAATTATTCGAATTCATACAATGTGCTACACCTTGTCCTTCAAGACTTGGTCAACCGGAGGAATTTTCCAAACTTGTCGAAACGATTATTGAAAATCCAATGCTCAATGGTGAAATAATACGATTAGATGGCGCATGTAGATGGCCAGAAAGGGGATAATTTTGTGTCATTGTTTTGTATTATAGTAGTATTCTTTTTTTTATTATTCCATCAATTTACAAATCCAGCGGGAAGAAAAAACAAGACATGGAATACAAGTGAGTGTGTAGTAAAATAAATACAATTTTACAATGAGTTTTATTTATTATCAATGGGTGATTATTCATCATTATTAGCCATTTTTGTGCATCAATCCTCATCACTGGTCATATGTCGCATCATTTGTGAATTTAATTTTTCAATACGTTTTATATCTTGTGAATTTTCCGTTTTATACAACAGGCATACTTTATCATCGGTACATTTGACAGTTAATTGTCCATCTTTATGTCGATATTTCATTACTAGACGACAACGTAATGGATTCTCCAGATATAGTGCTTCGGCCGCCGATGCAAACTCATTCCAATTCTCGATATATGGCATTTTTATTCACGAATTCTATGTTAGCCACGTAGACTTGCATCAATTTTTTTGTCGACAATAATTTCGAAAAAATGTAGAATTTTGGAAAAAAGAAACGAGATAATTCAAACAACACGACTCAAACTCAAACACACGAGTCATAACACAAGCAAACACAACGTGTAAAATTTTCGGAAAACTTCCGATTTTTTAATGGGAAAAATTACGGGAAAAGATTGAATTGATTCTAATTCTTTTTATAAACAACTTTTCTGCTTGAGGTTTGACAATTTTTTTCTGGAAAAATTTAACATTTAGACTAATTGTTTTTTATTTTATTCCTAGGTGGCAAATTAAAAAACGATTAAGACGACGACTGTATCGGATTTTGGTAACGGATTTTCAATTTACGTTTAATTGAATAATTGTTTATTTTTTCTCCTTTTTTATGTTTTTCACGCTGGATGTCTTTCATTGAATTCATAATGTATCAAGCAATGGAATAATACAATTGTCATTCAAGTGACGAAAAAAGTGCTTTTGGTTATTATTATTGACAGAACAACAATGTCCATTTTCACCAGAATTGAATTCAAGACTTATGGCTTTAATCGAGTTATGATCAAACGATGCATCCATCCGATATTTCAAGGATTCTTGGTGAAAATTTCAATTCCTCCATGACTACTGTTAAAATCAATGACCATTTGACTGAAATGAAAATTGTAAAACAAGACAAGTCCTGTTCCATGATTATTAATACCATACTTACGACGTCAAGCTCACTATTTATATAATCCGAATTTAGAAAGTCAATCAGGCTTTATTCCATGATATTATTCTTAGTAATATAGTAAATTACTTATTGATATTAATCAAACAAATCAAAATAAACTGCATTACCACATTCTAAATAAGCAATTGCTATTAATTTCATTTTTCATACCCGTGGCGCAATAAATCTTTATTTTATTTTTGAAACCAGTGCTGCCATCTATCGTCATAAATATATTGTAATATTTTATTTTATTTTATTTTTGAAACTCGTGCTGCCATCTATTTTTACAAATATGAACTACAAACCTGAGCATTCAACAGGTGGTCAACAGTAGCGCCATCTACATTGCTCATTTTGGCCCGATTGTAGATGGCGCTACTGTTGACCACCTGTTGAATGCTCAGGTTTGTAGTTTATATTCGTAACAATAGATGGCAGCACTAGTTTCAAAAATAAAATAAAATGGAATTTTTGTTTTGAAAACCGTGCTTTGGCTAACGATGACCATTAATATTAAAATTGAAACAGCAGTGATTGAAAAAAATAGAAATTTTATTCTTTTTTTCAAAAAAGAACGTTCTCTTTTTAAATTGAACAAGCAAGACTTGACAAATAGAGAGAGAGAGAGAGAGAATGACAAAAAGAAATTATTCGTTGTTTTTCCAGCCAAAAAAAGACAAAACCATGTGTGACAAGTGAGAATCAATACAGCCGTGATTTGAGTTATTAGTAGTTTTCAATCGATTAATCAATTAATCGCGTGTCGAGAAACACAATCATCATTTAATATCTAAATATGTTATTTTTTTAAGTTTACCAGACGAAATAACGAGGACAAAAAGTTCAAAGGAAAAAAATTTTCTCGGTGTTTTTGTGTTTGTTTTTAAATGTTTTGAGTCATTTAGAAGAATGTGTCGTATCCAGATTACTTGAATTTGAACTAGCCGAAGTCGTAGATACATTGGATGATGAAACAGGTGATGAATTTTGTGATAATCGACCAAACAATAATTCAGCCGTAACAGCAGGTGTGGGTGATGGTGAAAGAAAATTTGTTGTCATATTGGCACCAGAAACAATCGAATTAGCGGTGGTCGAATTCGGTGGCGATGAGCTTAATGGTGACCATGGTGATTTACCTCCAAACAATTCAAATACGGTAGTCGATGGTGGATTATTATCGACAAAAGCATCAGAAGATGAAACAGAAGCAGTTGAAGAAACGACCGGTGTTGATGAAACGTCAACAGGATCTGGATGCATTGTTGTATGATGATGATGGTCTGTTGTTGACTGCGGCTTGACCAATGAATTGAAGTCTACATTATCATTCGCATTGAATGTATGATTTTGAATATGATAATTACGAAAAGGCGAATCAATTGTGGACCACATTCCGCCAGATTGGGGCGATTGAGTAGAATTTTTTGGCCCGATCATGGTGTTTGAATTACGGTTATTTGTTGATGATGATGGAGATGAATTTGTTGTCAACCAACTAATTCGATTTGCAGACGACGAATCGATTGGTGATAAACCACTACTGAATGTGTTTACCGATGATTTTCCAGAATCGGAAAAGTTGGAAAAAATATTATTTGTGTTTGACGGCGAAGCTATTGATGTGGGCCAAGTTGATTCGGCTGCTGTAGATGGCCACACAGAATCTTGATGACTATGATGATCGGTAAGATTGGTAAACATTCCAGTGATTACTGAGCCAACTGCTTTTGATGTCGAACTATTTGAAGATGCGGATGCAAGCAATGAATCCAGAGTTGGGTCAAATTCCGAATTCCATGGCGATGATCTGGTAGTTTGTAATAGCGAATTGACGTTTACTGCCGATGGAGTGTTGACTGCCTTTCCACCCACACACAAACCATTTGAAACAGAAGAGTGTTGCTGCTCATATAAAAGCGATTGCGATTTCGATGACGATGGTTCCAAAAGTGAATCCAATTGACCAAATAAATTTTTTGTCGTAACATTCGATGACGAATTGAATGAAGGTAACAATGACAATGATGTTTTTTGATTTAGTGATTTCTCCAGACAGGAATTTAACATTGCAAAATGATTCGAATCAGCGGGTGAAGATGGAAGTAATTTATTTCGTTGTGTAGATAGAATTGATGATTGCTGCTGCTGTTGAGCAGTCGGCGGTCGTCCAATGACTGGTGAAAAAGTTGTCGTCGAAATGCTTGGACTTGTGGTTGGGCTCGATGATGATAATGCTGTTACGATTGAATTATTGTTTGATGCTGTTTTCATTGAATTTAACGAGAGACTAGATTGAACATTGGCCAAATTAATGTTATGGCCGACCGGTGATATTGTTCTCTGCATTACATATGATGCATTTCCTAACGTTGCTGTTTGTTGTTGTTGTGTGTGTGATTTACTATTTATATGAGTCATATTAGAATCATTCATGCCAAATAATTGTTTTCCATATAATCTTGAACTATGATTTTTGTCATTCAAACTATTACGATATTCTTGATAATTGATCGATTGTGGAAAACGTGAATGATGATGTGGATATTTTTTCATCTGTGCCATTGTTGATTCATAATTATTTCCATTACTAATGCCAAATGTAGACGTTCCTACTTTCGATGATGATGAACAATGATTCAAAAGATCATTACTCCATTCACCGATTTCCCATTTATCATCTGTGATTGGTGGTGATGTCTGAAATTTTGAATGTCCACCACCAACACCACCACGACGTTGAACGTTGAAAGATGGTCGATTATTAATATAAGAAGCAGTATTTTTATCATCAATTGCAGCAAATTCTTCCGTTTGTTTAACCAATTGATTCATTGCCAATTCTGTTGTTTTGAAAGAAAAAAAAATAATTAAAAAAGTGTGTGAATGAGAAAAAAAAACAAACCAGTATCAAAGCTTGTGATTGGTGAATCCCAAATATCTTTGCCATTGTTATTATTATCATTGACTCCATAGTAACCAAAATAACCCGATTTAGAATTGCCTACAGTATTATTAAATTCTTTAGCATTACGAAATGTATCAAATTTCTGTTCCTTATTATGGGTTAATTTTTGCGATGACAAAGAATGATAATTCTGTTCAACAATAGGCTTAAACGGTGATACGGTACAAAATGTATCGACATGATTTTCGTTTACATTCGAATTCGATTGAAATGTGGTTGATGTTTGATGCCAGGATAGATATGACTCAGATGCATACAATGATGAATCATTAGTGGTCATCAATGTATTAGTTGGTTTTGATTGTTGTTGATTTGAATCATTCTGGGTGAATGGTAATGTAGCAGATCTTGTTTTAGTGGGCATAAAATCATGATTGATAGTGGCTTCAATTTGTTCAAGTTTTGATGAAGACAATGATTCTTGTGACGATTTTAATGATTCGGAAACAGAATTACATTTCGATGAAGATTTTTCCTTTTTGCCATTGTCAGAATTTTTAGCGATATTTTTCACCTTTGTTGTTGATGTTTGCTTCTTTGCAGATTGTTGATGTGGCTGATTTTTTTCCAATGTTTTCGATGTTTGCATGTCGTTTATAGCTACTTTCGATGTGGATGATTCACGTTTATTTTTCTTTCCCTGACGACTAGCATTTGGTGAATTATTGCCTGGATTATTAGTTGATATGGTATTTGTTGCTGTTGCAGAAGCTATTTCATCCAATGAGTCATTTGAATGAGATTTTTTACTATCTGAACTAACATTCGATTGATTTAGACGGATTGATGATGACGACGTTTGTTTTGACATTAATGATGCAGAAAAATTAGATGAATCTGATGAACGATTACTATTTTCGGATGATGATGAATCTTGTCTCGAAAATTCCGATTGTGTTAGATGACTCCATGAAGATGAATGTTGATGATGACTTGTGGAAGATTGTGGTGTTGTTGTTGTCACGGTTGTGTTTGATTCAGAATCCAAATCCAATGATCCATTCGAATGATGATGTTTCGAAGATGTTTCTGGCTGTTGAGGTTTAGATGTCGATGGCTCAGATGTTGCAGATTTAGATTGACTTCTTCGATGTTGCTGTATATTCCCATTTGGTATCGGTTGGTGATTCTGTTGTTGTTGTTTTGCACCACGTCGATTTCTTACTTTTTGATTGGATAATTGACTATGATTTGATGATGATCCAACTGTAGTATATGGATGATTATGATTATGTTTTCCATTGGCTATCGTCATATTTGACGATCCGTTCGCTACAATTTTATGTGATGCAGATTCTATTGCTGATGATGATGAGTTGTTATGGTTGGCCAAATTATTATCACATTTGTAACCATTATTGTCATTGTTTCCATCATCATCTCCATCGTGTTTTTTCGTAATGCCAAGACCATTGTTGAGGAATTCATATTTTGAACTATAATAATTTAATGCAATTCGATGTCCATCAAATATTGCCACAATAGTTGATAGTATAAGAACGAATAGAGCCATTGTAACGAGAATATAATAAAGATGTGGTTCCCATATTGGCCGTGGTAATGCCTCCAAACATAGCTGCAATAAATTGGCCGGTATATTGGCCACAAGTAAAAATCGTTGTGCACCCAATGAATCATCATCATCGATCATTATGGTTAATTCATGTGTTATTGAATGTTGAGTAAAATCTGGTGAATACAATATCTCAATATCAACAGTTTGATTTGGTGACAAAAGTATTGGCTCACAACGGCTAATACGAAAACCATGACCTTCACAAGGCATACCATCGATAAGAAAGTTACGGATCTGCAATGCCATACGGCCAATATTGACTGCTTTGAAACGTTCACGCATCACTAACGTATTGTAATTGACTGTTTTGTGATTATTACTGCTTGACGACGACGACGACGATGATGATGATAATGATGGGGAAGGATCTATGCCCGATTTAACCAATATCAGATTACGACACCGTTTTTCCAATGATCTTTCGGGAAAATCAAACACTAGACGTGAATTCAATGTATTGGGTAATGTTTTTCCAATTTTAAGTAAACCACGGCCCCCTTCACCACGTAACATGACAACATCGATTATAGTGAGATTATTTCTCAATATCAATAATGAGGTATAATTTTTCTCATCAGGTGGATTGAATGTCACGGCTAAACGATGTCTTACACCGGCTGGCAGTAGCATTATATAAGAATTGGCATTCGGTTCTACACCTAACCATTCGGTGATACGTTGAACTTGTGAATTGGAAGCAATAGTATTGTTATATAAAGAGAATGCAGATCGATTATGGCCATTACGTATTGCCGATTGTATTGCTTGTAGATCACTTTTGGACCATTGTTGATGAAATATTGTATTAGATGTTAGTTGTAATAGGATTTCTGAATTCGGATAATCAATAACGTTTATTGCTTGTACCAATACTTCACGATCGGCGGTATTTTCAATCAAAAGCTCTTTGGTCACCATTTGACCAACACGAATCGATGGAAAACGAATGACCAATTTGTTCGCTAACCGTGGCCAATGTTGATGTGCTTGAATAGGAGCAACAAATGAACCAAAACCATCAATCTGCAGACGAACGTTGACCATTGGTTTACGATCCGATTCGGTCATTGATAACCATTGATTTCGTAATAATTTATATAGCTCTTTATCGATATATGCAGTGTCGGAATAAAGTCCCGAGCCTAATAACCATAGATGGCCCACTTCTTTTTCTACATCCAATGCTGTATAACATAATTTCTGATAACATGCTGCTGATGAATCAAATTGTATCTGTATCTGATTGTCGTGGCCAGGTTTGATCAATTGATCAATCAATTTGATTTTGAAACGTTCATCTTTTGGTTCAATGAAAGCTCCTTTGATTTTTATCGTACTGCTATAATTGCTTTTTATGTTCAAAATTGATTTAACAATCTTGCCAGGAAACGTTTTCGGCATTATCACTGGTTCGGCCATCAGATTTCCTTTTAATACTTTAATTGTCAATGGCACAGTCAATTTTTCATATGCAGTTATTATCGTTATGATTCCATTGTGAACGCCTTCATTACAAAGTTTTTGAACATGTACACGAAATATGGCAAAATGATTCGGTTCAAGTAATCGTAACTGTCAAGATGAAGGGAGAAAATACATTCATTCAATACGCATATAAATATAGAATATAGAATATAGCGAAAATGAATTTTAATCCCTAACAAAAACAAACCTCAGACGAACGAGTCGATGACGATGCAGTAGACGATAGTGATGAGTCTTCCATTGGCATTGTTGATGATGATGATGATGATTCGATGCGCTGACTTATGGCGCTTATATTTCCTTGACTAGTACCGACCAATTCTATAATCAATCCAGTAATATTACATTGCCAATATATCAAACGTATCGCTATTGGATTATGATTTGCAACGACAAGTGTTGATGTTTTATGCTCATTCAATCCTACCAGGCCCATATCCAATTTACTTTGGTCTGAAGAGTTTGGTATAAACTATTTATTGTGGTAAATGATAATTAGAGATAAATGCCAATTTAATGACTGTAACATACCAAATCCAATCTTCCTTGATAAGCATACAAAGGCAAATCAAAATAGCTTAAATTAGTCAATAAACGGAACACAGTTGAGAAATGACTAAGCTGTGGTGATGGCGTGAATTCAATTTTCAACAATGGGAACGTTTTTCCTACCGGTAACGTTATAGGCAATGAATAAGGGGGTTTAGTTGTCAAACGAAAATATGGTTTTGCCTCGTCCGGTAATATTATATCATGTACAATGATTGGACTATCAAAACGATTCTCAACATTCATTACACGTTGTTCCAGATAGTTTGAGCTTGAATTCATAAAGAAATGTGATTGTGTACCATTGAAATGCAGTTCACTGTTGTGAAAATAGAAATTTTTGAAAACGAAACAAATTAATCAAAAATAGAAACATTACCCTTGGATGACTCGAACAATAAACGGAATCGTCAATTTATATTGATTGTTTTTTGATTTTATCAAAACTTTTCCTAAACATAGACCCGTACAGGAGAATTGACTGGGATCAAGTATCAATTTGGCCACATGATACGGATTGGATGATTGTGGTGGAACTTTGATTGGACCACTAAAATCAGCGACGCTTAGACCATCAAAAATCGGTGTAACAACAATGCTTTGTACAGAAACGGATTTTTGCGCTGCATTTATCACCTGTATTGGTAATGCTTTCGGTGGATCATGTTTGGCTCTTAATACGCCAAAATCCAATGTATCTAATGGTGAATAGAGACCGGGTGAATTGCTCACTTCGACTTCGACCGGTAACATTAATTGTATATCGGGTTGGCTAGTACGAATCCTTATATAAGATGTATGATTGGATGCAATACGGGCCACTAAATGTGCCTTCATCACTGGACGTGTTTCATATGGTGGTACATTCCATAACGAACTTGGTGCTTCATATTCATCGTCCGGTAATTCTAGATGTAATCCACCACCTGAGGTATACATTTCTGTAAGCTATATGAAACAATGGTGTTTGTTTAATAAAAATTAAATGTTGACACATAAAAAACATACTTGTAGAGGCGTAGAAAATGGATTATAAATATAGATTAACGAAGCAAATGATGAATTCAACGGAACACGTGCACCGATCAACGGCCTAACACGAAACGGGCTATGTTCACCATATGCTGATACACGATAAGGAAACGATCCGACTGATGAATGTATATAAAGAGTATTATTGACTAAACCTTCTTGTCGGGCAAGGAACACCACTTGAAATGAAGTATTTGATCTTGGTGCGAGGATTTTCTCCTCAAAAAATGAACAATGAAAATGTTCAGTGTTGCCTGATATCGAGATCAATTGCAATGTAATTTCATCATCATCATTATGAATATGCACCGTTTTTATGATCGGCATACCAATCGAACTATTATTATATATTATATATATGGTGAAACAAAGAAATAATCAATTTCTGATCAATAACAATTTCTATACATACTGATGGCCAAAAGTTAGCGATTCTGGTGAGAATCGAACATATGTAGCTTGATTTTTATGATGATGAAATTGTTGGCCACCATTGCTACCACCACCATCATCTTGATCATGATTCAATGTCGATGATGAAGGCTCGATATCATCGAATGAAGCAGCTTGATTGGCGGAAGAATGATCTATTAAGCAGAGAGGGAAAAACGAATTGCAATAAAAATAACTGATAAGATGAATTTATAATTACCAAAATGAAATTGTTTTGCCCAGGTAACATCGGTGAATTCGTGCATAATGCACAGGAAAGCAAGGACCAGAATTGAAGAGAATTCGATAAAAAATCGAATGCCGGCAATCGAAATCATTTTGGTATCGTGTTTTACTATTAATTGTCGATTGTTGATTTGCTGCTGATGCATTGATTCGTTGAACGAAATGGCTTATTGAACTGTTCAATGTCGTTGTCGTTGTCGTCGTCAATATTGTTAATTCTTGTGGATGATTATGATTATGATGATGGTGATGACGATGAAGTTTAGTTTGTTGATGATAATTACTCGAATGCATCAGCATCGATAATTTTCCATTACCACGAACGTAAAAACAATAATAAAGTGCAAATTGACAAGTTAATTTGGATTTATTAGTGGAAATTTTTTCTTTTTTAATTCAAGAATCCAATCTGTAAAGCGAGAAAAACAAACAAACAAAATATCAATATATTGAGAAAATTTTCAAAAATTTTAGTTCGATCAAAGAAAAAAAATTGCAGAGTAAAAACACGTCGACGACTTTTCTGTGTATATGTGTGAATTGATTTAGATAAGATTTCTAAATAAAAAACTTTTTTTTTGGACAACAATCAGCGATAAAGGGTAACAACAAAAACAAATCTGATTCAACGGGAAAATGATTTGCATTTTTTTTTTTGTAAAAATTGTCGTCTGAAACGGGAAAATAATCACATGAATCAAATGGTGAAAGAATAATCAACCGAAAAAAAACAGATTCAAAAGAAAAAAGTTTTCCATGTATAATAGTGTAGAGGTATTTGGCAAAATCAAATCATAAAAGAGAGATTTGATCTAATCTAATCTAATCTAATCGGAATCGGGTGATAATTTTGAAAATTTAATTTTTTGTTTCTTTTACTCACTTGTATATATTCACTATATTTCCCATTCGCATTTGTTCATTGTGTATTTTTTGTTGATTTTAACCCTGATTTGTTGGAAAATAGGGTCTTTTGTTTTTTTTCTTGCAATTAAATCGGAAAATTCGGTCATTAAGCGATTATTTCAATATTTCATTTCAATGATGATCATGTTTATCACATGTTCACTATCAATTGTTGATGTTTGTTGTTGTTATTGTTTTATTTTTCCTTCAGCTTCCTCAATCATAAAACAATTTTTTTGTGAATTGATTCAAATGATGATATACTGATGATGATGATGATGATAATGGTGGGATAGAAAAAAATGCAAGACAAAATAACAGAAATGAGAAAGAAAAAGAACAATTTAATCACAAAATCAAATATAAACTGTACACATTAGATATCGATTTGTGGTGAAATCATATTTTATGATGATGATGATAAAAAATGGAAGATAATGTCGCCGTAGCGACACAATATGGTTGATTGTTGTTCTGTTTACTAATCAATCTTGCAATGACAGATGATAAAAATGAATGAAAAAAGGATTAGAATATATCGGTGATATAATAATAATAACATTTAACGAGGATGACGATTGATCAATGATTTTAGTGCAAATAAACCACAAACACAATTTGGATAAGGGATCTAGAAACAAACAAACAAACAAACCAAAAGATATTGATTATCATCAAATTTACATGAGTTGTGTCTCTGTGTGTGTGTGTGTGGATACAACAAATATACTTACGAAGAATTCGAATTCCATGTTTGTGTGTGTGTGTGTGTGTGGGTTATTTTGGTTTTTGTTCGAATGTTTTTTCTTTTTGATTTTAAGCATCACTCGGATTTCAATGATTTATAATTGTGAGTTTCACTCACTCATTGCATCATCATCATCATCAATAAGTGTATTCTCGAAGAATATCTTATTGTATTACATGTACGAAAGAAAATATTTATTTTTTGTTTTCTTTTGACGAATATTTTCCACTCTCTCTCTCTCTCTCTCTCTCTTTTTAGCTCATTTACATTACATAGTCGAGACTTTTTTTTGAAATGAAATCAGTTTTTTTTCTTTTTGAGTGACAAGCACAAGTGAATGATTGTCGTTGTCATAGTCGCTTACTTGTCGTTATTCTTTTTGCCCTCTTAGATCTTTTCATAAGTGGTGAAAAAATGAATTCTCACACGAAAATTGGTTGAAAACATCAAACAGATTGATAATGTGTTTGTGTGTGTGTGTGATGACAATATTCAATCGAATTGAATTTAATTCAAAGAAAAAAGAAGAAAACACTTACAATTGAACAAGATGAACGCGGAAAGAACTAAGAATAAAATAAGCAAAAACAAAACAAAACAAAAAACCGAACCAAAAAACAAATGTGTTATATTTTCCTGTTGTTGTCGTTTTCTCTGAATATATTACATTTGCATCAGTACACATAACACACACTCAAAACAATAACAAGAACAGGCTGGTAAATGAAATTTTTTTTCGATTTAGAATTAGAAAATCCGTATACGTAACGTTGTTGTTGTGTTGTGAGAATTGAATTTAGGCATAGAAAGAAAAAAATTAAGAAATGATGAAGAAAAAAATGAATTGCAAACAGAGAATGTGTTGGTGATGGTGATGATGATGATGATGATGATGACAAGAAGAAAAAGTAACACGCGTGTGCCAAAGACAACATACACACACTATATCTTTATTCTCTACCGTTCTTCATGTGGGGAGAAGCCACGAAAGCGGCTTTCTTTCTCATATGCACCCAACAACAACAACAACATATATACACAGTGAGAGACGCAAAGAGATACGATACACACAGAAGTGTGTTTCATTCCAATGATAAAAAGGGGGCAAAACAAGAACACCTTGTTTATATGTTGAAAGTAATTCATTATTCTCCATGCAGGTAAATGGTGGATCCAAACTCGTGATTTTATCGATCGATCGACGACTATATTTTTGTCTTTTCATTCAACTGTATTATAAATTGTGAATAGTAATAATAAATATATCACCATTGGTTACCCACCCTCACACGTTTGTTATTCAAATATATCCAGCACACCATTATTTATGTCAAGTTGATTGCGAGAAAGTTCTTTCCGTTGCAAGATCAATTTTTGATGATGATAATTATATAAATATGATAATAAAGATTGCGATTTCTAAATTTGTTTTGTTTCTTTTTTTTCTGACAGTGTAAGTTGTCATTACATGGTAATCGATAATTATATTTGAAACAAAAAAAGAAAATTTTCTCACTTTTTGATTGATTAGTCGTTGGTTATGGTGTTATATGATGCCATGCTAAATGATTTTGTTGAACTTTTTCATCAAAATTCATTTCGTCATATGATGGGTGATAAAGTCTTTGTCGAAGAAATTGACATTTATCAATTGGTTCAGGTGTGTAGTGTGCATGACCATGTTGGAATAGCCATTCAGTAATTCTGGTAGCTATTCGCAATGAAACTTGATTGATCTCCTCTAATGGCGGATAGACACTTCCGTTTGCTAATGTTTTCTCTGAAACTAATTCAGCTAAAGCTTCAGCTGCAACGAGAAATATTTCATCCACAACTTTATCCACTTGACATGCCATGACGGCCAATGCAATGGCTGGAAATATGTAGACATTATTTCCTTGTCCTGTGATGATTGTTTTCCCATTGAATTGTACTGAATCGAATGGTGATCCACTGGCAAATATAGAACGGCCATTCGTGTAATGAATAGCTTCCCATGCTGTACATTCAGATTTTGAAGTTGGATTCGATAAAGCAAAAATGATTGGTCGTTCATTCAATTGGGCCATTCGTTTCAATACTGGTTCAGTGAATGCACCTTTCACAGCGGCCACACCAATCAGACAGGTTGGTCGAGAAATTTCAATAATTTCTAGTAAATCATTTGTATTTGGCACGTTTTTGGCAAACATTTTCTTATAATCATCGCCATTGTCAATTCTGTCGATCGTTATCAATCCATTCGAATCGATTAACCAAATTTTATTGTCAGCCATTTCAAGATCAATCCCATGTTTCAACATGGTCATAATTAATAGATTTGCAATGCCTAATGCAGCACCGCCTGCACCAAAAAATAAAAATCTATGTTCATCGATCCGTGTATCGATGTGACGGAATGCTGCCAAAAGACCTGCCACAACCACCGATGCCGTGCCTTGTATATCATCATTGAACATGCAATATTTTCCTTTATATTTCTCTAATAAACGAAATGCATTACGATTGCCAAAATCTTCAAACTGTATCAAACAGGATCGGCCCCATTTATCGTTGACAGCCATCATGAATTCATCTAGAAATTCGTCATATTTTCTACCAGATTCACGTTTCTTTCGCAAGCCAATGTAATATGGATCATTCAATAATAAATGATTATTGGTACCAACATCCAAACAAATTGGTAATGTTAATTCTGGTGGTATGCCACCGATAGCTGAATATAGCGCCATCTTTCCGATTGGTATGCCCATACCATTGGCACCAAGATCACCAAGACCAAGTATACGTTCGCCATCGGTTATGACCATAGCTTTAATATCCGGTTCATCCCAATTGTCCAATATTTGGCGGATACGACCCATATGATGTTCAATATTAAGAAACATACCTCTTGGACGATTGTAAATGAGACTGTATTTTTCACATGCCTTACCAACAAGAGGTGTATAAACGATTGGCATCAATTCATTCGTATACAGTTGTAATAGACGATAAAATAGACGTTTATTTTGGTCTTGCAAATCTCTCATGAATAGATATTTATGCAGATCATCCTTGATCTGTCTTAAATGTTCCATTACAATTTTCACTTGTAAGTCTTGAGTACGAATCACTGGCGGTAAAAGACCATCGAGTTTATATACACTTCTTTCTTGTTCATCGAATGCTAAACCTTTATTAATTTCTGGTTCCCGTAATATATCTCGATTACGTATTTTTCCTTCATTATTAATAGTCATTTTCACCATTTGACATTTGGAAACGTCGTTTGAATTGGCGAATTGTTGAATCATAGGTGTTGATTTTTTCATCATTTTTATCAACGATGTTTGAAGACGAAGCATTTTCTACCACTGGTGGGCAATCAGCAAGGTATTAAATAGGAATTTTTTCTCTCTCTCTCTCCCTCGAATTGAAAATTTAATAAAAATCAACTAATTCAATTTGAATTTCATTGAAAAATAATTGTATCCGTCTGAAAAATAATCCAAAATATGATTTGCGCTTGCTCCATTTGATGATTATCATCATCATACATCATGGTTTGGTATGCGGGTGGATTTTTTCTCTTGTTTTGATGGCGATTGCGCCCATCTATTATAATTGTGATGAGATGATGCTTGAAGCAAATAGAGAGATAGATGGGGATGGAACATTATGTCCGATGAATGAAAATGGTTCCTTTACGCGCACATATATAAAAGCATGTTTTGATAAATCTTTCGATTCATTCATGATTCCAGGATTCAATTTTTATTTTGTTTGGAAACGACCACATGCCATTCAGTTAGGTTGTGTGCGTGGGTGTGCAGCACACACAAATACACATCTTACATGTGTTTGTGTGTTATATTGATTCGGATCACAGTGACAAACACATCGCATCAACTTTTTATGGGTACGTTTCAAGTTTTGTTTTGTTTCCAATTTTTTTGTTGTTGCAATGATTTTCCTGTTGAAAATTCGATTGTCTTTTTGAAAAAACAAAAATTTCAATGTGAAAAATTAGGGAGGTGAAGCCAACATTCAAGTGCAAAATTATTTTTGATTGAAAAACGAGAACAAAAAAGGTCCAAATTATTTTATTATTCAGGTCAAATTCTTTCTTTTTTGTCACTTTGATCATTAAAAATCGATCATTATTACTATCATTGAATCGCAAGGATATAATGATAATGATAATAATAATAATAATTAGGCAATCGTAATAATTTTTCCTTTCTTTTTTTGGTTATTTTTTCTTTTGGTTTTTGAAATCCTGCAGCAACAGCAAATAAATAAATAAATAAATTGGATACATTTTGTGTGTTGGAAGCAACAAACGCATAAAGTAAATATTAATCATCACGAATGTCACGAATATCATCATTATCATTATCATCCTCGGATTTACCACCGACCACCATAACAACAGCAAAAACAACAAATAAACGACAAACAACCATAAAAACAGCAACAACAACAGCAGAAGAAGAAAATGAAGCATTTGACAATATTCAACGCTCGTCGTCGTCGTCGTCGTCGTTGTTAGGTTTAACACAGAAATTATTTCATGCATTTAAACAGGCAATTAGTTCAATGTTTGTCTGTCGACTATTGACCAATTTGATTTCAGTATCAAGAACAACAACAACAAATGTCAAAACAAACAACAGCAATCAACAACAGCAACAATATTGGTGGTGGTCTTCCAAATCTTCTTCATCAAATCATCATAACCATGGATCCAGTTCATTTTCATTTTTATCATCATCAAACTCATCATCATATGATATAAATCTATTCGAATCCTCTTCCAATTTATCGAATGATTCAGTTTTTGTTGAAAAAAACAATACTAATCATCATCATCATAATGATAGCTCATCATCATCGCCTTCAACATCTAAGATTCAAACATTTGCAACATCAAGTTTAGCTCAAGAAGCAAACGAATTTTCGTCATCATTTTCCAAAACAAAAACACTAATCGGTGAACGACTGAATTATTCAGAGAAAGACGAAAAAAAGAAGAAATCAAAATCATCTTCAAAATCATCATCGTCGACTAAATTAAGTCGTGCATTTGATTATTATAAAAGTATCTGTAATTATTATAACAAAGATTCAACGAGATTGTCAACAAAAGATAAATTCTCATTCGATATGGAACATATTCATCATCCCGATGATGATGGCGATGGAAATTCAGCAGTAGATATTAGTAATCCACAACAACAACAAAATGATTTATTAGCGCGACAAAAACGATTTAAAATCACTGAAAAACAGCTTACATATCTTAAACACAAAATTGTAAGTTTATCCATTATCTTATTTGTGTGATTTCCATGAATTTCAAAACAAAATTAATTTAAAAAAACATTAACCGAACCCGGGAATTTTTTTTGCAACATCATCATCAAAATATTACAATAGAGAATTTATGTAATCATGAATAGAAAACTATCATATTGATAACCAATGAGAATCAATGAAGAAAATAGACAAACACACGCAAACACACACTTTATTTAGTCAAAGAAATGAAAGAATTCATTGTTTCGTATGTGTGCAATTCAGCCAGAAAAAAAACGAAAATGATAAGAAACGAAAAGTTCACATTGACGTCACACGCATATATGCCCAAACATCGCTATATATTCGGCAAAAGTGATAAAACGATTGACAGACGATACAATGTGAATTGGGAACATTCTTTTTTTCGTATGGGGTATCTATTTTGTCTGTGATGTGATTTTCTCTCCTTTTCTGTTGCGGGTATTTTTGCATGTAAATTATCACCCGATTCGATTGTTGCTGTTGTTGTGCATGTTTGGATATATATAGCCCATTTGCGAAAAACGTAGTCGTTTGACGTCACATACGTGAATCATCATCATCTTGATGATGACCAAATGGATTACATTACATTGCATTACATAATAATAGTGTTGTATTGTGCAGATGTCTTTAAAAATATGGGGCTTTCCAATTTCCGAAATATATAAAAAAAATACATGACGAAAGCAAATAAAAAAAGACATAATTTGATACACACACACAACCAGGGTCATCCAATTCGAAAAAAATCCGGGATTCTGATTGCGATAAATTTAGCAAATCTTTTGTTTGGCCAGGATGAGATAGATTTTCAAATTGATTTAAATTGAATTTAAACTGACAATGATGAAAAAACGAGAAAATTTCCTGACAAAATGTCAGTTGACAAATGAACCCCCCACACCATAAATATGTTTTTCTTCTATTGAATTCCATTAATGATTATGAATTGTGATAAGCGAAAGCGAAAAAAAATTCACCCACTGGATCAGGATTAATTAAACATTCAAATCATGTACGAATACATGATTACTTTTTCAGCCTTTTTTCGGGTAATTTTTCAAATGTAGAATATATAGAAAAAAAAGTTTTTGTTTTCCACCACAAATTAACAATACATTGATAATAATTGTGATTGTGTTTTTATATGAAAATGGGATCGACCCAAATTGTTTGAAAATCTCCCGATGATAATGATAATGATAAAATGATCCAGATTCATTGAGAATTGAGGCATTCATTTTTTTGTCGCTAAGATTTTGGCATTTAAGACAAATGTGTTTTATTTCGAAATTTCGAAATTCTGAAACCGCCCTTGTTATTATTATAAATATAAAGTTTTAAAGGTCTTTTTCAGCGAGTATGTCTTCGTGGTGACCTTTTTCTTCGTTGTTGTCGACGTTTTGGGGATTTTATTGTCGACATTGGCGATGATGATGTTGATGATAATATTCTCGATGATGATGATGTTGATGATGGAGATGATGATATTTGACTTGTCACATATGTTGATTTTTGTTTTTTTGGCGATTTGTCCTTTCGTGTTGCTGTTGGCGATGTTGTTTGTTGTGGTGATTGTGGCGACATTGTCATTCCAAATGTTTGAATTCTAGGCTCATTTGTCGGTTGGAAAAATTGTTGTTGTTGTTGTCGTTGAGTCTGTTGATCATCCATTCTTTTATTTGTACGCCAAAGAAATTCGGATGGACCACCGATTTTTTGATCCAATACATCCACTGTTAGTGGTAGATTTTTGAATGTTTGTAATTTTAACCGAAAACCAATATAACGTACTAATGGTACGGCCGTTGCGAAACAAAATAGGAAAAATATCATGATTAACAATGTACTTCCCGTTGCCATTTGCCATATTTCTATGTGTGAATGATTGAAGAAATGAACAAAATTGACGATTCATTGATTGATAATGAACTTACCTGATGACCATTCCATATTTGTCTGGATTTTTTTTCAAATCAAAAAAATTTTCTGAATGGTTCAAATTCGATTCCCTTTTTGTTGGCAAAATTAACTCACAACTTAATTTAATTTTGTTTTTTTTCCAAAGGAAAAACTTTTAGTAAAATTAGAATCTGAATATGAAACAGAATTGGCAACTACACCGGATGAAGAGGTAATTTTTCGATGGTTGAAATTGAAATTTTTCAATAATTTTTTCACTTTACATTGCAAGTGTGTCATCTGTATAAATGCAAAAGCAACGATGCAAACATTTCCATGTGGACATCGTGTGGTTTGTCGGAAATGTTTTGTTAAAACCATACAGATGGTTGTATCACAACGAATGTTACCATTACGATGTGTCATTTGTCGTGCAAAAGTATTGCGTCTGAAACAAACAACAATTGGTGGATTTCATTGTTGTGGCGGTAATCGATCAAATAACATTTGCACATCAGTGTCGAACAATGGCAATAATAGTAATAGTAAGATTGATTTAAATTTTATTCATTGGATCACTATTACCACTAGTAATAGTGATGATCAGTCAATCAAAACACATAACAATAACCGTAGACCCAACAGTTTGCCATTGAAATCATTATCCCAAACACCATCAACAACAAAATCATCGCCAACGACACCTACAAGTTGTTTGGCTGAAATATTTAATGTACAAAAAGAACTATATGAAAATTGGGAAAGTAATCAGATTCAGAATCAGAATGAGCAAATTATTAACAATAATGATGATGATCCGGTAAGTTGTTTTTTCCAGTTTCTTTCTTTCACTTTTGTTCAATGATGAATTTCGGAGAGCTGCTTATGCTGCTTATGTTGCTGACGAAACGCAAAAAAGCTTTGAATGAGACAGAAACACTCATTTGTTGGCACTCATTTCCAAACTTTGTTCACTGTCATATGAAAATGTCTCTTTTATATTTATTTAAATTTTTTCTTCGATCAGAATGAATCAAAGGAACCAGAAAAAATTTGTTAATCATAAATTTTGCATAATTTCTATATAGTCCATGTTTTTGTTGATGATGATGATGGCCAACACCAGCACCGATAATAATATTAATCAAAAGCCATCAACAACAAGACGACAGATTTTTGATCTAGAATCTGGTATTGAATGGTATGAACGACGCCTACAACGACAACAACAGCAGCAGCAGCAGCAGCAATTTTCTTCTCCAAATCATCATCATGAACAAAATCATTCATGTTGTTGTTGTTGGAAAAAACAATCATTACCACCATCATCAGCCAGTTTTCCATTATCAATGTCCAATGATGACGATGATCATTATCACCATTTATGCAATTGTTATTGTTATTGTTATTATAATTATTCTTTTCTTAGGAAAAAGAAACTTTCATCATCAACAACAAATGGATGGACCACCCACAACAACAGCAATAATTTACAATCAAACCAAATGGCTCAATCATCAACATCAACATCATCCGCATATAATCGATTTTCAAAAACAAAACAAAACCAATCGAAATTTGAAATCAACAACATTTTTGGAGGACAACAACGTAAATTGCAATATCAACAACGTTCAAAATCAACGTATCTGGTACCGATAGATGAAGAAGAACATGATGGTGATGGATTACTAGATAGTATGAGCCTAATAAATAAACACAACCACGAACAAGATGAATCCTCATCACCAAACACACATCATAATTCTACACAATCATTAATTGTTAATTCATCACATCATCAACAACAAACACCACATCAATCATCATCATTGATTAATGACACTTCTATATGGAATATTTCATCATCATTAAGATTGGATAATTTGAGAAAATATCGTTCAGATAGTTTTCTAACTACCACTGCCACGAACAACAGCAGAAATAACAATCAACAATCCATCTTGAACAATGCTAATAGTATTCAGTTGCCCGATGACCATAGTGGTGGTGGTGGACAAATCGTCACCAACAGCCAAAAAAATAAACGACGATCATGGCATCAACGAATAATTAAATTTCGTCCATCACAATCATCATCACATCTAACATCATTAATGAATAAATTATTTGGAAACAAGAACATCACACGAAAGCCATCAGTTCATGAATCATCATTGTTGTCATCACCGTCATCATCACCGTCATCAACGCCAACGCCACCACTAACAACAACAACAACAACAACGTCAATGATGAATTGATTTGAATCAAACAAACAAATAAAGTAGTTAATAATAATATAATATGTTATAATTAGCCATGAAAACAAATTTATCGATTGTTATGCAATTTAAAATAAATTAAATTAATCAATCAAATGACTTAAAACTCTGCATGCACCTGTTTTGTGTTTGTATTTTTGTTTTCGTTTGGTTTGTCTCATTTGTGAATTTTAAAAAATGGATCATAGTAGCAATGACCATCGCCAATCGAATAAAAATTCATCGTCACCTTCATCAGCAAATAATGCCAGTAGTTGTAGTGGCGTTAATCGTACAGCGAGCAACAAAAGTTTCAATAGTTTCACTAGTTTAGGCATTGGTTCTGGTGTCAACACTGCATCACCAAATGAACAACAACATCGAATATTGTTGAAGAAAAAATTGGACATTGAATTAGTGAAACCTAAGCCAGAGAATAGTCAACACATGGGCCATGATCATGGTTCAGTAATGTATGATTGTATTCTATTCCTCATCTATTGTATTGAACATGATCGTTTCGCCGTTACAAATGTTAATGATGATCATCATACGATTTGGTTACCATTTGTCAGCCGTGAAGGTAATGATTGGAGTCGTGCATCTGAACTTGGTTTATTATCAATGTTCGAGAAACGTGATCCGGATGGTGTTGTCACGAATCATGTGAACATTTCGCATACAACAAAAATGATTGAATTATGTCACATACAAACCGTGAATGGACGATGGATACAACGTGCCACACAATTTGTGACAATAACGCGTTGCCAAAAAACATGTCAACCAATCAATTCAATACAATGGATGAATGCTGGAAATATCCTGAAAGATGACAGCGCTATTTGGGGACCAGAATTTCGCAAATATCTTGAACATCTGGAAAGACATTATTGTGAATTACAAGTAGTCGAATATCCAATTGATTCTGTATTACGTTATCATCTATCATATAATAATCATCACGAAAGAATGGACCAAACAGAATCCGTTGCTACACTGTCGGGCATGATGAAAGCAAGGAATTTATCATTGAAATTATTGACCGATCTATATGAACATTATTTGCGTCATACATTCCCATCCTATTATATGAACTTTGGTTCATTCAAAATTTATTTGCAAAAATGTGGCTTCAAATCCGAAACGATTTCGGCACAAGCAAAACAATTGTTCAGTTGTTGCTTGATGCGCTCGAATCGTGATTGTAATGGTGCAACTTATGTTGATTTTCATGATATTTGCTATCTATTATTAGCATTGGATCCTGAAATTCCAGATGAAAATAAATACAGACAAGCCTTTGTTACTCAGTTTATGGAACAGCAACAAAATTCATCACATGAAGAACATAGTAGTACCAGTAGTCATCGCCATAAATCCAAACATTCTAGTCTTAGCAAAGTATATTCAATGGTTATTAATCGCCATCATGGCCATCACCAAACAAATGCCAAATCTATCGATACTAATGAATGGGCAACAACAAATGTTCCTGTCAAATTATTTCGAAGTATATTCACAAAATTTGCTAAAATTAAGAAAAAACAAACTGAACGTTTAAAATCGGATAAAACCAATCTTACACGTGGTCTGTGTCGAAATTGTCGTGTAAAATCATTTGAATATGGACAACATTGTATCATGTTTGATTCAATGGGTCGATGTGTTGAGCCGAAAATCATTCTCAATGGTAAGTGATGTCTAAAACATTGTGATTTAAAAACTAACAAAAGAATATATTATATATAAATAGCTGACAATCAATTCACACCGATTAGCAAATTGGAGGGAAAAAAACTTTATTCTGCTGAACATGTATTTAAACCGGATTCCATTGGTAACGTATTGTTCGATTATATGCGTAATCGGAAATTTTTAGCAAACAGCCAAAACAATTCAACAAATGCCGGTATACAACATCATCCCACAACGATAATGCCCGACGATGAAAATACAACCGAACGATTGGGAGGAGTAGGTGCTGCTGGTGGTGGTACTGCAGATGATGTAGAATGTTTGGATATAAATGCCATACTATTCCTTTGTGATTGTGCACGTAAATTACTGAAATTTGAATCAAAATTAATCAAACGTTCCGGATCGACAGTAGTTATTGGAGATATCCGTAGTGATTTCGATACACTACTGAAGATGGAACAATTGTTTTGGCCAACCATACCGGTTATTGCACAGAATGTTGTCTTTCTTGGTAATTATATTAATAGTGGTGGTGCAAGATTGTCAAATCAAGACTATAGTATCGAAACAATAATTTATCTTTTCTCCATCAAATATCTTTGTCCAAACAAAGTGATTCTATTGAAAGGTGTGAATGAAACACGTACATATAACGAGAAAACATTATTGTATCAATGTCGTACCCGTTATGGGGAAGAAAGAGGTGCACAATTATGGCGTGCTATCAATCAAGTATTTGATGAATTGCCATTAGTGTGCATTATCAATGAATCAATTTTATGTGCATCCTCGGGCATACCGAAAGATTCGTTGAAACACAAATTATCCACATATTTTGATAGCTATGTTTTGGACACCAAATCATTGTCCATGGGTAGTAGTCATGCAAATATGAAAGAATTTGCACTTTTTCACCATATTCTTGTCAATGTCCCTCAACAACTACAGCAACAACAATCACCTAGAGATTTAGATTCAAATTCATCCGTTCTGTTCAAGTCAAATCCTGCAGTGCCGAATGGATATATTTTTACACGTGAAGCATTTTTACAATTTATGTCATTGAACAATTTTAGCTACATGATACGTAGCAATGAACAAGTATCACCATATATGATGGATAGTTATCATTTATCCTATGATAATCGATTAATATCAATCATTTCTAATGTTGATACAAATCAACCAAATGAAGCAATCGTTGTATTTATTCACCATCCAGAAGGACGTATTCAATTGAAACAATTGATGAGTGATTCGCAAAATCAAAATCAAAATCAACAAAAACAAAATAAAAACAAAGCCGCCAGTTTGTAAATTCCACCATTGGCTATCAGTTATATACCACACGAGAAAAATCATTTATATCGGCAACCAGATTTTTTAGATACTCTAAGGTCATATAATAATAAATTTTATTGGCCAAGATGACGTCATATTATTCCTACTACGTCATCATCATCATTGATTTACTAAGATGATGATGATGATAATCATACGAATTTAGGGCAAATTGCTCCAATGATCATTGTGTGTTTTTTTTTTTGAAAAGACGCGCATGTATTTGTCCATTATCTTTTTTGTGTGTGTGCGCTACTGCTGTTGTTTAAAGTGATGGTTGGTGATAACAAACTTGAATTTTTTTCTTTCGATCATTCCAAAAATAGAAACAACAACATAGTGTTTGTGCACATGCTTATTTGTTGTTGTGTAGAGTTCCGGCTCAATAACAACAGCAAATTGCTGGAATCCCAAATTTGTTCTTCTTTATTCCAACAAAAAATAAAAAATTTTCATTACAAAAAATCCAGCAACAACAACAACGTTTGAAAAAATGAAAACAAATTTTTTTTCATAAATCAAATACAATTGCATCAAAAGCAAAACAAAAAACAAATAATCTATCAACAATTTACAACTGCATGTATGGAAAAAATAAAGCCATGAAGTCGATGTTTCATTAGTTTGTTTGTTCGTTGACGATGAGAAGTAGGAAACACAAAAATCCTATCGATCACGTTCATTTCTTCTTTTTCCCTTGTATACAATACGATGGCATCAAAGCAGACATATAGCACCTGTATAACCTGCAAATAGAAGAAAAGGAAAATATCGTCAAATGCTGATTTGTAAACGCAAAAAGAAAACCAGTTCTTCAACAAGTCTTCATTCGTCCATTAATTGTTTTTCGTTGTCCATGATACATGAAACGTTGTACAATTTCGTTATGTATTCAAAAAACATGTAATCAACAATCGAATCCATTTTCATCGTGACCATATTGTAATAATCGTAACAAAAATTGACTTGTTCATTCAACAACATCATGGAAAACAAACAAAATCATAATCATAATCATCATCTTCAATGGCCAGATTATCTGGTATTCATTAGCATGTTATTAATCTCATGTAAGTAGTCCATGTTTTCATAGATATGGACGAAATATGAATTTTCTTCTCTCTAAAAAAATAGTATTTATCGGAATCTATCATCGTATGACTGGTGGACGACAAAAGACAACTGCCGAATATCTTTTAGCTGATAAATCGATGGGTATACTGCCGGTATCATTTTCATTGATGGCAAGTTTCATGTCGGCTATCACATTATTGGGCGTTAGTGCTGAAATTTATTTTTATGGTGCCCAATTCATTTTGATTAACATATCATATATAATCGGCACACCGATTGCCGCCTATGTCTTCCTACCGATATTTTATAAACTCAAATTGACCAGTGTTTATGAGGTACACTTTGAATGAATGATATAGCAACAAATAATAATCGTAGTTGTTTTTTACAGTATCTAGAATTACGATTCAATCGTTCAATACGTATATTGGTATCGGTCATATTCATTTTACAGATGATATTCTACAATTCAATCGTTCTTTATGCGCCATCATTAGCATTAAGCGCCGTGACCGGTGTCAATCGATGGACATCGATCTTTTCCGTTGGTATTGTCTGTACTATTTATTGTACAATTGGCGGCATGAAAGCTGTATTATGGACTGATGTTTTTCAATCATTCCTAATGTTTTTCTCAATGCTTGCAATCATTATCAAAGGATCTATCGATGTCGGTGGTTTAAATGTTGTTTTTGAACGTGCAATGAATGGATCACGATTGGAATTTTTCAAGTACGTATTGCCAGTTGATTTTGATTCTCTGTTAATCTTTTCCCACTAGTTTCAATCCAGATTTGACCGAACGTCATACAGTATGGGGCTTGGTATTTGGTTCCATTTTCATCTATACCTCAATCTATGGCGTTAATCAGGCACAAATTCAACGATTAATGACTGTAAAAAATCTTCGTAAATCTCAGCAAGCCATGTTTATTAGTTGGCCATTAACATCATTGATCAGTGTGGTCACCGCACTCACCGGTCTTGTAATGTATGCAAATTTTTACCGTGAAGATCCATTAAAATGTGGATATATTAAAAAACCGGATCAATTACTACCATACTATGCTGTTAATCGTCTATCGGAATATCCAGGCCTGCCTGGATTTATTATTGCCGGTGTATTTTCCGGATCATTATCCACTGTGTCATCGTTTGTTAATTCATTATCAGCTGTAACGCTTGAAGATTATCTAAAACCAGTGTTTAAACAAGATGAAATTTTTACTAAAAACGAAATCATCATCACCAAATTATTGGCTCTATTCTATGGAATTTTATGTGTAATGTTGACCATTCTGGCTGATCAGATGACCGGATTATTGCAAGCATCTTTGACATTGTTCGGGGTGGTTGGAGGACCATTGCTTATGATTTTTACCGCTGGTATTTGTTTCCGTTCAATAAATTCCAACGGTGCTGCCACCGGATTCATCGTCAGCCTTATGTTTGGTTTGTGGATTGGTTTTGGTAGCATGTTATTTGGAAAACGGCCAAAACAATTGCCGTTATCCGATGAGCTTTGTTCCAATAATAGCCAAGTGGGCAATTCTACGATTATTCCATATTTTAAGCCAAAACCCATCCCTTATGAACCATCGACATTTTTTTTCTATAACATTTCCTATCTTTGGTCGGCTGGTCTTTGTTGGGCTTTAGGTCTAGTTGTAGCCATAGTTGTTAGCTGGTGGACAAAAAATTCATCCCTAGATGATGATGACGATGATCGAAAAAAAAGAGTGCAACAATCTCTTCTTCTTCCATTAGTTCGTCAACGACTCAATGTTGATAGGCCAGCAATGAATGATATACAAACGTGTACGATTGAAAAACATAATCTGCAAAATGTTGAACACACAAATGTTAACAATGAGTCTATATATCACCCAAAGTAATGTGGTGATCAATTATCATTGCCTCTTATTTTATGTATCAAGATTATTTTATTTGGTTCTCACTTTAAAATCTTAAATATTTTCTTAATTAATAGTTAATTAATAAAAGATTGAATTGAAACTATTGAAATTATTGAAATTTTGAATTTGCAACATGTCATTTATGAAGGATGCTAAAAATGATGTCTGCAGCATGATTGTGTATGTATTTTTTTGTTGTTGTTGTTGTTTGCATTCGATTCGATTTGTGTGTTTGTGTGTGTTGTAATTGTAATCGAATTGTCGAGTTGAGCGGTTTATCTACAATTATTGTTGACGATTTCAAAAAAATCCATTGATAATTGAGAAGAATCATTTAAAACTACCATTTAGATTCTTCCTTTGATCTCGATGCATCAACTCAACACAAACCATGTCAACAAGTGAAATTTTGCAACAATTGGAAACATGTGCCCAGATTCTTATGGTAATTTTACAATATGTCTGTCGGAAAAAAATCTTAATTTGATTTCGATTTCTTTAGGCACCACCAAACAACATTGGGCTCAATGATCGAACAAAAGCCGAAGAGGTATTTCTAAATTTTCAAAAAACTAAAACTCCATTCACATTGTGTCGAGAAATCATGGAAATGACACAGAATCAATTTGTATTGTTTCAAGTTGGTGCCTGCCTTAAATGCGCCATAATTCGTGAATGGTCATTGTTGGGTGTCGAACAATCAAGTGCCTTGTTTAATTATCTTTTCGATTATGTTAATCGACGACCGTTGGATCAATATGTTGTCGAAGAAATGATGTTGGTCAATGCCATCATTCTCAAACGGATAGATCTCGAAGAAAAACGAACAAACAATGGAGAATCGTCGAAAGATCAAAACGAAACATCGAAAACGATGATTGCATCACTTTTCGTTATAATCAAAAATCCTGCAGCAGCTGTCCAAATGAGAATTAATGCATGCTGTACGGCCATCATTCGTATTCTCAGTGAATATTCTACATTAAGTTATAATTCCGACTATGGTTTATCGTGGCATTCACATTTGAATGTTAAGCGATCGTTTGAGAAACATAAACTGAAAGAAATATTCTCCGGTGCCATTGAAGTTTTATGGACAGATAAAAATGGCCGAAGAAACGCGACGATCGAATGATAATATAAAATTAAGTGCTAAATTGATTCGCATCTGTGAAATGGTTCTCACCTGGAACATGGAATCATTCTCATTGATAACTGGTTATTTTGTTAAAGCACGTGATCGCATCGAAAGTCAAGTGTTTAATCCACCAAGTGATTGGCTTAAATTCATAATCGAAGGCAATCTGATATCATTTTTCTTTGAAATGTATCTTAGTTTTCGATCGATCGATCCTAATCTACTGCATAGTTCATTAACTTGTCTAACACAATTAAGTACGATGGTTTCGATTCGTCATGATATGACTTTACGTGTAAAATTCTCTGAAACATTCATGCAGAATACAATTTCATTATGTAACATGATTATGGATGTCATATCGCTTCATGAAGTACAATTTCTATCGAATCTGTTCAATTCAATATGTATCTATCTTCGTAGCCACGTGGTGATAGATGATTGTAATCCAACATTGACCAAACAGTTCATCGATTTAATGATAAAATTTACTTGTAAAGTTTTACTTGAATCCGTAAAGATTAAGACACATTTTGATGAAGATGATTTTGATAAATGCAATCAATCCATTGAATATTTGATGAACTCGGTGATGATCATCGTCAATCTTAACCATTACGATCGTCGTATGCAACAAGAAATACAAGGACCAAATATATCGGGCGATCAAAATGGCCAAATCACTTTGCAGGAATTGTGTTCATGGACCAAACCATTGTTTGAAACATATCTACGTGTACATCTTAGTGAACCTGAAGGTTTGCTTCCATTGTCATGTTTCAAAGATGACGATGAAATTCAAGAATTTGAAGAAGATGATATTAATAAATTTCGTGAACAAATGGTTGCTATCGGTTCGATTGCTCAAGTTGATCTTCGTAGTTCAATCGATACAATCACACAGCTGATGATAATGAAACTACAACAATTTGAAGCATGTATTACAGCGATGGATATGAAAGTCGAAGATAAAACGCTACAATGGATTCGAATTTCTGAAGATATACATTGGATTTTAATGATATCCACCTATATATTCACATCATTTGCTGAAAGTGAAATTCCTACCGAAGTAATTGAACTTTCTATCAAAGCTAGTGCTGATATCCAGACTACAATGGGTGCTTTACAGAATGGTGATTTTACCCGTCCAAATATTGATCCAATTGTTCGTTATTTTATCGTCATTCTTAAATTGGTGCAAATGGAAAAACAATTACTGGAAAATCATATGATTCAATGGGTATCGCCACAAGTGTCCTATACGTTGACATATTTTCTATCACGCACTCTAAACATCTATCTTGTACCACCGGAATATGAAAGTGATCATAGTCAGATGAGTTTAACCCTCAATTCATGTTTCGGTGCCGATTCACAAAATGTAAAAAACTTGATAAATTTTTTTCTCGACCATATGGAAACAAAATTTCTGACCATGAGTAGCGAGACACAAGTGTTGGAATTATCTAGTGAAGGTTTGCGTTTATTTTGTAAATTTCGCGATCGTATTAAACTATTGAATGAATGTGCAAGTCTACAGCGTCTATTGCAACGATTTCCAGTTGATCCAAATTTTCGTAAACTAAACAGTGCAGTTCGCCGTAATATGTACAATGTATTTATCGTTGTATTCGCTGGCCATCCTGATGCAGTGATTGATCCATTGATACATTTGTATCAGACATTTCGTCAACATTTACGTGCCGGTCAACGAGAATTGATTCAAGAAGAATTTCTTAATATTGTTGATTTTACAATGGGCATATCATCCGGAACAACATCATATACATACAATGTCATCTGGCAAAAATTTCTTCGGCCATTCTATAATGAATTACCCGAAGTTTTAAAAGTGATGCACAAATGTAGCATTGTTGTCCAAGCTATTCTCGAGCTATTATTTCATTTATCATCATGTTTTTGTATTTATTTCAGTGAAGAAGATAACCTTGTTTTCTATAAAACGGCTGTTGCCATTTTTACGCAATATGCTTCATACACAAAAGATACATATTCATTGGACGCAACACGTTTAGAGGAAATTCAAGCCGAATTCATATGGATCCTTAAATTTCTCAATGATCTCTCCAATCAAGATATATTTCTATTCTTTACGAATCCATCGATGACATCATCATTGAATCAGACCATTGGTCAAGTGGTTATCACATCATTGAACATAATCATGCCATTAATGAATGATCAATTGTTGGAGAATCAACAACTTTGTGCCTTGTATTATAAATTATTGGAATTCATATCACAAGATACCGATCGTTTTAAAGGATTCCCGATCAAATTATTTGAAAGCTATCTGAAATGTGTGGAATATGCGTTTAGAGCAAACAAGTAGGTGGTCATTTTTTCTTGATTCTTAACTTGTAGCTATGTGAATACGTGACTTTTTTCAAGAGAGAAACAAAAAAAAACATTGATCATTAATATGGTTTTTGTACAATATTTTAAAATTCACATTTTATTTAAGAAAAGATCTATTTGTCAGATAAATGGTTGTTGCTAAGCTTTCGAATGAAAACTTGAAGTGTGTGTGTTTACGTTTGACAATGATGATGATGATGATTGATTGATTGAAATGAATCGGATTTATAATTGTTAGATTTTTATCTAACAGTTTTTTTTTTATTTTTTTTCTACCATTCGATTCGATCAATTTTTTTCATTATATTTCGTACCATGTGCGATTAGTTTCTATAAATTTTGTCATAGGTTGTATGATATTTTTTTCACAAAATTTAAGGAGTGGTAACTTATTTTCGTCGGCAATGAGCAAGTGAATATTGAATTCCGAAAAATTTTTTTCCTTTTCTCACTTGTGATACGACATTCATCACACTTTATATGCATATTATATCCCCATGATGATTTTGATGTTGATGTTGAGAATGCATCATTCTGATCCGATCGATTATTATCACATGGCATTACGAGCGGCTTATTTTTTTCTGGCTGATTTCTTGTTCTTGTTGTTGTTGGGTCCTTTTTTATTTTCACCAGGATCGAATAGAAAAAAAATGTCCACGCCCAAATTAGCGATCAAAGTGTGTTATTTGTTTTGTTTTGTTGTTGTTGTCTAATTAAAGTTTTGTTTGTCCTCATTCATCATCATTGATTATGTTTGATGATGATGATGACTGACAATTTGATTTTTGATAATTTTATTTTTTCTCTCTTGCTTCATTAAAACGCATAATCAATCATTTTGTCCATTTTTTGTTCGGATTAAACAATTTCTATTCTGGTAGAGGCGATGATCTAAAGATTTAATTTTTGTTTCTCTTGCTTTTTTCCAACGTTACGCATACGGTAATCATATAAAATAACCAGAACGAGACACAATGGTATCGTTTTTTTTTTTTTTTTGCTTATTCATTCGAAAAATTCCAAAGTCACATATGATGATTATATATAAATATTATAAATTCTCAAATCATCAATTTTTATCCCCTTTATATAATTGCGCTACTTGTCTTTTCTGTTTGAATTCATAGTTTTTTTTGTATTCGACATTTGTTGAATGAATGAAATTTCATTTACCCCAATCGGTATGTAGTTTCTTTTCACAATATTTCTGGATATCCTCATTTTTTCTATTTCATGTCATTATTGATTATTCCCCAGTTTATCTTATGGAATCTTTACCATTGATGATGAGGATGATGATTATGTTGGACAAGGACAAAGATGGAAGACTGTTTTTGTTATCCAATGCAGCGATGGCGGCGTTAACCAGATTAAACTGGAAAATCTTTCTATCTTATGAATGATAGATTTCTGTTTTCAATTTTAATTTAATATTTGCTCGATTTATTTTTCATGCTCGCGTCTATGTCTGTGACTTGGGCCAATATTTTCTAGATTATAATCATATAATCAACAAACATATCTTGTGTCATAGTCAGTTTTATATATAGACAGATAGATATACAGACAAAGAGACTGACAGATACTGATAATTGATTTTTTCTTCCTGGTTTTTTCATTTTGCATTCATTATCCACAATATTTTTATTTGCATTTTTTCATTTGATTGATTTGTTTTTTTTCACTGTGGCTGTTGTTGTTGTTTTTGATATATAATATACGTTTTTCACTGTAATCAAATCAAAAGGAACATTCTTAATAATTTTTTTGAAAAACATTTAATTAATCTTAGGTCTAAACATTTGATGGCGGATGGATTGATAAATGGTGATAACACAAATGGCTAAAAATAGCATTCAACAAATGTGGTCAATAGCAGATATTAGATGTGTGTGTTGCTTGAGGGATGATTCTTGAAATTGAAGCGTGTTGTTTGAAAAAAGTTTGGATTTCATTTTTTTTCTGTCATTTTTTCCGTCGAATGTATTTATTTTATAGCTGGTTTGGCGAACCAAAAAAAATTTTCCATCCAATTTTTAATTGAATCGAATGTGTTCAATTCAAGGACCATCTCTTGTCATTTTGGTTGTAATTGAGTAACACTTGACAAAAAAACCCGATAGTGATCGAATCATTCCTAAGAAGAAGAAGGATAAAAAATTTGATCCGAATGTTGTTATCAGTGGAAATATGAGATATTACCAGTTCCTGAACTTGATCAATCAATCAATCATTCATTCATTGGCGTTTATCATGATGAAAAGAAAATTTTTCTCGTTTGATTCCGTAATCTGTATAATCAATGTATTTATATCTGTCGTTTGGTTTATGTCATTACATGATTGTGATTATGATGATGATGATAACTCATTTCTCTTTCACTATTGACGTATTTCACATGTATTCGTGTTTCGAAATGAAAATAAATGATTCGATTTTTTTCAATCAGCCAAAATTGATTTTCATCATCATCAGATGAAAGAGAAAGAGAAAAATTATTTGTCCTTGAATCGCGATGATTTAATCTGCGTAGATCAAATCAATCGATAGTTTGGATATAGTTTTACATTATTAGATGGTGATAAATTAGAGACGAGATGACTTGTTACAATTGATCGTTTTTTCGTTCATCGTGATGCATTAATAACATTGAACGTTTCCGGGTTGAATTACATGATAGTAATCTTTTTTTCATTCCGTTTCCTTTTTTTTTTTTTTTTTTTTTTTTTTGATTTTCAGTATCTCCAATGAAATCAAAGCGATTGGATTCAAAATATTGGTCCAATTGGGCTACCAAACGGCTGCTTCGCCTGAACCATCGGAAGAAATAATGAAATTTTTGCGACCATTTTTCCAGATTATTGTTGAATTTATATTCTGCGAATTGGTGCGTAATAATGATCTGATATTGAGAGATGCCGTGGCCATGGCTTTATATTCGTTGGTACGCTGTTTTCGGCAATCATATCAGAACATTATAAGAGAATTGATGCGATGCATTAATGATCCACCTATTGAAGATCGAATCTGCACAACATTATTCACAATCATCGAAGAGGTTGGCCTCGACAGCCGTTATAATGCAGCAAGATTGACATTCAAAAAACAATTCTCTGAATTCATCAATCAATTGCATACAATGTTAACATTACGATGATGTCATTTTTTTCAATATAACACACCTACACATAGACACATTTCTTTTTTATAATACATCTTTATTTCTAAAAACACACAACCAACAAAATAAAGTACCCATGTCTTTAATTATGAAATTTTTCACAATTCAATTTGTCATGTTCTTATAACCGTTCTATTTTTTGTCATTATTAAATATATGGATGAATGGCTCAGTTTCTTAATTTCTCAATCCAATATTCAGAGATATGATACTTGGTAATGTGTAATGAAAAAAAAAAAAACAGAAAAGATAATGCAACAATTCAATTTCTTCTTTTTTTAATCTTAAAAATTTTAATTAATAATAGATAATTTTCAATCATAATTATAACGTAAACTATCTTTTTGTTTTCATGAAAAAAATATATGGATTGTTTAATAGAATTTTATTCCATCACACACACACACATACATCAACATAGCAGTTTGCCATTCGATTTTAAATTATCTTTTTTTGATATCATCACGAATTTTCTGTTTTTGGAGGTTGTGTAGGGTAAGGTTGGCGAAAAGTCTCACTTGATGTCTAAGAGAGAGAGAGAGAGGTGGAAAGTGTATGAAAATGAATACGTATCAATAAAAATTACACAGGGTTTACTTGATTGATTCATCATTTATCGAGAGAAAGAAACAATTAGAAGTATTATCAATTGAAAAGGGTACAATTTTTGTCAAATCTCTCATTTCAACAAACAAAATTCGTTTTCTCTTTTTGATGAAAAAATTTTCAAGCGAGCAATCGAGGAAAATATATTATAATTGAAACATTGTTTTTGAATGAATGAAAATGATCATGTTTGGTTTATCAAATTAGCAGAAAAAAATTCAAAGAGTGAACAAAAAATAAATTCTTCCCTATCTTGTTTCATATATGATGAATCGGCCCACAAATCGTTGTGTTTGTTTTTGAGTGAAAAAAATCAACAATTAATCATGAATGAATGAATGAAATTGAACAAAAAATAAAGAAAATATTTTTGTGGGGGAGGTGGCGTTATATCATCATTGGTTGATTGATAGGTGGTTTCATATTTGATGTAATTATGTATTATATATATAATATAAAGTATATTTATATGACTTGATCAACAATTTCTAGACATAGCAAATGAAAAAAATGTGTAATAATAATAATCACATTGTAGAATCAAAAAGAGAGAGATGATCGTGATGAACAATAGAAAAAAAAATTCAATCGAAAACGATGGAATTCCATTTCGTAATGAAAGAGAAGAAATGATGATTCGAATTTGAAAAGATCACTAATGAATGAGAAGAAATCATGTTCATGTGTCTGAGATGATGATGATAATGACAAGCAAATGGTGTGGATGGCCATTTTATTTAGACGAAACAAAATTTAAATTCTTATCGAAGATTTACGAGGGGACGATGAATCATGATTCGCATTATTGGATACTGATGACGATGGTGATGATGAGGGTGATTGGCAATGATGATGATGATGATCTTTAGCTGAAATAATCATCATCATATTACAACCACAATCAGTATCCAATAAGCCCGTTTTTTCATTACCACTATTATTATCTGAATCATTGCTATCATTATCGATCATTGATAAATGGCCATCATCATTATTGGAAAGTTTCAGTTTAGTTGTGCCATTAATATCATTATGATTATGACTATGATGATAATGATGATTATCCTGTCCTGGAACATTGATGAGTAAATGCAATTTTTCACCATTCATGCATCCATTTATCAATAATTTACTGCTACTGTTATTATTAGTATTGGTATTATTATGTCCAATATGGCCATTATGATTATGATTACTATTATTACGGTGATTATGATTGACGATCAATACGTCATCGAATACGGCTCGTGGTTCATCGATGCCCAATTTAATGGTCGATGTACGACGTCGTTGTATTCGTTGCATACGTATTATGTTCAACATTAATATCGCAGCAAATATGGGTGGTATACCGGCCAAACAGAATGCCAATTTATAATTGCCATAGATTCCATATGCGTAAGCTATTAGTGATTAGTGTGTTTTGGATAGTGAAAAAAAGTTAGCTTTCCTGTGATGCATTCAAATCATATGGATGGATGAAGGGCAAAAGAAAAGACAACAAAACTTACCGGCAATTGGTGGGCCAGTCGTCAACGGAAGTGAACAGAAACACAACAATAAACCTATGGCTTGATTAGCATATTCCGGCCCGACTAAATCGAATGCAATCGGTCCAAGCAATGAGATGAATGTGCCATCAAAAAGTCCTAGACCACAGCAAACGAGTAGCAGAGGAAAATCACGAACAAATGGCAAAAACATGGTCAACAATCCAATTGAAGCGAACGCAATTTGTTGTAAACAAATTCTGTTGATTCTTGATACATCAGCTAATGGCCCGGTAATCAAACGGCCAATCATGGAGGTGATGCCGATAGACATGACCAATACTTCACCTTGATAAACAGAATTAATATCTCGAGCATGTTTGACAAGATGACAGAATGGCACAAAATAACCAAACAATCCCATCGGTATGGAGATGACCCAATAAAGGTAGAGGTTATTCTTCCATAGTGCATCGTAGAAAAACATGTTGGCAAGATTTTTCTTGGCTGAACCATTTTGTTTTGATGGTCGTTTGATTTGTTCCTTGAATGATAATGAACAAAGTACCAAAGTGGCCATCAATATGGACAAATATTTGAAAGTGATTTGAATGCCAACAAGATCCAGTAGCCAACGTAATAGAATGGGCATTATAATGGAAAATGCTGAACTACCAGCTGTAACTAGGCCATTTACTAATCCAAGATGTTTAGTAAAGTAATGTCCCAATATGGCTAATGATGGCCCATATACTAATGAAGCACCGATACCTAGCACTAGGCCATATGTGATGTAAAGATAAATTAGATTGAGCGATACGGATGATGCATACATTCCAATTGTGGCTAATATACCGCCAATAAAACATATCATTCGTATACCATAACGATCACTCAATACCGATGCAAATATTGAACAGAAAAATATCAAGCCAACATTGAAGGAACCAACACCAGCTAAAATTGAAAAAGGAAAAAAAATAAAATAAATTGCAATTTACAAACATTCGCCAATTTGAAATGTAAACATTTGATTTGTTTCGAATGTCAAACAAAATTCCAAATGATTGATTGAAGAAAAAAAACAAGTTGAATGACACACATACATGTATATATGCGAGCAAAAGACAAAAACGATTTTATTTCTGCTACCCAATATATATGATGATGAGTGCTAAATTTGTCTCATGGCTAGAAAAAAAAGACGAAAAAAATCAAATTCTCTCAAATCCCAAATTGGAACCATTTTTTCGTGAGAATTCTTTATGTTTGTTTGTTATCGACATTTTTTTCTTCATTCGATTATTTCCTGTACATGTATCTGTTTGCCTGTAACATTTGTAACAATGGTAACAACGTGATACAATATTTTTCCGAGAAAACAAAAAATGACAAACAAAATATCTAGAGAGATGTTTTTTACGCATGATGAATCAAAATTGTTGCTAATCACCCTCCTTAGTAGAAATGGGAAAAAGTCATTGTACCACCATGACAATGATGATGAGAATTAAAGTGGGAAAAGAGCATTAAAGAAAATTGCTTGACAACAACAACAACAACAATAGTAATCATCATCATAACAATGGTTGTGTAACAGACAAGCAGCAGGAAAAGAAAGCCATTCAGCCATAGTCAGTAAAAAGAGAATGCAATTTGATTTTTTCAAGTTCAAGTACAATGAACAATTTCTCGGTTTTTATTCATCCACATTGGCCATCTTTTAACTTGACTTGACTTTCTTTTTTTCAATTTCAAAAAAATTTGTCGTCTGTATAAATGTTCAGTTTTTTTTATGCAAGATAAATAAATTCACATAGCAAAAGAAGAGAAGAGGTGAGAAAAATAAAAAAAACGAAGCAAATGAGTACGATGATGATGATCGCATATTTATATAAACATTGCCATTTTTCTACATGCACAACACAACACATGTGCCATCGCTTCATCATCATCATCTTGTTTCTATGGGTGCATGGACGGTTGGCAACAACAACAGCCACCATATACATTAATAAGTAATTCATCTCAAAAAAAAAAAAATCATCGGAGAGACACAGCTAGAGAGAATTCGACGACCGAATCATTCCAATATGGCAACAACAACACAAACACAGTAATGTCTATATGATGATGATGAAAATGAAAATATTTGCTACATTTGTTTTCATTTTCATTTTTTGCTGTTCTGTTCTCAAATACACATCATGTTGTTGCATTATCTAACCATTTTTTTTCTGAGGCCAATATTATATGGCCACCATATTGGTGATGATACACACACATACATTCGCTATCTTAATAATATTCTCTCATTCATTCATTCATGTTCAATAATAAAGTAGTAGGTTAGTAACAGAAAAAACTGATTACTTTACTTTGTACAAGACACGACTTTTAAAGATAAGTGATTGAATGTGTATGTGAAAATATTTCTTCGATATTTCAGTTAGTTCTAAACCCTGGTGAGATAGAATGTTTGTCTACAATGAATTAAACCAAACCTCATTGAAGAATAACATAGTCGACGGGGGATGAGGGAAGGGAAAAGAAAAAAATCAATCGATTGAGACTAACAGAAACTGTTATCGATACAAAATTCACTGGTATTTTGTCCGGACATTGTAGTGTATGTTTCGCCATTGTAATGAATTCAATTATTAATTTCTGTCTGAATAAGACAAACATACCGATTAATGATTGTACGACTGCATCTAATGTTGTCGTGGTCGTCATATTAGCCGTAAGAGAAATATTGACTGTTGATATTGTTGTCGTGATTTGATCTTCATGATTACTATTACTGAAACCTAATGCTGTAATGTCCGTTTTCGATAATTCAGTAAGATAGGCATAGAATACACCGAAATTATTGACGACCCCGAATACAACACCATTGATTGTTGCTGACGAAATTACGACAAGAATCATATGTAGAATTTGCCATATTGAATAATCACCATTCATTATCAAACATGAAGATGTTGATATTGATGATGGCGTTGGTGGTGGTGAACAACAAGATGATGATGATGATGAGGAAGACGAATTCGATGATGAATGCTTGTTACTTGTTGTTGTTGTTGTTGTTTTTGTTGGCATAGCTATTGATCCATTTCGATTTCTTTGATCAGTGTATTGATGGTGATTATCATCATCAATAACAATATAATTTGCTTTACCATTCAAAGATGGTGATAATTGTCGATTAGCTGAATCTTGATTATTTACATGGCTATTATATGATGGTGGTGGTGTCGATGTTGATAATGATGATGATGATGATGAGAATGATAGCCGTTGTTGTTGATGTTCATTTCCACAACAAATGGATCGATTTTGACCATCGTCATCAGAAACATATGGATTAGATGATGATGATGATGGTCCATTATTATCATTATCGGTGAATGGTACAGTTTGTTTCATCAATAAATTCATTTTATTACCATTAACATTACCGCTACCATCCGCACCGTTTCCGTTGTCGCTATTGACATTTTCACAACAATCAACAATATTATTGGTCATTATATTTGGTGGATGGTTTGTTCGTTTTTTAATTGTTTAGTAATTTTTGTTTTCGGAAGATGATGAATTTCATTCGAAACAAAAATGATGATGAGACCTTGAATATTGAATAAATGAAACGAGAAAAGGAAAAGAAATTAGAGAAATGAAAATGATTTGATGATATGTGATTATATAGTAGTATCGCAAATGAAGAAAAAATCAAGCAAATCTGACGATGAGAAATAGATGATGATATGAGCAGAGGCAGAAAAAAGCACAGACAAACCAGAAAACAAAGCGAAAAAAGAAAAAGAAAAAGAGAGAAACCTGAAATATTTTTTTCCTCTTGACAAAAAAATATCATCAAGAATTCATTTTTTGTCGATTGAACAGTCCAGAGATGAAATTAAAAATCGATACTTTTCAACTGAAATAGTGTCAAGGGTAAATTTTGGTTTCGATTGCTCGAACCTTTTTTCCGATGCATGTGTAACAAGATCTGAGCATGAAATGGTAATTGTGAAAAGAAATCATCATTCACATAATATTTGGTTGAGCAAATTATTAGACAGACACACCAACAGCAAATAGTAAATGAAAATTGATGCGGCGAATAACATAACATTGAATTTAGTTCCCGTTTCATGTATCGTCTTCGTTTATGCATCAAACTATAGCAATCTGCAGAACGAGAAAAAAATTGAATCGTGATCTCGCTGATAATCAAAATTCTTGAATTAATTTAACAAGAAAACAACAAAAGTAATAATTGAACCCCTCACAGAAACCGAAAATCGATAAATTATCATGACCATTTTGACCATCATACACATCAGAGTACATACTTACTTGAAATTTTCTCTATTTTGTTCGAATGTTGTTATTTTCTGATTGAAACGGGGCAGTAAATATGAAAAATTATGAATCGAATGATCTGTGCGAATGCATTTGCAAAAAATTTGCCGAATGAATCGATATCAAATCATCAATATCATGATCAAGTTTAAACAAAAATCCAGAAATCTTTAAGAGTCCTGAATTGCTTTATTATGCAAGATGAAATTATTCAAAAACACACAACACAACATCCGCAGCCACACAAACCAGAAAAAAAACAGACCAAAATCACATTATTTACGGCACACACAAACACACCAAACAAAACAAAAACTACAACCAACCAAGAAAGAAAGAAACTTGCTAAACTTACAACTAAAATAACGAAATTTGTTGCAGTTTAAATATATCCCAAAACCAACCAAACACACACATACATGCAGCATTCGACCAATCAACCATTAAACCATAAACTGATCATCATCATTATCATTCATAACGATCAACAACAACATCATTCACATACTGAACTATGAAGAAAATCCAAACACACGCATACAGAGAGAGCGAGAAAGAATGAGAGAATGTAGAGAACCAACCACGACACACAACCATCAACCAACTGTGCAATGTACACACACCGCTACATTCAGAGATTTTTTTTTTTTTTTTTTTGATCATCAAAAAATCAAAAAAATCAAATTATCATTTCCAATCGTATCGAATGAATAAACAGTTTTTTCTGCTACTTCTATTGATGATGAATTTAATCAAAAGATACGAATCAAATTCACAATCGGCAAATTCAGACCAAGAAGAAATATGAAATATTTTCGTATTTCATCAAGAAATGAAAAAATAAGAGGTGGTGGCGGTAGTTTGTGGATGATTTCGTCTGCATAACATCATCATCATAATAAATTCAGGAAAGCAATCAATAAGTGTGTGAGTGAGTGTGTGCTAAGTTTTCAATCTTTAAACAACAACAAGAGATCTCTTTATCTCACTCATTTACACCTGGTTTACAAGGATAAATGAATAATAAATGCTTGTGATAAACTGGAATAAATAATTCGAATTGTACTTTTTTTTTAATTTATTTCAAAATTGAAAAACAAAACTGACAACTAACTGAATTGATTTATCGACTTGTCGTCTGTAGTTTTGATTGATAACAGTGAAAAAATGGTGATGATTCTCAAAGATAACCTATCTATCCATCCATAACCGAATAAAACCGAATCGAGTGTTTGAAACTAACTAATCAACCAGATTTTAATCCACTACTACCACCGCCACCATCAAACGGCTAATTTTGACAAACTTGGATGATGGTGATTAGATTCAAAAAATCGAAACAGACCAAGTACAAAAGTCAGTCAAAACAGAAAGTAAGATCAATCAATCAATCAGTCAGTAATCAGTAATCAGTAACGTACCATATATTTGTATAATGTAATCGTTTAGTTTCTATTTTCATTTCGAAAAAAACATTTGAAAATAGAAAACTAGAAACAGAAAGAAAAAAGAAAAAATCGTCCACTTGAAGCCAAGTTTGATGTCCTTCGAATTTTGCGAATCCGAATGAATTAGTTCATTTTTGGAATGCCTGTGTGTTTGGTGTAGACATCATCGATCGAAATGAAATGAAATGAAATAAAACACTAGAGAGAGAGAGAATGACAAAATGTTCAATGTTTGACATTTTATTTTCATTCTCATCAAGAAGATGATGATGAAGATGAACAAAACAAATACACACACAACACACAAAACAAAGGTGATTGAACTTGAAGATTTTTAAAACAAAAAAAAAACAAAGACATCGGCAAAAAAGAAGAAAATTATCATCACATTTCTTTTGTTTCACGCGTCAATATCATTCAATCATTGTCATCAATATGTGACATGTGACACACAACCATCGAAAGAAGAATCGATTCTAGAAAAAGTATCGTAAACGACGAGAAAAAATGGAAAATTTTGCACTGAAAATCGAATCGCAGACATAACAACAACGACAACAAATGAAAAAGTAATGAACCTCAAAATCAATGTAATATATGCAAAATGTCAATATGAGAAAAACAAACGAAAAAACAATAAACAAAATTAATTTACCGTTAATTAATTTTTCGTTCGTTGGTTCGTGTACTGGAAAATAAATCATGCCTGTGTAAAATGTCAGATACCATTGAATGGAAATTGATTGATTTGACTGAATGAATGTATGAAATTTTTTTTTTTTGTTGTTGTAACCGATGACATTATTTTGATGAATTCAGGCGTGAATAAAATTCGAAAAATCACTGATTTCCAAATTTCAAAAAGTTAGTGGAAAAAATTGGGCAAGACAACGCGAAAAACATCATCGAATCAAATCAAAACCAATGGATATATATTTTTTTTCTTCAAAACCGGAAACATAGACATTGATAGTTTCCTCATTAAGTTTATTTTCTACATTTCTCACTCATTTGGTTTCAAAAAATTGAAGAAAAAACAATTTATTTCTCTCTCTCTCTCTCTCGAACTCTTTTTTTTCTATTCAGTTTCCTTAATAAATAATGATGCAAAATTTTTGTAAATGAGAAAGAAAACAGGAAAGAAACCTAAATCGACAATAGCAACAGCGGATGGCCTGGGTGGTGGAGATCCAAAATATAACACATCAGAGTTATTCTTTCATTTCAAGGGCCAGGTCGGTCAGAACAGAACAGAAAACTAATAAACAGAAAAAAAACAAAATTTTTTTCCATTCGTTGTTGCGAAGCTCTAAACTGCGAATGCTCGGTTGCTAACCGTCGACATAAAACCAACACCAGAAGAAGATGGTGATGAAAAAAATGAAATGTCTCGGTACCACATAGCAGCAGCACACATGTACAGGATTTTTTTTCATCTCTCTGGTTCGTTTTCTGGTACACACACAATATCACAACAACATCAAACACACACACACACACAGAAACATCTCATCCAAATCCAAAACGATCCTGAATGAATGGATGAATGAAAGAATGAAGAAAACAACAAAAAATTCGTCGAAAAAAATAAATGGATGTGGATGAATTTTTTTTCATTTACAACAACGATAAATATATCTGCGCAACTCTCTCTCTCATTATGCATGTTGAAGGAATTGATGGATGTTTTTAAAACCATCATGGATGCCCACATCATGATCGATTAGAAAATTAAAACAAATGAAAAAAATTCTTAATTCATGACATACCTTTCTGTCTGACACTGACTCTGACGTTGGTTTGTCAATTCGAAAACAACAGCAATTTCAGATTGAATCCAGAAGATAACTCAACAAACAGTTATCTGATTCCATTTTTTAGAGAAAACAAACAAAAAATCAAATGTTGTGGCTTTTCCCGAAAAAGGCCACGATCAAGATTAAAAAGCAATTTTTAGTGGTGATGTATTGGATAAATCTACAGAATGAAAAGAGGAAGAACAAAAATCGATGCGATTTTTTCGCATTTCGCAAAAAAACATTGTTTTTCTCTATACCACACTCATGATGATGAGAAAGATTTCTTGAACATCGTCGTCATCATCATACAGTGTGTGTGTATGTGTGTGAAAAATGAATATTTCAAAACACAAACCTTGAATTAATTTCACTTAAATCTGGTGAGTAGTAGTGTGGTGAATGAATTCTTTATAATTTTGCCATCTTTCTGTCGTCGCAGTGGTTGTTGTCAATTTTCTCTTTTTTCGCTTGAAAATTCAACATTGACATTGACAGTTATGAATTTCGGTTGTGATGCTATTTTCAATGGTAATGAAGTAATGAAGTAATGATGACGACAACGAAAAAAACCAACAATTGTTGTTGGGTGAATGTGGCACTTGTTTGTTTGTTTGTTGGTTGGTTGGTATATGTGTGTGTGTGTGTTTAGTGGAAAAAATAGAGAATCTCATGTCATTCATATAGTTTTTTTTGGCATCCGCATAACTACCTATCTACTATAGCAAATGAACTATGACATTGAATTTTTGAAAGAATAAAATCAGACATATTTCTATTCTGATCGCTGATCGATGGATTAATCGATTCAAGGATGCTTTTTAAGCAATTGATGAAAACACAGTGAGAGAGACAAATGCAAAGAATCTGAAATGAATTTGATGAAAATATAATATAGGCGTGTGTGTATCGTGATCAAACTTTTTCACTATGTACCATAGACATAGTGCATGATGAACCGCCACAATATCAAAGTTAGCCAATAGAGCATATGGTTGTGCACACCACCACCACTATTTCATTGATTCGAATGATGATGATGATGATGATGACAAAGACGACGACCACGAATTTTTCGTTTGACGACAAAATTACTAAGCAATGTCTGTGTGTGTGTGAAAGAATTTTCGATTTTCATTTGTTGGTTTTTTACATACAATACATACACATACACACACACACACACACACAGAATCTAGTAGTTTATTTGAATGATACGTTTCTGAATTAGAATTGTAGTAGAATCATTGGAATGAAGAATGAATCAAGAATTTCAAGTATACAAGAACACACACAATTACAGCGTTTTTTTTTTCAATTTTGATTATTTACAGCGTTTTTTCAATTTTGATTATGGGTAGTAGCAGCAAAATAATTTCACAAAGTTGACTTTGACTTATCTGAATGAATGAATTTCCAGAGTGATGATAATGATATTCTAGTGTGCGCGCGCTTTTTTTTCATTATCAATGTTGATATATTCTATATGGTGATGAGTACAATGCGGTCATACACGCGATTCTTGATAATTCATTGGTCATAAATGCCATCTAGTGTTTAAAAATCAAAGCTCCGGTCCATGTGCTTTCACATGTGATTGTTTTGCTTTTGGTTTTTGTTTCATCAATCAATAATGATTCTAATAACAAGATATTCGACTAAGAAATCTCGATTTTTAATTGATTCATTTGTAAATCATATATCTATCGTACCAAATCGTTATCGTACAATTCGTAACCGGTTAAAATCACAGAATAACAAAACCGAACGATGGAATGGGGTGCAAATCAAATCACCAATTGATGATGAAAAATATTATGACCATGATTTTGATTTCGATCATGATCTTACAAATCAACGACAGTCGCAAAAATCATTGAAACAATTATTTAAAGAAGATTTTGATAATCGATTAAATGGTGGTTTTAATAAACGAAAAATTGTCAGATCATCACCATTTGTAAATGCTTTATATGAAAATGACCGAAATGATAATAAGCATCGAATCAAGAATAAAAATCATCGGAAAGAAGAAAGTTTTTTGCAGAAGCTTCACGAAAAATATGAAAATCAACGACAACAACAACAAGAAGAAACGGGCGAAAAGAAAAAAGTACCACTTCCATATGCGATTACCGAAGAGAATCGATTCGAAATTTTGAATGAAATAATGATGCCATTACATAAGTTGCCATATAATGAACAATTGAAACGAAAATTGTACATGAATAAAGATGTATTACTATCATTTGGTTCCAAATTGCGTCATGTTAATAGAATGATTCTTATGCGTCAAAATGGCAATATGCCATGCCATTTAGAATCGGTAAGGCCATCACCATTAACGGAACGTTATCGAAATAAAGATGAATTTAGTATTTGGCCAGGTATCGATGATAATGCCAAAACGGTTGGATTTTTCGTTGGTCAACCATCCAAACATGATCGTGTCGTATGCGTGGAACCTGATCAGTTGATAATAACGAAACAAAGTCATATTGATTTGGCCAAAAAATTTCAACAATATCTCCGCGATGTTTCACCATTAGATGTTTGTCAAAATTACGGCGTTGGTGGACATTGGCGACGATTACATATTCGTTCAAATCGTCAAAATGATCAACATATGTTGACAGCTATATTGCATCCACAAAATCTCGATGATAATGAATTGCGAGAAGAAATGACAAGGATACAGGATTATTTTGCTGATGATCCACGTGTGTCGTCACTGTATTTTCATGCCACACGTCATACACGATCAACACACACTAAGAATGAACCCTATTATCATCTAGCTGGTGATCAAACAATAACTGAACAATTATTCGACAAAACATTTGTCATTTCTCCAGATTCATTTTTCCAAGTCAATACATTAGCGGCTGAAATGTTATATCGTCAAATCATGACCGAAATGAATCTAACGAAAAAGACAACAGTATTGGATCTTTGCTGTGGAACCGGCACATTAGCCATTTTGTTGAGTGATCAAGTACGAAAAGTTATCGCTATCGATTCATCGGAATCGGCAATTGCTGATGCCAAGAAAAATGCTGAAATGAATGGTGTGAGAAATGTAGAATTCATTACTGGCACTGTAGAACAAGAACTATCACGTTTGCAATCGGAATCATATTTGAAAACACCTGTCGTGGCTGTGGCTAATCCATCACGTCGTGCATTACATCCACATGTTATACGAACCATGAGACAAATGTCGTTTATCAATCGTTTAGTTTATGTTTCCTGTAAACCACAAGGTGATGCATTAAGGAATTTTGTTCAACTTTGTTCATCAGTGACAAATGATCGTTACAATGATGAGTCGCCATTCATACCGATAAATGCTATACCTGTTGATCTATTTCCACACACTGAACATTGTGAATTGATCGTTACATTTGAACGTTTTTGACTTGAAATGAAATAAAAAATAAAAAATTTTCATTAAATTTCATATTTTATAGTTTTTTCCATAGTTTTTGTTTGGTTTATTCATTTGTTAACAAGATTAAAATTGAAAATCTTAATATGTCGATTGGCGATCAAAAGATGGCGCAAATGTCTTTGAAAAAATGAGATCGAGATTTATATTTTTTTTCTCCATATTGATCACATATTAATAAATAGATGGTGATGAATCAATGTGCAGATTCATCATTAGAAGTTGCTTGGAAGTAGTGAAATTTCATTTTGATGTTGATGAAAATTCCATTTCGCCTGTTGTTATTATTGTCGGTCGACTATTTCAACCTAGAGTGGCGGCTGCTATTCCAGATGTTCATGTTTTGTTATTCGCGGTCTTTTTTCCACCAAAATGAATTTACTAGACTCATCGAGTGATTGTTCTTTGATTTACTGTACAGTGAACAACAGCAACCTTCATCTTTGATTTATGTTCATTTTGTCGCGAGTGTTGGAAAAAGTGAGTAAATCTTATCTTTAATGTCAAGTTTAAAGAAACTTTTTTGTTTTTCATAAACATTATTTTAGCCAAAAATCATCCAGAAAAAAGGAAACGCGAAACATTTTTCCTTTGTTTGTGTGTGTGCTCTAATTATTCACAAATTCATTGATCGAACGAAATGGAAACAAAATTGATAATAATCATCAGGAACTCAAATAACCGTTGTCGAAATTAAAAGTTTTCTCATAATGATCATTATTATGTACCCGATATCGGCAATCAAAACCATGATTTGGCGCATTTGTTTTGCAGGCCAATAAATAACCGAAATCAGTGAATCATGAATCCAACGATCATTTCAGGTTAGATTGTTTTTTCTTTTTCTCCATCCATCTCTTTGTATTTTAATTCTTCATAACTTTTTTAAAACTTGTTTTCGTGCAAAGAAAAAGCTGAAATGGTCAGAATCCAATAATCATAATGTTTAGTGTCTGTAAATATCAAATGGGTCGATCCATAAGTACGATATTTCGATAATTCAATGGCCATTCAATTATTTATGAAACATCGGTATAGAGACACGATTCGAGTGACATAGAAAAAAACTATTGATGAAATTTATACATTTCATTTGTTCCGGTAGTGGTATTGTCTGTTTGTGTGTTGGTGTGTGATACAATTATGAATTGGAATTGAATGCATTTGTGTAAAACCGGTGGCTGAATCTTTTTATTTTCCATTTGGATCATCGTTTTATGTACTTTTTTGTTGAAATATTTATGACTTGTGCCCAAACTGAAACACACACACACACATGAAATAATTACATCTACTTGTGTTAGTTTGGTGGTCGTGGTTTGGAATATTTCATATTTTGTCGTCGTTGGTTCGACATTCGTATATGATTATTATTCAAATTGATTAATGATAATAGGATTATAGTGTAGATGAAAATGAAAATGACAAAAAAAATGCAGAAAGAAACGCTGGTGTGACAATGTATTATTTTGTTGAAATCACCTGAAAAAAGGAATTTATCAAAAAAATTTCCAATTTCCATTTTTTGTGATCTATAGAGTCTAATCATCATCGTATAAATTACATGATTGTTGGTCGGTGTATGATTCATTCAATTTAGTTTTTTGGAAATGAGAAAAACTTTTTTTAGGGTATTTGTGGGTATGAAATATTTATAAATCTTCACGATGATGTTTCGAATTCAATTTTTTTCTTCTTTCGTGGATCAGGGAAATGTTATTAGTTTGTGAAATTTCCCAACTTAAATTTGCCATCGTTTATATAAACGAATGAATTTAACCCCACCGTTGAATGTTTGAATATCAATAAAAAAAAGTTCATTTTTTCTATGCAAAAAAAAAGAATTCTCTCTTGCAATTCAATTTTGACCAAAGTCCAGATGTTTTTTGTCGTTGTTATAACAATATATGAATACTTTGGCTTTGAATTTGATTCTGAACCAAACAGAAACACGATTTTCACCGCTTTGATTGCGAAAGACCTCGACCTATTCAAAATAATTGTTTTTTGGATTGTCCAAATATCATATGATGATGATCGATTCAATTATCTCCATAAATCGCATAATCGAATTTTTTTCCTGTTTTAGTTTCAGTCTCGATCAATGAGAAAGAAAACTTTTTTCTTTTCGTTTGATTTTTATTCGTTTCTTGGCTTATCGTTGTTGTTGTTGTTGTTTTTATCATAAATTCAATCTGGAGATGGGAAAGAGAAGAAAATCCATTTTGAATGATTGGGTTTTTTCTTTCCGTTCGTTCGTTCAAATGATGAATCAACTTTTTATATTTTTCGTTTGAAATTGTTGAATAAGATTCAATACACCGTCAACATGTATAAATATAAAGTATTTATTATCGATCCAGAATCTTGGCTCTTCTTGGTTTGATTCTTTTCGATCGATGATTTTCGTAGCTTGTTGTTTGTTTTATTGTTTTACAATAATGATTCTGGAAAATTTATTTTTAAACAATAACGGTAATGGTGAAATTACCGAACATAAGGCTCTCGTTCACTGAATTTCATTCACTTGAATGAATATGGTGAGCAAACAAAGTGGAGAAAATTTAAAAAACTTGGAAATTTCATTATTTTTCCATATTTGTGAAATGAAAGAGATTATTGATCAGAATTCGCCATGTTTCACTGTCTCAAATGTTTCCGCTTGTGTGATTGAATTGATTCCATTGGCTCATTGGCTGGGTGTTGTAATAAATTTTTGTTTCGTTGTTTTTTATTGGATTCATATCATATCATATTTTAATTCAAGTAGTAGTACAATCCAAAAAGCAAATTTTGATTAATGATCCATATTGTTTTTTCGGACTTGTTGTTGTTGTTGTTGTTGGCCTGGTATAAAGTTTTCTTCATATATATGGTATAACCACCAACCACTTTTCTTTTGCTGATTTCTGGTTTCTGATTCATTTCAAAGATTTTCAATATTACAGCTGCTTCTTACTACCAGAAATGTAGATTCTGTTGTTTTGAAAAATTTAGTGTTGAACATGAACACAAAAAGGTCAGTTCATACAATTTGAAAAGAAAAGAAAACAAACGAAATGAAAAAAATACTTGAATTTTGATTCAAAGTCATTTTTTCCCGAAACAGAAAATATCGACCCACGATGAAATGTGAATGAAAAAAACAGGGCAACGAAATTGGAAAAAAAGTTCATTTTCTTTTTCTTTTTGTCGGCAACCAATGTGCGATTTCTTTCCGTTTTTTGCACTGAATTTCCGTTGTTGTTGCTTGCTTCACAAACATTTATCTGTCTTTATTTGATTTAATTTTGATTAATAGCTCTTTATTCGACGTTTTGGTTTAGTTCATTTTGTTTGGTGGGTTTTTTTTTGCTGCCCGTGAATTCCCCTACTATTCGGAATTGAATATTTTGGAACACGCGTTGAAGGAATTGATGGTTTTGTTGTCTAACTATGTAACCATTAACTAGCACACGCACATTCTCTCTTTTTAGGGAAAACCAACTACCAGGGATAAAAAACAAATATGATGGTGTGAGAGTTTTCATGGTTTAGCATCTCATCTCGTATATCAATTGCGTCTAATTATAATCTATTTTACATAATTTTTTGTCAGTTTTTCACAGTTGCAATTTGTTTGTTTATTTCTTTGTTCTGATGATAAATGTTGCATGACTAGTAGTCGGTGGTGGCGGGCATTTCATTTCATTTCATCATTATTGATGTTGATGGGAAATCGTAATAGTAATAATATGGTCATCATCATCGTGATCATCATAAAAAAATTATTATAACTACACCCCACATATCAAATTTCTGATCATCAAATTTCAACCCGAGAAAAAATTAATGGAAAATTCTTTTTCTCATTTCGTGAAACCGAGTTCAAGCTAGAATCCTGTAGAATTGTTAAAATCAAAATCATCATCATCATGACAGTGATGACAACATTTGTGTGTGCGTGAGTGCGTGCATGCATGCGTGCGCGTGCTATTTTTTGACATTCACCAGATTTTGTAATGTGGAGAGGAAAGAGGGGTAGAATTTTATTTCAACCATTTTGTTCGATTTGCTCCAACAACAACAATCTAGAATTTTATATGGCATCAATTATCGTATCTTTATGATGGTAGATATGATGATAATGATAATGATGGCTATAAACAACGTTGAACAGAGAGAGAGAGAGAGAGAGAGGAGAGAGAGAGAGAGAGAGAGTTGTTTGAAATTTATGTTTTTTTGGATTGGATATTTGTTTATTACAAATCGGTAACTATTAATTTTTTCCCATTTTTATTATTTCCATCATCATCATCATCATCATAGTTTATCATAAATCGGTCGATTTGTGTGTGTTGATGAAAAATTGCCACACTGAGAGATTTATTTTTGTGGGTATACCACAGACGGAGACGACGACAACAATCCATTTATGTAATAATGTCGATCCAATAATAATAATTTCTAAATAATGAGAATCCAACAAAGAGGAGTGTGTGTGTGGTGGAACTGTACCACTGGAACAACAACAACAACAGCAGAAAAAATTAACTAATCGTTATAATTGTGTTTGAGTTGTCTCTTTTGTCATTTTTTTTGTGTGTTGGGCACACCAATTAATATTTTCTGGCAACAACAGCAGAATGCATTTCATAGCTAATTGACTTTATTCACGAGCTTAATTTTTTCGTTTTGATTGTTGTACAATCTATCGACGGTGATGAGAATTTTTTCGATTCGTTTTTTCGTAGTTGTGTGCCAATGTGTTTTGTTTATGTTCATTTAACGTGATTCTGTGTGTGTGTTTGAATATTCATCATCATAATAATTTCGTTATTGATGTACAACATTGTTGGTTGAAGAATTTGGCTTTTGAATACAGTAGTAGCAGCCAAGCATCATTCTTTGTCTATTTATGTAGATCCATAATGATAATTTACACACAATTATTGAAATGAACGAAAATATCGTGCCTGCTACTGCTGCTGTTGTATTTCATTTTGTCTGAAGAAAAAAAGGATAAAATTCCC